CCCCCTCCCCAGCAGTGCCATGCATCTGCAAGCAAGTGATAGCCCCCCCAGATAAGCAATGCTCCGACACGCTAAAACACCAACGCTAGCACTATCCAGGCAATGTCATGGGCGGGCCCTGATAGTGACGGTTGATCCCAGGTGATACCTATCATGACTGATTGTCACTTTACCCAATTCCTGCTCTCACCACTGTTACATACAGAATCGATGATCCTCACACCCAGCTGGACATCAACAACACCAAGCCAATCATCCCCGGACCCAGCTGACGACGACCCGACGGATTGAAGTCCGGCAACCATCACGCTCTGGAGAGCCGTCTCGACTCTCGCCTACTGTACATATATGTTGTCCACACCAACGTTGCCTTTGGGTCCGTCGTCGTTTGGGACAGACACATGGACTTTGCCGATTGCAACGGTGATGAGGTCGAAAAAGATCTCTTGGGTCCGTTTGCTGCAGAGTGGACGATGCCGCGATGGGGATGTCGCCGGGTCCCTGCATGCCCTGCTTTAAAGTCGCGGGATCTAAACTTGACGGGTGTAACGATACTTTCGTGATTTCCATCTCTCCTCGTCGCGGTCGTCTGAGATGGTGTTGAGCTTTTTCAGCTGTCCATTCTCAGGCATCAACACCGTAGAATATCTCACGATGATGTTCACGGTCGATACCGTTCTTGCCACTCGGACGGCTCCTTCAAGCTCCGACTGCTTCTTCAATCCAAGGAGTCAGGTCGTTGCATCAACTTTCTCTTCCCCCTCATCACAGGCATCAAGTATCAAGACCACTCCATGTCCTCATGAACAATACCATTTACCAACAAGAATACCAACGGTCTTGACTCCTCTCCTTGCTCAGTTTTGGAGCCTTGCTTCCTTCGCGTCCAGTTCCGAAGTAACTTGAAAGTCCCAACTCAGAAGTCCCAAGGGTGCCTTATGCACCTCCTCATGCAAAAAGGCGTGGGGGGCACATTGGCGCATTGCGGGGAAACTGTCTCGCTGTCCACTACCACTCCCTCCCTTCTCCCCTAATCCTCTGAGCCTCTCACGTGTCTCTCTTGCCTCAGTATGTATGGTAGTATCCAGACCATTGAATCCTCCAAAAGGAGTGCAAAATGAGAGAAGTGCCGAATGAAGAAACCTCGAAACGGAAGGCTACCTTACCCCGTTCAGCTCCTTTGTCTACGAGCCTACCAGAGCCTATCTAGCAATGCTAGCTCAAAGCTCCGTTCCTCGGCCAAAAGCGGATCATCAAGTCCCAGACTGACAGCGACAGTGACAGGTCTGGCAGGACAGGGCAGGATGAAACCAGAAGGGTGGAAGGAAGAGCTAACAAATCAGTAAAGTCAGAAAGAATGTCGACCTTACCTTACAATATCGATCGTTGTTGGATAGAGATAAGCAATCCAGCCAGCCCGACACGGCTTGCCCGAATCAAGAGGGTGGGGCAAGGTGATTGGTCAGTTTGGTTAACTACCGTATCAGTGAGGCTTGGCCTAGAATAGGCCCCTTGTCTTATACATGACCCTGAACGGTAAAGTGTTCACCCCTCTTCGAGTCTCCTTGGGTGCGGGCGGGTACATAGGGTATCGGTGATGTCCAGGTACGTCCGGCATGTGGCGGACAGACGGAGGGGAATTGAAGACGGTCGGGTATCTCCGATGTCCTATCCTATCTATCTTTCACTTCGTCAGTTCTTGTGTGTCTTTCGAGATGTTGGAGTGATTCTACGGTTGGTTTTGAGCATGGAAGCTTGGTTGATCGCGCTGTCAAGTCGTTTCAGCCTTGGCTGAACCTGATGTCTAAATGATTGAGCAAAGAGATTCTGGTCATTTTATTAATGATGATGTCCTTGGCTGGAAGCAAATCTGTTTTCAATGTCAGACTCTTTGTTGCGAAAATGCGAGTCTTCTTGGGAAGCCATCGCAGACTCACCTATATCCGTGATATTCCCAATTTGGATTCGAACTGTGTCCACCGAATGATAAGACGAAGTGCCGCTTTACCGAATCGTTTCGTTAGCTTCGTTCCCGCGATGAGAAAGGTGGTCCTCGTAAGTAAATACCCCTGACTCCTTTTCACCTCCTACATGCTCTGCCAGTGACTGATAGCTAGGTGGGTTCGGTTAGAAAGGGTCCAAAAGTCAAGGGAAGGATTGAAACTTCTCTGTGGTACCACTACCGGTGAACTGAGGTCATATCGAGCGGTTGTGGGAGCGGGAAAGTTGAAACCTCCCGTCTGAGGAAAATTTTCTGGATTTCTTCCTAGTCAAACATTACCTAGTCAGTGTTGGCATCTTTTCCTTCCTTCCATCCACCTACCTGGCTTCAGGTGAACCTGCTCCGAATGACTGACCAGTCCCACGGTCATAACATAACCCAAAGCTACTTCTAACAACATCGCAACGATTAACAGTCTTTGGCAGAGCTCCAACCACTGACCTGATACAGTGAAGGCAATCTGGTGTCTCCCTGGCTCCCTCTGGACGTTCCTCAGTGGGTGCCGGCCCGTCGTCTTTGTGCTCCCGCTCGGTAATCTTTCTTCTGCTTGCCATTCTGGGAAGCCACGGTCACTTTCTCACCCTCCTTTTGGCATACATCAAGTGCCGAAGCCTCAAGCTGCTTCTCGTACTCGTCAAGTGCCAACCGCAAACGAAGTTCCTCCGAGAGAAAGAACCGGGCTTCGTTCGTGGAAACAAACTCTTTCAACTCATCCACCCCCTTGCCACAAAGCTTGAGCTCGGCGAGTCGTTCGCGGTATATCTTCCGAGCATGTTGTACTTGATACATGAAGAGAACCTTCTTCTGTTTCTCCTCGATGCCCGCGCTGCGCTGCCTCCACGCCCTCCACATGAGCTCGCAAAGTTGCTCCGTGTCCTTTCGTTTGATGTTGAACGGATTCGCTGCGGCCCACTCTCGCATCTTCTCCGGCATTTCGTGGATTTCGAAAAAGTTTTCGAGATTGGAGACGACGTCGGGAAGAAGGTAGTCGGTAACCAGACGATCGTACTCTTTCTCAATTTGGTAACGATCAAGAAATGAGCCTCTGCGCTCCCAGATCTCGTGAAGAAGTAGCAAGGCGTGCGCTCTCGTGATCCCAGACATGGAAGGGCTGTCAGCAGCTTTATATAGGGCCGCCTTTGCTTCCTCGAATGACTTTGCCTTGCTGATCTCCGATGTTGAATACGTGGCCTCGGCTTTTTTTCTGCCAATCCAGCCATAGCAAGGTCTCCTCACTAGCAAGTCGCGCATGCATACTTTTTAAATCGATCGGATTGTCTACCCAGCTGTAGGCTTCGTCGCGCGGGTGACCAAAGGTCTTCTGGCGCTGATATGCAATGGCACCATACAGATTGACGCCGACCGGGTGCTCACTTTGAGCTTGGCCACAAATGTAGAGGTACCATTTGAGCATGAGCATGTATCCTAGTACGAACTGCTCAGCTAAAGGGCTGCAGATGAGTTTTGCTGGGTCTCTATCGAACAGCAAGACAAGATCCAAAAAGCCACGGGCTAGGGCGGAGCTAGTAACCTCCAGTCGCAAGGGTGAGCCACGGCCCCAGGGGCAGAGAACAGCGGGAAGTGTCTGTGAGCCAGGCAAAATTTGCTTGAGCTGACCGACATTGTTGTCCCACAGGCTTCTGTGAAGTGTCAGACCAAAGGGACTGTTGATCGACAGGTGTCTTGTCTTGGTGATAGCAGGCCACGAGTCCCGGTGCACGAGACCTTCCAGCAGCTTCACCCTCTGGGCTAGAGACCCAAACTTTCCGATCCGCCATTTTGGATTCGGTTCGGTTGTGCTTCCCGGGGCAGCTTGAAGCATGAGTTCTCTTTGATTGGACCTATGGCCTAGGAGAGCTGCGGTATACTCGGCCGATGGCTGTAGGAAGAGGCCAGGAGACAGTTTTGGTTCCTCAAAAGGAAATGGCTCATCAGGAGCTGTTGTCACGTGCGCCGTCAGCATCTGAGCATTAGAACACGGAAACAAGGAAGGAGAAAAAAAAGGCGGCTATGGGTGATTTCCGTACCGAAGCGTGTCCAGACCATTTTATCGGCCAGCCAAGAGCAGTATGATTCCGAGATAGCCGGCGGTGGTCTGTTGCGACCCAGCAGTTGTCGGATTGTCTCGTTCCCAGCAAGGTCGAGGAGAGCTTCAACGGCATCCGGATCGCGTCTGGTGTCCTTCATTAGGACCTTGGAGACGACTTGTCTGCGTCGCTCCTGAGTAGGATTGGCAAGGGGAACCAAAGATGGGGCTGGTAATGCCTTGTAGGCATCCGAAGTCGACATTGTTGGGGCTGCCTAATGATCAACAATACTTGTTGTCGATGCTTGCGAGATCTTGGGTGAGGCTGGCGACAAGAAACTAAATTTTTCCCAATTGGAGAGAGAAAAGCAAGCATTGGTGGGAAGAAGACCTAGCAGACTGAACTAGGTGAAGAAGGATGGGAATGACCAGTCTCGGTGAAAATTTCGAGCCATTGCACTGCCGGCTGGGCCCGTCACTGAGAGAAGGTACGGCTTTGACTGTGGCCAGTTATGCCCGACGCGACTGGAGACTGCAAACGAGGAAGAAGCGATCCCCATTGCCCCCACTTGCCTCCCGGGTCGGATGAGTGCCACACGGTGACGAGACCTACTGGGTTGCCCGATGAAGCTGACTGAACTCTACCGTTGCTGCATCCCACTTCCACTCCCAGGTCATGCGAACATCAACTATCCACCATCTCAACTTTCACCTTTGGACCATTCACCCTTGTAAAAAATCGCGGACCAGGCGCGTCGCTTGCACACCTCATCGTCACGGACTGAGACTGGTGATCCCGTCCAGCTCTCTCCCAGCAGTCTCTACCACGCGGGTCTGCACTCCGGCACCCTATCGCAGATATACAGGCCACGGCAACCCAAAATTTGACGTAGGTTTACACTCTGTTGGCACTCCCGAACATCTCCCTGAAATGTTTTGGATTCAACAGGTTCGCTGACAGCGGTAACTCTACAGTACATTCAGCTCTCACACGAGGTCTAACCAAGTTGTCACTAGCGACGATGACCCGCAAGCGAACCTTGTCCGCCTTCCACAAGGGACAGCAGAACACCCCGGGCTCTGCCGAAAACCAAGAGGATGATCACATCAGTCGGCCGAAGAAAGTGTCCAAGACCATCAAGACCGAGCCGACAGACGAGCCAACCGGTGGTGCACTGAGCCAGAAAATACAAGAGCATGTTGGCCCAAGCCTAAGGGGGACACACCTGGCCTTTTCCCTGGAGAAACCTCAGCCGGAAAAACGTCAGCATGCCAGGTCTACGGGGGGTGCTGAATGTGCCAACTGCGGAGGGGATGGCCATATGGCAGACCGCTGTATCGGCCCATGGGATCCAGTTAGCGGGACGATCAAGGCGTGCGTGCTGTGTAACGATGCTTCCCATGGACTGGACGATTGTCCAATCCTCGCAAAGCGCAGCGCGTCAGAGAGAAAATATGCACTGAGCAGATACCTGATCCTCTACCGCGGTGGGCTCCCTCCCATCGAGTCGAGTGTCTGTTGGGTCGACTTGCTAAGCTCTACGGAATACAAGGAAATGCTGGCCAAGCATTCGGCGGAGAAGGGCTACAGCCTCTATCCTTGGACTAGAGAATTCGCAATCCGCCAACACAAGAACAGGTTTTGGGAGCGCTGCAGCTATTCTCAAGAAGATAACTCAAGAAGGACGTGGTGGCCCAACGACCCCAAGACCAACTCAGAAGCTGCAGTCCAGAGTAACCTTGAGTCGCTCAAGAAGACCGAGTCTTCGTCCGCGTTGAAGGCGGCGGCCCGTCAAGAGATGATGGAGAGCGAGTCGGAGAGGGAGTGGGAGCTGATTGCAGCCGGCCTCAAAGTGTGGCCTGACGTCCTGGAGATTGCTCCCAAGTTGAGGGTTGACGTTGAGAAGGAATACTTTTGAGGATATTCGAGGTACTGAAATTTGTCACTATACCCGCATGTGCGCCATGTCGTTCAATCAGAGGGGATCGAGTCTGCGTCACGATTTGACAAACATTTTTGCAGCAGAGGTATTGTAGTCATGACTTGTGTCGTGTAACGAGTCAAGAACGGCATATTGTACCGTGAGGATAGTAGGGAGCAAGCCAGACCCAAAGGAGCTACTGGGAACGCCTGGTTTTAGGAAGCCTCTAGCAAACTGCAGAGATGTTGGACAGATTTGAACAGACTAATGGGATAACACTGGGACCATATACTAGTGATGTACCTAGTTATCCGTGAAGTCATTTCTTTTTTCTCGAGTTCTCATCGAGTGTCTCATGGGATGGGTGAAGTCAGAATGAATGGGCGATCTCTGCTTCACCCGGAGGGCAGGACAGTGTGACGTACTTAGCTAGAAGGTTTGGTCCTTGCTTTCAACAAGGCCTCATGGCGCAACGGTAGCGCGTTCGACTCCAGATCGAAAGGTTATCCGTTCAAATCGGGTTGGGGTCAGTTTCTATTTTTTGAAGATTTTACGTTCGTATTTGGCGTTAGCCAATCGCATGGGATTGATTTGCTTTCCTTTTCCCTTTTTTTGTCTTCCTTCTTGTCCTCTGTCGTACTGGTGCATATTGACATGGACGTATGGATTTTGGCGTGACAATGTTGAAGTTGCGAGAACATGGGCTGTTATACAGGACTTGTTAGCATGCATTGTAATACAATAATGCAACAGGAAATTGACTGCAAAACAATCTAAAAATTGATATAAAAAGACGAGGACTTCGAGGAATACAAACGAACATTGATCACAGCAGTGATGTTTGTTCACGCAGCAGTGTAGATGCATGCACTCGTTGCAAACATTCGGCTTCAAGCTTCGCATAAGGTCACATCCGTTGCCGGTCCGTCCGGCCCGTTGCTGCAAGCCGAAACGCGCCCCACCCCGCCCGATCGCGGCAACCACCGGCGGCACGATGTCATCGGACTGCATCGGACTAGCTAACCCGAAATAGGAAAACCATAAATAAACGACCCCGCCTCCAACTGAACTTCCACCGTCCGCCCATCGGCCTACAAAACATCAGTCATCAACCTCCGTCATTCCAAAACCTCAAACTTCACAATTCATGACCTGTTCTATCACCAAACCAACCAAATTAATCCTCACTCCAAAACACCAGACGACCACCACCCAAAACAAACTCCGTGACAACAACCCATAAACAAAAATGGAAGGCGTAGACCTCCTAATCCTCGGCGCCGGCTGGACAGCCACCTTCCTCATCCCCCTCCTCCAATCCCCCCAATACAGCAACACTCTCACCTTCGCCGCCACCACAACCAACGGCCGCCGCGTCAGCGGCGTCGACACAATCCCTTTCCGCTTCGACCCCGACTCCAAAAACCCTTCGTCCATCGCCGCTCTGCCGCGCGCCCGTTACGTGCTGATCACCTTCCCTTTGGCAGGCGAGGGTCAGTCAAAATGGTTGACGGAGACTTACGAGGCGACGCATGCTAGAAAGGAAGGACAGAACAAGTACAGGTTCATCCAACTAGGCAGCACCGGCGTCTGGCAGACCGAGGGAAGGAGGAAGAGACACGGTAGTAAATCACCAGAGGAAAAGCAGGCGGAGCGGGAGGCGCAGGCTAAGGCGGAAGCAGAGGCTGCTTCTCAGAAAAAGAAAGAGCCGTTCACGTATACGGACAGACACTCACCCTACTTGACCTCCGACCCGCGGGCGCAAGCGGAAGATGAACTGCGTGCTTCGAGCGTGGTGGACGGTATGGTCCTTTCGCTTTCGGGACTGTGGGGGGGACAGAGGGATCCGAGGAATTGGGTGGGCAGAGTCGCTTTTAGCAAGGAGGCGCTGAGACATAAGACTAGTTTGCATATGATCCATGGGGAGGATATTGCGAGGGCGGTGGTTAGGATTCTGGAGAACTGTGAGGATGAGGAGAAGGGGGGAAAGGAGAAGTGGGCAAAGAGTGGCAAGGGACAGAGGTGGATGTTGACTGACGGGTTTGTGTATGATTGGTGGAGTTTGTTGTTGGGGTGGGCTACTACTGAGGGACAGAAGAAAGAGGGAGAGGGAGAGGAGGACAAGAAGGAGCTGGAGCCGAGTGAGCAGGCAAAGTGGGTGATGGAGCTGATGGAAGAGGAGGGGGTGCAAGCGCTGCCGAGGAGCATGGAGCTTATGGGTAGGGCGTATGATTCGAGAGAGTTTTGGAGGACGTGGGGGCTGGTGCCGGTCAAGGCGAGAATTGGGGTTAACGCTCCTTAGATGCCCGTGGGCCAAAGTGCGTGAAGTAGGAGGCGTCAAGTGAGGAAAGAAAACCGTTGAACATTATCACAGACACAACATTATCATATCATATCCATGGACGGAGAAGATAAAAAGTAACCAAACACCCGCTCAATACCTGGGGAATCTATTTTATTTCACATACACACAAAAATGGCCACACACATTTATAGCAACAGCTTCTTGACCTCCTCAGCCAAGCTGTCAATGGGAACCAAGTTACCCTCATCCTTCTGGCCCTGACCCTGGTCAAGCTTCTTCAACCTGACCTGACCAGCCTTGAGCTCGTCCTCGCCCAAGATGACGCCCAGGGGAGTACCCTCGGCAGCCTTGAACTGAGCCTGCAGTTTAGGCTTGGCCTTGGGCATGTACTCGGCGCGGATGCCGGCGTTCCATAGTTGCCTGGCAATCTTCATGCGCTCAATAAGGAGACCGTCAAAGTCCTTGCCGCCACCAAAAGCCATAACGAACACGTCCACCTCGCGCTTCTTGATGTCATTCTCGCCACGGGCCTTGAGGATGGTGTAGATGCGGTCAATGCCGAACGAGATACCCACGCAGGGAATCTGCTTCTTGCCGTACATGCCGACGAGATTGTCGTAGCGACCACCGGCGGCGATAGAGCCGACCTGACTGGCAGGGTCATCCTTCTTGCTCTTCTTCTTCTTGTCACCCTCGGCCACGGGCTCGGGCTTGTTGATGACCTCGAAGATCAGGCCGGTGTAGTAGTCAAGACCGCGGGCGAGCGAGAGGTCGAACGAGACCTTGTCGGTGACCTCGAGGGCCTCGAGGTAGGCGGCGAGCAGCTCCATGTCGTGGATGCCGGCCTTGATGTCGTCATTGGCGGGCAGGTGGGCGTCGGCCTTGATGTAGTTTATTATGTCGGTGATGTTGCCGGCGTTCTGCACGTACACGCCGATCTTGTCGGCAACCTCCTCGGGCAGGCCCTTCTCCTCTACCATCTCCTTCTTGACATCGGCCCAGGGCATCTTGTCGAGCTTGTCGACGGCGGAGCTGATGGTGCGGATCTTCTCGGCGGGGACACCGGCGACGGCGAAGAGACCGTCGAGGATTTTGCGGTGGTTGAGCTTGATGGTGATGCCGAGCTTGAGGGCGTCAAAGACCTCGACGATGATGCGGAGAATCTCGGCGTCGGGGATCATGGGGTCGTAGACACCGGCAATGTCGAAATCGCACTGGTGGAACTCGCGCATGCGGCCGCGGGCAATGGCGGGCTGGTCGCGACGGTAGACCTTTGCGATGTGGTAGCGCTTGACCTGCTGGGTGCTGGTCATGGCGAGCCAGCGGGCAAAGGGGACGGTAAGATCGTAGCGGAGGGAGCAGAGCTCGCCACCCTGGTCCTGGAGGTCGTAGATGAGCTTGGAGTCCTCGCCATACTCTGGGTGTTTCAAGTGTCAGCCAATCTTGTTGGTGTAGTTCTTAATGTGTGTCGAGACATACTGCCGGCAAGAATTTCTCTGAGCTCGAAGACGGGGGTATCGAGGGGAGTGCCGCCGTGGCGCTTGAAGACGTCGCTAACAGTCTGGCTGTGGGTTGAAGAAAACCAAAAGAGTCAACAACAGCAATAACGGAAAAAAAAAGTGGTCATCGGATGGATAATGCGACGGCGGGAAGCGCATACAAGAGCTGCTCACGGAGGAGCATGTCCGGGCCGTGCCAGTCGCGGGTGCCCTTGGGGGTCTTGATCTGGAGGTTGGAAGCTGGCTTGGGCGCCTTGATGTCCTCCTTGGTGTCCTTGGTGTTGTCAGCCATGATGTCGGTGTCGGTGGTGTCGACGGCGAGGTGTTGGTGCTGGCGCAAAGAAGTCGAGAATTGGCGCGGGGTATTATTGGTGGTGGTGCGAATCAAGAGTGATCCGATGGAACGGCTGGCGCGTGCAATTGGTATCGACTCTGTGCCTCGTCGGATCAAAAACAGCATGCCGCAACGGATGGGCGATTGTACAAAGTCGGCGATCAAACTACCTAGCTGGAGACGGGACGAGTGGAGGGGTGGACGGCCGGGCGAGGGATCGGGTTGGAGGGGCACGGGCACCGGCCAGTGACTTTTTGCCCGGCCTTTTGACTCAGGTCCTGGCCTGCTGTTCCCTGCCAGTGCCTGAACCAAGTACCCGGCAGGGCAAATTTACAGCGTCTGAACCAATGTGTCCGGCAGGCAACCTACCGCACCGATTGCCGATGAAGCTTTGTTGCCTGCCGGATGCAGATGTTGGAGAACCAGTGTCCCGGCAGGCAACTTCCCCTGCTTCCTCCCGTCAACTTCCATCCATCCCGACAGTGACCCTTTTGTCCCCCTCTTTGCATCCGTTTTCTCCGTCCTTCATGTTTCTGCCCGTCTGTCCTCGTGCACAGCCTTACCAACACCACCATGCCACGCCCCGCTCACACAACCTGTAGGCTATTTTTGATGTGACTCCTGTTGGTCCACGATCCTTCAGCTTCAACGTCCGCCACCATGGTTCCAGCCCCAGACAGACAAGAACGACGTGTCGGAACCATGAGCCCATGAACCAATTCTCGCGGCCTTAGAAGAGGCATCTGTCCTGCACAATTCCGCACCCATTCCTTCTCTGTGTCAGGCATCCAGTTCCTTCACCAAGCAACTGGGTCCAGATTTGTGTTTGGCAAACGCTCATCACAATCGACGACATGGCAGGCATGGCTACCTATGAAACTCGCCTGATATATCACCCACGCCGGCTAGATACTTCGCTGTATCCCTGATCACGTCCCGCTCTTCTGCGCGCTCCAATAGCACACACAGAAATTGCAACTCTATTCGGTGCTTAATGCGGCCAGAGTTCTCTTGGGGGCCAGGATGGGACCTATGTGTAACATGGCGCCCCTTTGCCTATCGTTCTTCAGCAGGAGAAGGATGTGGCTGGAATGCTGCAGCAGGGTCGCCACGATGATAAGCGTGGTAATGGGTGGTCTATACGATCATGTTAAAGGCACCCAGCTGCTCTCTCCTCACCTGCTTCTCCCGCGTCTCGCAGCTCAAAGGTCCCCTTCTCATCGACGCTCACCGGGTTTCAGTCATCCAGTGCAAAACCGAATCGACCATGGATATCTATTCGAATCCACAGTTCAACTCCCTCGTCCCCTTGCCGGATGTCCTTGCCAACTTGACCTTTCAGGAGATTGCCCTCAACGTCCCTAACTGTACCTGCGCTCCGGTTGCCAACTTCCTTGGCTACCTCGAAGGTAGCTTCGCTTTAGAGACATTGGTGGATCCGAGCGATATGCCAGTTTCAAAACTCAGTACTCTCGTGAGAAATTGTACCACGCCTGGGCTTCTAGACGACGTCTCCAACGGCCAGATCATTGACTGGTTCTTCGATCGCTTTCAGAACCAGCAAGGCGACTTTATGTGGCTGTATGTCCCGGTCATTGGTATATGCTTCCACGATTATTGCAATGCCCTAAAGTGGGAAGGCAATCCTGATATATCCGGTATTGGGGTATGCTCTAAACATTCATCATTTACTCGACCTCCTGATAGGTTTTCTAACACGTGAACATCAGGTAAACGTTGCCTTTTTCATCCAGGCAGCCCTTACCTCAGTCTTTTTACTCATCTATCTCGGATTTTACATTGCCGAGACACATCACGCTCGAAAACATCCGGGACTGGCCAACCAGAAGATAGCTTCATCGTGGCGCAAAGCATCCGATGATTGCCTCGAAGTCTTCTGGTCAACCTGTTACGTCTTCGCCTTAACCCTAGCTGTAGGCACCCTTTGCTTCAACGTTATCTACGATTCGCCTGGTCACGTTTACTCGGGCTACTTTGGATATCTTGGTACCATCCTCTCCGTATCCGTCCTTATATGTCTGTGGCCCTGGTTTCCCGGACGATATCGGTACCCGGTCCTCACCTTTTCGGGCGTGTGTGTGCTGTTGGGCCTCGTGATTGGGGTTAGTATGACCTTTCTTAAAGAGGTGAGTTCTGACGACAAGACGGTTTTCGAAAAAGCCTGTCTAGAAAGCAAACAAAGGATGGGCAGCGTGAAAGATTTGAAGGAAGACGAAAACGTGTTTATGCAGCCCACGAAATCCACAACCTACGTACAAAACTTCGTCAGGTATACCCCTTGGGCGACCGTGGCACTTCTTGCTCTCTGGGGCGGCGCGTTCTTCTTCACTCTTCTGTGGAGACGGAGAAACAAGATCACCAATTGGAGTTTGTACAAGATGATCACCGGGATCCTAGGCGGCCTTCTCGTCCTCGGCTCATTTGGCCTGGTTTGGGTCGCTCTCAGCTTTTTCTTTTACCTTCGAGTCAGGGTCGAGGATCTCGCGGGCCCGTCATACGCCGAGAACGAATGGGGGTTTGGTCAAATCGTCGCCATCGCCGCATGGCTCCCACTGTTTGGTCAGATCGGCATGGTTGTCTTTCGTGAGCTCCCTCAACCACTCGATCGTGCTTGATTGACCCCTTGTTAACTGAACTGTTTAGGCACACTATCGAAAGACACCAAATACCAGAAGTTGTTTAACCCTGCCCCGGAGAGCGAGAGATATTCGCATCACCTGTTGCCTCAAACCCCAACCTTCGAACAACCTCAACGTCATGGATCAGACATGGAGAAGGAACCTGTCACTACTGTGGCTCAGCAAGATATCACGGATGCCGCCTGGCAGCGGTGATTTGGTGCACCGGGATCCGGGACTTGGTGGCCCGTAGTGACAGGCGACGTGCAAGACCTGATAGCCCTGGTGTCGGCCACCCAGCGACTGAACCAAGTTCCCGTGTTCGGCACGGACATCTCCTGTCGGTATCATATTCGGTCTGGGACACATCCGCAGGAACTGTTAGAACCGGGTGGTGGTCGTCGCCTAGCTGAGCTAACCCCCCCTGTCGTCGTAGCGGTGGCTTCCAGCTCTGGTGGAGAATGCGTGATAAAAGTACATTTTCCAAACCAGGATGACCATCAAAGCCCGCATGGCTCAGTGGTAGAGCGCATCACTAGTAATGATGAGGTCGTCAGTTCGATTCTGGCTGTGGGCATAGAAGCGCCTAATGAAGCTCGTGATCACCGATTTTTTTTTTTGCTTTTTCTGGGGATGCCATGGGGTCGTGGCTTTTTTGGTGGTTTGGCCCTTTGGGACATTTCGCTCGAAGGGGCGCGAGGTGAATTTTTCAGGGCAGACCTAACCCCAACCCTGCGCTCATGTAACCTTCCTGTTCTTGTCCTTTCTTGTATCAAACGCTGCATCGTCCGTCGGCTTTGCTTTTCCTCACTTTCACAGTCGAATCTCATTTCATGACAGTAAAGAAAGAAATTTGAAATTGTGACGGGGCGGCAATGCATATGACCGCCAGGCCAAACCTAGCCTAGTAAAAGGTAGGACGATGTTCCCTTGCCAACGAACATCGGAATGCATTACTATATAGGCGGAACCACTATGTCACAGATGGCTGGATTTCGCCCTGTAACAGAAATTATGTTCATGCCCTTCAATGTACGCAAGCAGCTCGAAGTACAATCAATATCCAGTTGTGTCAATAAACAGAGGAGGGGAAGGTAAAGACATGGTACCTGGTGTGATTGTGCGTGGCAGACCTAGGGAGCTAGGTACATAACATGAATGATTGAGATTCTACCGTCAAACCGTAAATCCTGCCTCGAAATAACCTAAGAATGAGGCACGATATTCCTCGCGCATAAAGAACATACCCTGCCTCCATACCTACTGGTCTGTGCTAGTAGTAGACTGTACGAGAGGCTCACATAATACTCGGGTACGGCCGACAGCCGACATTATGACCAGACAGATTTTGTCCTGATACGGGAAAGGGAACAAACATCAGGAATGGGTTCTTGGAGTGTCACCGGATTCGATTAAATTCAGAGCGCAGGGTACAAGTAGTAGGTAGGTATCCAGTGACAGCTGCCCGTGTCACAGTGAACTGTGGACAATCTCAGAGCTCAGTCTGAGAAAGAGAGACTGCGAGGACACTCCACAATAATGCCCGCACCAAAGGCTCAAAATGTGAGATTCAAGAAACCCCCATGCGCATGCTAACAGAAGACTGCTATTGTCCAAAATGCAATAGAATTCTGGCATCAGAACGAATGAATTGGCACGGAAACAAAAATTGCATAATTGTCTTACTCCATCGAGGTAAGATGTGTAAGAATATAGGAGCTGAATCCGGGCACATTTTCAACAATTAACACTAATTCGCGCCAGTGGTTAGTGGTAAATCCATCGTTGCCATCGATGGCCCGCGTTCGATTCGCGGCTGGCGCATTTCTTTTTCACATTTTTTTTCGTCTTTTTTTTTTTTTTCTTTTTTGCGGACTTCGCTTGTTTGCTTTAAACAAAAGGGAGAGGGGGGGTCGGTTGTATCTTGGTAAAAGAAAAAAAGAAACAAGTGTTCTAGCTTGTTTGTCTCTTTTCATCAGACTCGGTCGGGCATGCATGCATCTCCTCTTCTGCTCTCTCTCTTCTTTGCGACAGCAAGTTGTTCATCGCTCGTTATGAGCGCTATTCAAAATCCTTAGTCCTCCGTGGAAATCTTTCCATCACTTTGTCTTTCCTTCAATCAAACCATACGTAATCAGGATGTCGTGGTTTTACGTCCTCGCTCTTGTCCAGAGTTCTCATCGGGTCGGAGCTGAACCTCCGAGTTGCAATCCTTCAACCATCACGAAGGACCGGCAACCGGCAAATTTTGAGCGAAAGTCCACAACAACCACAACAACCACACAAGGCCAGAAAGTTTAGCTCTCTCGCCTCGGCTTTTGAGTGTAGTTTCTGATCATTCAGGCTTCCGTATAGCGCGGAATATATCCATGATCCATCAGCTGTTTTCATCAACCACTCGGAGGTTTCGGGTGCCCCGCCAGCGTCCTCCGCCAATAGCGCACGCACCAGAGGTTCGCTCCATGGCCCGCGCTTGTGCAACACCCCGAATTCTAACGCAGGGGGACACGTCTTAGCGGGAACGGCCCGCGCCGTGGGACGGCTGTGTTGATCGGTCAATAATTCCGTCTTCCAGTCCGCAATTCATAAAATAAATGATATGGGAACTGGAGAACGAGAAATGTTGAAGATGAGCTGGCATTCATTTCCATGTTCATGTTGTCTTCGTCTTTTCATCTCGTTTTCACCCCAGTGTAGGCGATGTGCTTGTCGGCTCGCTTGGACCTTGTTCCTTCCAGGGGTTCGCGGGGCCGCTTGTCCCTTCTGCAGGTACACTACCAGTACACCCTAATGCTGGGTTGTTTGTTAGCTTCGGTTGGTACTCCCGTCCTGTCAGACTGGACGAGATCCATCCAAACTGTCCCAAACCTCAGAAGGACAAGATGTAATGGCTAAGTACGGACCGGAACAGCATTTATAAAATCCAATACAACATATCAAAACTTCGACATAGCATCTTTAAAGTATATTTACACCTTGATTACATAACGAGACGAATTGAGTGGGTATCAAAATGCCCGAGGAGGCTGGTCCTAGGTCTCGAGCTAACAAACAAACCAGTATTGGACTACTGCAGCTCTCAGACCATTGCGCCTCCGGCTGATGAAGAATGCCACCACAACCCACAAAGCCAAACCATTCCAACAAACCAATAACTTCATGAGGCTCCGCTGACCTGCTGTTTACACAGTCACAATGACAGTACGTGCTACAACATTGCTTCTTGCTCGGCTTTTTGACCGGTATAGAGTATAGTCAACAACCAGAATCCAGAAGGAAAGAGGACAGACAGAGGCATAGCGATGGCAATGCCCAGATGTATATAGAGGTAGTGTAAAGGCCTTTGAAAGAAAGGGAAATATCTCTTGTTCTCTGTCCATCAATTTCGTCTTTTTCACATTCCAATTCTCCCACCCCAAAACGCAAAATGCTCTCCCTCAAGCTGGCCGCCTGTGCTGCCCTCGCGGCGACTCTCACCCTCGCCGCCCCAGTCTCCACGACCGCCACATCCATCTCCACCTCCACCTCCACAGAAGACATCAATGTCAAGCCCTTCAGCTTCTCCAAATGGGTAGACGACATTCTCGACCCCAACGTCGTCGCCCTCACCCCCGAGCAAGCCCTCGAAGCTTACTACGAGAGCATCAATGACACCACTATCAGCAGCCCCGAGCTAGCAAAGAGGGCGGGCGCAACCTGCGAAACCGACAACTCCAAGCGCGTGCCCGTCTCTGACGCCGTTTGGCTAGTCAACACCCTGGCCGCGGGCGGACAGTCGCCCGTGCAGGTCCCTATCCCCTTCATCTCCAAAGCTGTGTTGTACAGCCCGAGCAAGAGGTCGAGCGTTATCGGGCAGAAGAACGGTAACCTTTGGGTTACCGAGCCGTCCGAGTATTGGGCGAGGGCTGGGGGGCTTATTATGGGTGAGTCGAGCTTTCCTTTTCTGCTTTCTTTCTTCCTCTTCGTTTTTTTCCTTCCTTCTCCCATCACCATGATCCATTCGTTCCAAGGGTGGTGAGTGGTGGTGTTGCCTGCTTCTGTCCGTCCTGCGCAGTACCTAATGTATGCTTTGCTGACTGGAACACATTTCATGATGATACAGACGCCTGCACTTGGGGTGACAAGAGCGGTGGCAAGATCTTGATGCCTGCCAATCAGGCGATCACCGTTTTGCTGTATGGCCAGGGGTACTAGACAAGTTGAACGGGTTCTTGTTATGACTATCATGAGAAAAGAATTAATGCAGGATTTTATGTGCGCTGAAGAGAGCTGCGATAATGGAACTTCCAGGTTTGCATTGTGAGGCGTATTATTTTTCTCTCGCTGGTTATAAGCGATGACCTAGAAGACAATACCTCATCTCTTGTATTCCATATAAACTTGAATATTGCGCAAACCACATCATGTCGGCAACACAGCATGGACGGGCAAGCTTTACACGTACAATTTGCATCAACATCCGCGGACATACTTCTACGAACAAACGCAATTGTCAAACCTCTAAAAGTGCAAGAATCCGCACGTTGACACGATTATGACAGACCTGGCTTGCGGATTTCCCGAGTTTATACGGTCCTAAGAGAACTAGCGTGGCGGTTAGACATGTAGAAATGATGAGTCCAGCGAATGTGATTACAGCGGCGCACGACATTAATGGGAATCTAGGGAGCCAGAAAACCGTACCTGCGTGGTGCCGTTCATTGTAAGCAAACACCACCTTTTCAAAATAACCGTTCAGCTCAGAAAACATGTTCTAGGTGGATTCCCGAGCTCTCAATGGCTAGTTTGGTTCGGGAATGGGGGCTCTTGTCTTTATTTGTTTCTTTCTTTCTTTCCCACTCTACTCTACACTACGAGTTTCTTTCTCAAGGGTAAGGTAACCAAAACTTTGTCGTCCGCCCAAATCTTCGTCGCTCGCTCAAGATTATTGCCCGTCGTCGTCGTCGTTGCTCTCGTCGTCGTTACCGTCGCTATTATCTCATTTGATCCTACAATTTCAATAATAGAAGTTAGTTGATGTATTGATATAAGGATGCAGCCGTACCTTGGGAGATGATGGTTATTGTTATTGTTGTTATTGATAATGATAACGAAAAGGTTGAAGTTGGAAGAGATGGGGAGTGGATGGGACTTTAGTATTTTATCCTCTACCTTGGTTGACGTTATCCTTTTTCGCACTCCTTCTTCCTCTCATTGCACCTTCTTAACGATCTTCCTTTCATCGTCACTTCCTCAAAGGGGAGTTGTGCAACTCTTTAAGCAATTTCCTTCTAGCCGATGAGAGCCCAGAAGTCTACTGGGAGCGGTTCTTTTGAGTGGAACGGTTATTTTGAAGGTAACGGATATCGCTGTTGGACCACGGTAATGTAACCAAACCAGTTCTCTGAAGAACTAGATCCCCATCTCTGGAGATTGGGAATTGTAGCGTACACGAGCTTTTGTCTTCAGTTCCCGGATGATCGACATTCGCTTGTCAATCCTGTAGGAACGCCGAGTACACTACAAGACTCCCAGACCACTACCGCAGCAACTCACTCGATTTGTTTTTACTCAAGCACCGGACACTAGACCGGACCCGAGAAACCTTGCGCCCCGCATCATCTCGTCGGAAGATTGGTCAAAGCCAGTTACACCCGGCGCTATACCTGTTTGAGCAAAAACAAATCGAGTGAGTCGAAGCGGTAAGATCAATAGCACCAGCTAGGTAGTCAACAAGGCCACCACAGATCACCAACACTCCACCATACCAAGCCAAACCAAACTAACGACGAACAAAAACTTCATGAGGCTCCTTAGACTCCTCCACCCTGCTGTCTACCCAGTTGACAAAGACAGTACGTGTACGTGCCAGAACATTGCTGCCTAAAGTGTACTCGGATTTCTAACCGCTATACAACTAGTCTACAGTTTAACATTTCCGTGCTCAAACACACGTTGAAAGTTGCAAAGAGTTCAAGACTTCATGTTCCATCCCCAAGTGAGGTGACCACAACTTTTTGGCGGTGAACGGAGGATCAATACAGAAGAAGAAAACACAGAAAAACAGAATTAAAATTCGAACATTGTATCAACAAGAGCTGCCTTACCAAGAAAGAGGTAGAGACGGGACTGGACCTTGTAGTACACTACACCAAACCTCCACCGGGGAGAAAAAAAGGCGTCAAATCTTGTGAACTGCCGGTTAGTCAAGATCGGTGGCAAGAACATAATTCTACACAAGAGCAACAGTGATGGCGGCAGACAAATCCTGGTTTTTCTGTAGTTTTGAGTCCTCCCTCTTATCTTTATGATCCTAGCAGAGTTGCAGTAGTTCCACTGCTTTGCTCCTGGAAGACATTCCCGTGTAATGGAAGCCAACCCATATTGAGGATAGGGACACTAGTAGTAGGAGGCTCTTAGTCTTGCCGTTAAGAAGGCCTCTGTTATAGAGGTAGGGAAGATGATCGGAGTATAAGAAGGAAGAAGGTTGGCCTTGAAACCCAAGTTGAGAATTCCCTCTCCATCCTCACTCATCAGCTTCTCCCAGTGGGTTAACGACATCCTCAACCCCAACGTAGTCACCCTCACCCCTAAGCAAGCCATCGAGGCCTAGTACCAGAGCATCAACGGCACCGCGTCCACCAACGGCGGTACCGCAAAGGTTACTAAGCGGTTCAACAGGGTCTGCTGGTCGGATGATTCAACTCACAGTATGCGGCCCACGGTTAACCACGCTGTCAAGTGCGTGAGCAGCCTGGCGGCGTTGGGGAGAAAGTGTTACATACAGCATTGAGGCCAGGGGGGACCGTGCTCTCTGCCTCGACATTCCTAGAACCGCGATGTACATTTACCCTACCAGTTATGATGTGAAGCTCACAGCGTAAGATAATCCCCGTTCCTGTTCGACGTTGACGTGTGCTCATACCACCTACCCCTATGGTACACTCTAAAAAAGAGATTCACATTGCTAACGTCCGGTTTCGGGGGGATATGCAGTAACCAAGTTGCCATTGCTGGTGGACATCTTATGGGTAAGTGTGCCAAGCTAGGTGGCCACCTTATTTACCCTTTCCTTCCTCTTACCGATTAAGGGCCATGTTGCTAACAATTCTGGATTTCGTGACAGACGGGTGTACCTACGGTGGCACAACTGGCGGATCTATTTACGAGGATTTCGCCCCCCTTACCCAAATCAATTTGGGCACGTATTAGGAGAAGGGAAATATGAGGTTGTGGTTTAATCAAAAGGGGAACGGGAGATGGTCACAGCATAATGAGCAATGGACACACTGAGAGACAGGGAAAACAAGTTAGAAATACACACATACATACTACCGTGCCTATTTTTGGAGACTAGATTTTTGCGCCGATTGCGACCTAATCCAGTTAAACGCCCAGTCAAAATCACTATTGTGATGTTGTCTTGTATGTTACCTTGTGTCCGGATCAAAGTGTTGCAGAAGCTTGCTAAGTTGACAAGACTGAAGATACATTACCTAGGGGGATGACGGATGTGATGAAGGGTAAGACTTCGATTCCGAAGTCCAAGGGCATTGAGAAACCTTTTTGTGACCGACAAAAACCACCGCGCAAGCGGGAACATAACCGTGGCAATCATAAGAAAAAGAACAAAGGCAAAGGTCATTGCGCTACTTGCTGAATTGCGCGTCAGGGAAGTTCGTCTCGTTCTTACATACGGAAGTTGCTCGATCGTAGGTAGGAAAGAACCATCGTCATGTACACTTGGAGGAAGCGGGATACTTTTGGAAGGAACAGCCCTCGACTACGTCGAGCCTGCCACTCGGGACAACGAACCACGACCAATTGTAACTTGAAAGGCTCGAATAACAATGGAACAAAAGACCAGACGATTCACCTAGGTAGATCAGACGACTGCCTTCTGTAGATACTAAACGACTTTCTCTCCCTTTGGCCAAAGGCGGTCAGCATTTTCTGGCTGTGGTGTACCTACCTACCAGATTTTCTCGTCTATTCTCCTGTGGTATTCAGTTGCTGTATTGCAGTGCGGGATATCTGGATGGTGATGAGATCAGTCAGGCTTTGAGTTGGCTGCCGCCAGGGTTTAGCCAAGTCCAACCACTACTACCTTAGCCAACCTTCTTTTAGGCGTTTACATACCTATGTAAGTGATCCATTTAGTTCCATATGAGATGCGTTATTCTTAGGGATCTTGCATATGATACTTTCAATCTTGTTAACTCATTTCTAACTCGTAGGTACTTGGCGATTACATTCTGTCCTGGAGACGTTCGGGAAGTTTGGTTCCTCTTGGATTGGAGTTCGTCGGCTTTTTTTTCCCTTTCGGCTTGTTGCCTTTGGTCTCCAGGTTGGTAGCGGGAGCCATCATGATAAGTGTGGTGGTGACTGGTAAGACTTGAAGAAAGTTTGAGATAGTCTTGAGTGTTTTGATGATGGCAATGGAATTTGGATCAGGTCAGGTGAGTCAAGCCTACCTACCTAGCTAGGTATCTAGTACACATACACATATTCGATCATGTGTTTCATCATCTGTGTGTGATACAGGCGTCGTCGGAACCACCGCAGGTGAGAGTAATCTGCGAAGACTGTCGATCCCGGTAGTCTGCTTATTCGAAATTTCGAAAGTGTCCCGTGACCATTCCCATATCTCAATCTTCTTTTAAGCAGGCTTGCTCGCTTGGTAGCAGCACTGGTTACAGCAATACCGTCTGGATGTCCACTGGCACGCCACTGATCTCTTCTGTTTTGATTCTGTCTATTGAACCGGGTGCACGTCACTGGTGAATGTCCCACTTCGCGGCTACGCCGTCGTTTTCAACCTGGATGTTCTGTGGTTCTGAGATTCTGGGCATTTGTCGATCATCCTAGGGCGAACATTTAGGGGTTTCTTGGTTCTTTCTTGGACTGCTCCGCTTGGGACTTGGGTTGTGCCGATTTCCGCGCGAAGCGCTGATAGATCAACGGCGTTTCCGGTTGACTCTCCAGTCTCCAAACAGCGAGGAACGAGGCTATTGGCGCCGGCAAGGAGATAGGTCGTGATCGATCAATGGGAGGGAGTATCTCAAGATGCGACGACAGATTGTGGATTGCATGTCAAGTTCGCTCCCATATCAACTACCTACCGAGGATGAGAGCTGGAACCAATTATTAGAAAGCTTTTTCATGACTATGAACCTTCTTGCGCATGCAGGACGACAAAGGGAAATGAAGAGAACAACAACCAAGTCAACCAGGCGACTTCCATGGGGGATATCTCAAAATAAAACAACTACTGTCTAAAGCAACTAGAAACAACAACCAAGCAAACCGAAAAAAGCACACCCGACACGCACCATGCAACAGCGGTGCCATAAACAGCAAGAGCTGAAAACCACCCTCATTTTTTTTCTTCGCCCAAAGAAGAATATGTGCAAGGACTTATCGTCTCTTTCCCTCTGACCCACACCCAGACCATCTCTGAAGTATAGCAAGCATGATATGATATACTTTGTTACCCAGCATCAATATGCCCTCACCCATTCGGTTCTTCGTCGTGTCCTTCTCAAGATGAGAACAGGATATTAGGCAAGAAAAGCAGTTAGATGGTATGAAACTACAACGCCATGTACTCTGAATCCAAGGGTACCATTATCCGTGTCTAAAGCCAGCTTTCTTTCCAAGACGCATAGGCCCTGTATGCCTGGACGCATGAATATGCATTACCAGAAAGACCGTTCCTCGCGGAACGAACTTCCAGACTCCCGTCAAGCCCAAAGCCTGAAAATAACACGCATACTAGCGAGTGATAGCGATGCCCAAATCAAGGATGAAACTACATCAGCAACACACAGCTTAGCATCTCAGTGGAGACCACCGAGTGTGAAACAATTCCTGTCTTGTGCTGGTGGACCGAAGCCGTCACCCGCTCAAGCAGGCAAATTCTCAAGCATCGGAAAGAAAAGTCGTTCATTGATGGACGACCAAAGCTGGGTAATATGTGAAAGGGAGTAAAGGAGAGAACAGCGCTGAGGTTGGCAGATTCTCAAGGGCCACACCCACTTTTGTGCCCGAAGAATCCGCCTTACTCGCACCAAGAATTGCCTGCCCAGGAGCTGCTCGTTCGTCCATTGATCTACGAGTGACAAGCCGAAATGTTTCCCTAACGCCGAGTATGCGGATGAGATGAAAGAGTATGATACAGGCAAGTCTTAATTTTTCTTTCGTCGGTCGTTGACTTGATCATGCATTTGTGACCTAATAAAATCGTCAGTGAGATTGGTTCGTGAGATCATGAGGCTGGAATGCAGAATCACGTACGCGAAGAATCCTCCTGGAGTAATCTTGGTTGTCGGCGATGCTGCCATCGCTCAATCTCCTCTGCACGAGGACAGGGTCGAGTCGGGCGTCCGCCATGGACATTCCATCGCTGGTGCTGGGCGGCTTGCCAATGAAAGCATTGACGGCAGCGTTGCGGCGATGCTCATCCTCGATCTCCTTGTTCCGCTTGCGACGCATGTAGAGGAAAACACCTCCAACTGCAGACAATACAACGACGACTGCCACCACGGTGCCTGCCACGATTCCGGCCGTGTTGCTTTTGCCCTTTTTTTCGGACTCTTCGGGCAAGCTTGATTCAGTAACGTCAGCAGTCGGCTCGGAGACGGCGCTTGAAACGCTGGATGTCTTGGCCGGAGCAGTTGAGCTCGGAGCGGCGCTAGTGCTAGAAACCTTAGGCTCCGAGAAACCTGGCGACATTTTGAGGCCAGAGTTAAAGACACTCCATGTACCGTCGCCGCCGCCTATACGATGGTTAGCGTCTTACAGGATATGATCCAGCCAATCTCTGTAACTTACAATATTCCTGATTAAAGCCCGAGCATGTGAGACTGCAGTTTTTGACGTCGGTCAATGATGACTTCGGCGGATAATGCGTACCGCACCAGCACTCAGCTCCTGCAGACATTGCGAAAACCTGCATGTTAAGGTCTAGACACCACCTGTAACAGAGGCCCCTTGTTACACCGGTATCTTTTTCTAAGCCTTGGCCGAAGTCCATCATGTTTTGAGAATTCGTGCGTGTGGTATTCAGCTTCATTTCGCCGGAATCAGCGAAACAACCCTGGTAGGTGTCCTGATTGAAGATAGGATCTGTCTTTGTTGGGTATGGTGGTTCGGCTCTGACGTATAATGAGCCCAAGGAGTGGTGCGCTGTTGCAATGGCGCAGTTAGCGGCGAAGGCCGTCAGCAGCACTGATATCGACTTCATGGTGAAATGGATGACGGGTTTCGATGTCTTGATGCAATAATAACGAGTAACGGTAACGGTCGAACGATGAGGTCGTCGTCGCTATCGTTGATGTTGTGGTTGTCGTCGTCGTATTGGGTGTTACTCTGGCGTTGACTTGTGCTTGAAGTTGGGCCAAAACACAATTAACGCAGGATCCTTGGAGAGTCCTGGTGGTTTGGGTTGATAGGACAAGGGAGATCTAGCCTCCTGCGTGTCGAGTGGAATGGCGAGCGGTGAATGAAGCGGTTGTCGACGGGCTGATAATAACGAGTGGTGCTGCCCCTTCTTGTTGTCTCCTGCTGTTCCCTTTGTTTGCGGATCCCTTGGTATTCCTTGTTGATGGTTGACGAGGTCACGAGTGGTTGGACATTGCCTTTGTTCCAATCGGTGCCGGTCGACGGAAGACTATGACTCGACGACGGTGCTGGAGCGGGCCGATATGGTTAGTGTGACTTTCGGGCGATGGTCAAGAACAGAAGTCGGGGGTCGAAATGCGACCGGGCAAGTGACCGTGATGGTGTCGTTATCGTCGTCGTGGATAATGATTGTGTTGTGGTCGAATGATGGAAAATGTCGGACACGCACACACGAGAATGGGGAGCGGAATTGAAAGAGCGACAGTGTGGGTGTGGAGGAGGGAGCGGAAGTGGTTTTGTTTGAGAGGGAGCGGCCGGCCGAAAGTGCGAAAAGGCGCAGTGACTGGGAGTGGGAATGGGGAGTGGGCGGGTGTGTAGGAGACAGAAGAGGGGGAACACAGATGGAAGAGCGGCAAAACTGAGTGGCAGACTGGGAGCCTGGGAGGGGGACGAAAGCAACCAAATGGAAGGAAGGTAACAAGAACGAACCTGTGAAAGAGACGGAGAACCACTGCACTGTCCACTGAGAGTCGGAAGCAGGGGTCCTGGACGGCGCGGCAGCTGGAGGTGCAAAATGCAGTTCAGTGCAGGTACCGTACCGTACCGTATGTATTTGATACGCACGAAGGGGTTCTTGCGCCCGAACCTGGCAGACGGAAAGTTACCAGTTCAATTTGATTTCAAGGAGTGGCCCGCGACTGTTGTTTGATTCAAAAGCCAACCGCATCCCCCCCAAAAGATGAGAGCGACGAGTTTGAAAGAGGGGACAAAAGACCAAAAGACCACAGACGGAATGTCAGGAGCTGAGGACCGTCGAGACCCGGACACCACGGCGAAAACGGGGGAGTGCACAAGTTGGGGGAGGACGACGGGGCCGCTGGAAATTGCGCGATGGAGCCCAATCCCCCTGACGCCTGGGGCCTCGGGATGCATCATTCAAAAATCGAAACGAGAGGCACATGCATCCCGGTCGTCTCTCACCTCTCACCTGAATTGCGACCCACAAAAAGGGAGGCTGGGTGGGCCTTCTGGCCAATGGGGACCGCCCTCTGCCAAAAATATGTGCCCTTCCGACTTGCCATTCGCTGGGTCATCACGCCGTCTAGTGGAGTAATACTGGGGCAGGCACATTTCAGGGGTACCCGTCATTCTGTCGATCCCATGGAGAGAGGCCAGAAGGTGCGAAAAAGAGCGAGGAAGGGGCCACCACTTCCTGCTGCGGTACTGGGGTTAGCCAGGGCCTCGCTCTCTGTTAGTGTACACAAGGTTTTGCCACACTGATGGCATCTTTTGAGGGATCGTTTCTACCGAGAGTTACAAGCCCTTTTATACGCAAGCCTTTGCACATACGGGCGCTCGCATAGACCAGCTTCCGTTGTGACCACTCATTCTCAGTCAAAAAAAAGTGTTTGCACGAACACCTCACCACAAAGCTAGCTAGGGAGAACAGAAGATGAGATGAGATCTACTGTACCCAAAGGTACCCAGCAATCTTGCTTGTCACTTGGGTCGAACGACAAACAAATACTTGGGGGTTGTGGTGCAGCCTGGGGACCTTTCGTCAACCCCCTCTTTGTAAAAGAAGGGGCGAAAATATTCTGGAACAGTGAAATATTCTGGGACAACCAAAAATGTAAGCGTTCACTATGGAAAATTGTTAGTGGGCGAAATGCAACAACAAAAATCACAACCATCAATTTTTTGAAAATTCCAAGAAGTTGAGAGATTCAGAAAGGTATCAAAGAGCCATTTACCAAATTGCATCCATTTTGGTCAGGGCGTTAGTAAGAAACTCAGAGTGCAAATGCTTTCCCCAATGAAAAGTGTAATGTGCTTCAACGGTTTCACGCATCCTCCAAAAAGAGGTTTGGTAACAAACGAAAGGTTTGGGAGCTTTCGCTCATTCAATTTGGAAGATGATTTTTTTTTTTAATTCTTTCAAGTAGTCCCTTTTCCTTGAAACCCCCTGAGAATTTTCGTAGAATTTCCAAAAAAAATTGATGGATGTGGTTTTCATTGTTGCATCTCGCCCATCAACAGTTTTCTATAGTGAACACTTACAATTCTGATTGTCCCAGAATATTTTACTGTCCCAGGCTTTTTCCACCCCCTACTTTACAAGTAGGGGGTTGACGAAAGGTCCCGGCCGCACCACAACCCCCAAGCATGTCCTTCGTTCTCTAGCTTCTCTTTTCTGTACCACATCAATGAGATGCAAGGCCTTTTCTGTGCAATCATTTCACCACCGGGGTTCTACCCCTTTTCATATGCCTGGGGAATGAATGAAGGAAAGATGGTGACTTGCCAGAGCTTGTTGCTCACATATGCACAGCATCGATGAAACGGGATCACCGCCAGCTTGAACCACGCGGGCAGCAGCCAAGCCAAGCACATGCGCACACTGCACACATTGGTGTTGACAGTTTGTTGACTACTGCCCGCCAACGGTCCAACCACGCATCCGTCGGTCGCCATTGGAAACCATCCTCCCATCTCAACGACGATAGCCTCCTAACCAAAGAGGCAGGGGAGGGCAACATGAAACAACAAACACGGGGGTTTGCCAGACGAAGATTCCACCTTGACGGGCACCATCCTTTTTCAAACGGTCGGTTCCCGTCCCCATTCCGGCCGCCCTAGGGCACCGTGAGACCGTGACCGAGAAAAAAGGGTAGAGAGGCCTCTCATCTGGGGGGTTGTTATCCATCATTTCATCCATCGCCATTTGTTTCTCCATGTCACTCTTTTGCCAAGCAGACGAAACCAGGAGCGCACGCGGGCGGGGCGGCAAAAACGATTGCAATGATGGCGGAAGGTCGAGCAGGAGCTTCGAGAGCTTCCTTCCATGTTCGCTTTCTCCAGTTATCTTGGCGTTCGGATACGAAAGGAGTCCCCACTGTAATGACACATGGACCGGTCCAGCCAGGCTTCACTGCCCGCAGTTCGCAGCATTCATTTCAGCAGTTCAGCCGGACAGATGTCACCAGTCCCGTCGCCATCATTGATCATGATCCATCGAGAGCAAGAGCAGAGAATCTCAAAAGCAAAGCGTCCGTCGGGAGGCAGGAGCAGGTGAAGCGGCCAAATGCAACACGATCAGAACTGAAGCATTGATGACGGAGGGTAACTGCAGCTTCTCAATCGTAGAGGTAACACTGTCCTGACCACCGAACCAACCAAAAACAACCAACAGCACCACCACCATGATCACCATCCAACAAGCGAACAAACGAGGGCATCAGCTTTAAAGTGTCAGCTAATCAGCCTAAAACAACTCCTGGAAATGGCTTCACTGCTTCAGATACGAAGTGAAGAGTGTGAGTGGAAAAGGGAGAAAAGGTGCCGCCTGACCGCAATGTTCGTACCACGGAATCACAACACCTGCCGTTGCGCTACACACCATTGCACCTGCACCACCACTTTCAAACAAACTGCCTTGCTACACCACCTGTGTGCATCACCAGAATCAGAACTTTGAGAACCGAACTACGCCTAGCCAGAGTTCATTCATTTTGCACCGTTTTAGTTCCCAGAAAAAAAGGATTCTGTAGTGTAGCACGGTCTTTGTCTATCTCCATCAAAAAACTCGCGTCAATAACTGCCGACCCGATTGTTCCGACAATGTTTCTTCCAGCGTCGTATGTCAGCAACTCAGCAGCATAGTCAGCGGCGGAAAGTTCCGCGATTCGCGATGCGATCACTCATCGCTGCCCGCGCAGTTCCCTCCAGCTTTGACAGGAAAACTCCGGCCGGAGGTCACTGTGAGTGACGGAAGCCCTGGAGATAGGCCGGGTCGGAGCAGCAGGATCACTGCCCTCACTTTCATGGCGTGTTTCATCGTCACGATCATGATGCTTCCCGTCCCTTTCCTGCCAGTCGTTCTTATCGGGTTCAAAGACCGCGCTCCATCCTCTTCTTCTTAAAAACTGGTCGGCACCTTCCTTTACATTTCCCCGCCTTCCCGTCCTCGCCATATCTACCCAAGGTAGGTACAGTACCTAGGTATATAAACACCCCGTTCGGTGCCGACATGGACGGTTGCAATATCCAACTTGCAGTTGATAGTATCGAACGCACCCGCCGATCTGCCATGCTCGCACACCGGACTCCGCCCGTACCTGCGTATGTGTATGGTGCAGTGCGATGTACTTGCGTACCTACTGCAGTGCTCGACTGCTCGTACCCAATAATCCCTGCGCCGTGCAAAGAAGACCGGACAAAGTCCCCTGAATTATGCATGAAAAAAGGCCCTTTTTCTGTATAGCCACTTTATCCATCTTGCTGCCCAATCATGATTGGCAGAACGTCCACAGTAAGTATCGAATGCACGAGCCAGAGGCTCAACGACGGTTCCTGGCAGGTTCCCGGAAGGTTTCTGACGGCTGGCGGAGGCTGTGCTGTTTCTGTTAAGCAGTTTGATTTGCTTGGCTGACAGATGTGGCTTGTGCGTTGGATTGAATGCGGAATGCGGTCGGTGGAGTCCGAAGATCCCCGTACGCAGTATTGTACCTTGCTGATGCCGACGCCGTGAGATTGTGACGGGAGACCGGAGTCGTTGCAGCTTCGGGAAGTTGTGGAAATGCAGTCTTGACGGGATGGCGATGATACTGAGCAAAGTTAAAATAGAGATCGAGATAATCCCGCGGCTTCGGTGATAAGGACCATATGGTATACCGTCCCATTATCCTTTCATATATATATATATATATACATGCATTCACCGCCCACCGCCCACCGCCCGCCGCCGGCAGCCTTCCGGAATATTACCAACATACGGGTTTATATGACCTATCTTGGGATTTCTGGGAAGGGGATATCCGTGACCTTGACCTTGAATTGGCTCCACGTCCTGCGTAGGAACCGAAAGATAACAGCAACAGCGGCCCGCCATGGGAACGGAACAGGGAAACGCGGCCTGGAAGGAGATCGGGGATCGGGGATCCAGATAAGCGTTTTTGTTGACTTCCTTGTGAGAAGTGGGAAGTTAATCAACTACCAAGTTGAAGACAGAATGAAGTCACAGAGTGTGAAATAAAATGGCTTCTACTATCATCCAACAAAACTGTCTAACAAATGTTAGAATATCATTCCACTAACGGTCTGCCTCCTATAGTGCAGCAGCAGCTGCTAGTGAGTTAACATCCAGACTATAAGCGCAGGAACTCATGATATTGTCTGTCTCATTCCCGTCCACGGTCGGGGTTACCAATATCCTCAACCATGGAACTTGCTTAAAGCAAGCTTTGGGTATCTTTCATTGCGTTCTAGATGTGAAAGTTTTACGAAAGGTCAAGGGACAACTGTAACACTTTTGACAAATCCCGTCCTTTGTACATCAACAAAGCCCATTGAAGACCAGTCGGGATATTTCCAATCAGAAAACCAAGTGGAATAAGATTAAGCACATAGGTGGCACAAGCTTATTCGAGCTGTCAAGCTAGATTGATAGAAGTTCTAGAGATGCCAATTTAACCAATCAGCCGCAAGGACATAGTGATGAACAAGAATAAGCATGACAGATCTGACGTGGCCAGTCTCGCTCTTTCCCTTAGCTTCATATATACGCTCAAGACCTGAAGTCAAATATCAAAAAGCATGAGAACCATCAACATGTTGAAGAGGTATTAGCCTCTTCACCAACTCCCTATATGATGAAAGATGAACCATCAACATCAACACATATTCCACTACCCAGTACTTCATTCCTCTCTATCTACCTAATGCAACACGTTCCAAAATTCTGAACCACTCAGCTCAAACCTCTTCACCCTCCCTCCAACTCCTCTACCTCCTCCTCTAACCTCCTACCGATCCCGATGCCTCTCACTCTCCACACACTCCGTCTTATGCGTCTTCCAATCCCTCTGTTGACACTCCCCACAACAATACCTAACCTTCAAACACCTGCCACACTTCCTCAACACCTCCACTCCCTTTTTGCCAGCCGTCTCCCCGCCCTGCTCCCTCATCTCCATAACCAACTCCTCCTCGCCCTTGCCACAGTACCTACACCTCTCCTCCTTCTTCTTGATCAACGCATCCTCCAATCCCTTTTCCGCAATCTTTTTTGCCAGGAGGGGATCAAACACCACCCTTTCCGTCGCTGGCGAGCAGTAAGGAATAGAGATGGCTACGCGCGTGGCGTGTCGCGAGGCGACCGAGTCCCAGAGCGGTAAGGAGAGGTATTGCGGAGGGAAGTGGCCGACGCCGCAGGTGCAGAGGACTGGCTCTCCTTTCGTAAGGCTGAGAGGGATTTTGCCAAACGTGGAATACTCGCAGGAGGAAGGGGAGTGAGACCATGTGGTGCGGCACCGTTCGGCGAAGGAAGGGAGGAGGGATTTCCAGAGACGAAGCTCGGCGTCGGTGATGGTTAGGTCGACGCATTCGAGGGCTCGTAAAAGGACGAGGAAGGATTGGAGGTCTTCTTCTTCTTCGTTGTCGTCTTTGTCTGTATCAGTTTTGGGTTTGGGTTTGGTGAGAAGCTCGCGAGTAAGAGGCAACACAGCCGCATCGATGACTATTCCTCCGCCGGACTGCGCGCTGCAGTCGAGCCTGATGGCCGAGACGAGGATGAGGATGTGTCTCCCGTCTGAGGACGATGAGCCGGACCCGGACAGGGCGAAAAGACCGGATTGTCCTACCTGCAGACCGGCGGCGATGTTGATCATGGTGTGCAAGGATTCCTTAAGGGTGAGTCTTGTCGAGCCCCATTCGGTGTCAGGGAGGCCTTGTTCCATAGCAGCGTGGCGCCTACGGAGTTCGCGGGGTGAGAAGATGGAGGAAGCCAAAGTGCTGAGAAATGTGAGGCGGGAGGTGTCGGTGAGAGAGAGGATGGGAAGGGAGTCGAGGTTGACTGTGGGGCAGTTGAGCGGGACGGGGATGAGTTGTGTTGGTGGCTCTGATGATGATGATGAGTCGGCGTCGACGGCTTGAAGAATAGTAGGGAAAATGTATCCGTCTAGCACACTGGCAGCTGTCGGAAACCGAGGGTTGAGGATCGCCGGCGCGATCACTTCGATGTATCCCGACGTGCGAGCGATGCGCGTCTTGCTGCCTTCTTTGAGAACGGGGGTCGGGAAGACGAGCGGTTTGACGAGTGTCCCGGCGCCTGAACCCAAGACGATGTCGATAGTCCACGGGGAAGACTGCCTTAGACTGATCGGGACGGTCCTATCAGCCAGTAGCCGCTTATCCTCCTCCGTGATAAAATCCAGATGGCCGGTGATGGTCTTAAGTGTAGTACCCGAAGCGACATCAAAACTCGCAGTAAACGCCGGGCAGCCATCCGCTTCATGTTCCGCGTTCTCAGATTCAGACACCTCCTTTAACGCCTTTCTCAACAAGGCATCTTGCGTGGGATGACCTCCGATCTTTTCAAGAATAACCCGCTGGAACTGCTCCCTATCCGTCTCGAACCGGCCACACACCACGCCCAAAAAGTCCAAAAGGGTCTGCCACAGCCCTGGTCCCCAAGACACTTTGACCAGCTCTTGCCCCTGTTGCAGCACCACCCGCTGACCTTCGACCTTGGAAATCACCAGATCCTGGTAAACCCTCCATGCGGCCTCCGCCAGCTCCTTTGCATCGACCTTGACAACAACCGGCTTCTTCATGGCCCCATCGTGTTTCTGGTACTGGTCAGGGGCAAGCCGCCTGGAATGTTTCCTAAACACCCGATTACCTATCTGCAGTCCCCCCTGTTCCTCCAACTTCTTCACCCTAGCAGCCGCAGCCGCAGCCGCCTTCTCCTTGTCACCTTTTTCACCCTTTTCACTTTGTCCACCGCCACCGCCGCCGCCAGCGGCATCAACAACATCCTCATCATAGAACTCCGCAGCAGCCCCAAGACACTCATCCACCGTCGCCCTAACACTAGCATTACTCCAATATTCAACCGGCGATAGGCCCAGGATGAACGACGCTGTCGTCGAGCTGGTCAAGGGGTCATTGTTCTCGACATTGACATCATCTCCAGAGGCAGAAAAAAGCGATACCCCCTCTCCATCATCCATAACCAGCGTCGAAGACGGTCGGTCTTTGAGTAATCGCTTGGCGGCAACCATCAAGCCCAAAATGCCAGGAGGGTCGGCGACGCCGGCTGCGAGGGGGGACCAAAATGTGTTGAGTGTAAGGTCGGTGGTGTCGATTACGTCGAATTGTTTTTTCGTCGTCTCTTTCGTTACTAGTGATTGACAGAGGGGGAACCAGCCAGTCTACCACAAACCGAATTGTGAGTCTCTTTTCGTTCTCCTTATCTGAGAGGGCGAGTGAAGCTAGCTCCCTGAAGGCCATAGACCACTGAGTAAACTGGTGTCTCGCCACATCATGGATTGGCGGGATTGCATCGTCGTCGGCGTCGTCGTCGTCGTCATCATCATCATCATCGTCACCATCGTCGCTGTTATCGTCGTCGTCGTCGTGATCCTCCTTGGAAAGACGCAGCGGGGAGAGCTCGGTAAGTGGTGCCTTGGCCAGCGCGAGATGGTACCCTAACACTCCAGTAGAGGGGTAGGCTAGTAGACGTCGGCGACGGCCTGGCAATTCTGATTCAGACTTGGATGCGGACTTGGATTCGGCATTAGTGTCAGAATCTGATTCGGAACCAGAACCAGAATCAGATAACAACCCAGCCCCAAACGTAGGATTAGCAATCATCATATTCCCTTCCCCCGATGTCTGATCATAATTCCACGACCACTGCACATAAGTCCGGATATGATCTTTTAGCAAGATGGTCAATGGCGCTGCTGCTGCTGACGAGCCTAGAGGTAATGTCCAGGACTCATGGTGCTCAGTAGAGCTATCAGGTGATAGAGGTAGCTTCATGCCCTCGGCCATTGCAGCCTGAAGCTCTGCCACTTTCTCTGACGATGTCTCGGACTTGAGTGAGTCTGCTGCTGCGGCGGCATATTGTCCCCATACCCCCCTCACCGCATCCAGACTTTTTGCGTTGAGAAAGCGTATTGTCTTCCCGTAGGTGCTTTGTTCCCACTCCTTCAATGTCTGCGACATTTCACATAGCTTCGTCGATTGCTGAGCTAGTAATTCCCTAGTGTCGCGGTCGGGGAGAAAGCGGGTGTGGTAGATGTCGAAGATTTTGGTGAGTTTTTCCTTCCTCGTAGCCTCCTTATCCTCCTTCTTCTCCGTCTCCTTATTATCCTCCTGTAGACCATCCAGCCCCTCCAGGTCCAAAATGAAACTCAAAATCAGCACGTTCCGAGCCACCACGTACTTGTCGTGGTTACTAATCGTGATATCGATCTTTCTGTGCTTCAGTTTATTTCTCCTTCTTTCTCTTGCCTCCTCCTCTCTCTGCTGATCTCCTTGAGCGGCAGACCCAGGCCTAGGCCCAGCTCCTACCTCCGAATAAGCCGTGTACAGAATATTCCGGACATCTTTCCCCCCGATGACGAGGATGTCGACGTCTAGATCGGGTGGGAGAGGTGAGGTGAGGTTGGTTGCTGGGGTGGTGGATAGTGGGTAGAAGATCGAGGACATGGAGCCGGGGGGTTCATTTTGCTTAGTTTTGGATGGTGTTGACATTTGAATCGTGAGTGTTTTGCGGTTGATGTTTGTTGATGTTGGCGTGTTTTGGCGTTGAAGATAGTAGTGAGATGCTCGGTTTTGGTGGTTTGGTTTGTATTCGGGTCGGGAGTTTAGGAATGAGGTTAAGCTGCCCTGTTCGGGGATATGGATTGGTTGGCGACGATGTATAGGTATGTTTATGCTGAGCTTCCTGGATGGGAATATTAAGAACTGTTGAGACTTATGAAAGGGTGACTGGTGAGCCCTGTGCAATGGAATCCGACAGTGCCTGATGGATGCTGCAGCACCGCAGTCCCGCAGTGAGGTCGGCGAAGATGGTGGGGTCCTTCCATGTGTTGTCACAGTAACTGCACTGTGGACGGCAAGGTGAGGGAGGTGGCACGTGCAGACATGTGTCTTAGGCTCTTAGCTGCAAGTGAGGCGATCGCGACCCACGTGTTCACGATGGGACCTCGATGGGCCGAAGTCACGGTGACGACCACGGGCAATGTCAGAACGATAAAAAGCGAGGAAAAAGTCGACCGAAAGTGAATTATCCCAAACACAGCTCTAGCCAGAAGCCAAATACTACTACTACGTTTACGTAGGTAAATATTAACTGCCGCCCTTTCCCAACGCTACCTCCAACAGGAAATCAAAGAACAAATGACGCCGACACGTTCGCGTCCATCAGTACCTTTTTCCTAGGTAATCCCCTTCCCATTAGTTCCTTCCCCTCCTCCTTTTCCGCCCTGTTATTTTCCAGACACCAGCAGTGGAGGAACCAAGAAATTAAATACCCCAAACCAGTACCGTATTCGTACACTTCCCTCCTCCTGTTTATCTCCGTCTGACCAGAGTTGATGATGCCATAATCCCTTCTTCTCCCCCAAAGCGCCTTTGACCGTCGCTGGTCTAAGCGCATGTTGCCGCCATCCCATTAATAACCTGCCGTGTGTGCATTAGGCCTCTTCTACCAATCAGAAGAGGGTAGGTAGATGTCCAGTCATTAAGTTAGCCTTTCCAAACGAAGTGAACCCAGAAAGAGAACAAAAAAGCGCAAACCAAAACCCGAACCAAAAAGGAAAATGCAAAAATGCAAAAAAAGAAATGATCAACCCCAAGGCCACCAATTCTTGCTCACTCATCTCATGACCCAAAATACATGTTACCCGCACCGTGACCACTGCCATCCCCTTCATGGACATCACCAAACATATTCACTTCCGCTGCTGGATCGTACCCTTCCATGACCTCGAATTTGGCCATACCATCCAAGTTTCCAAGCATCAAGTTTTGATCCATTTGATGCTCATACCCATGCAGAAGCATGTTTGTTGGATCAACGTCCGTGGGACGGACCGCCGAGCCCATCCCCATGCTTGTGGCGGGACCCGGAATGTTCGACATGCCATTATGGCTATGATCCATATCGTAGTACGTCGGCCCCTGACTGCTTTGTTGTTGCTGCGTATGCGTGGGTGGTGACGAGCTAGTCGACAACTCCGGCGGCGTATAGTGGCTCACAGCACTCTTGGCTGGCGATGCAGCATTCTGTGATCCTGGAAGCCCAAAATCCGGTCCCGGTCCGTGATGCTCGGTAACTGAAATCGACGGATGGCTAGCATGGCTATAATTACTCACAGCCGACGGGGAATTAGCGTAGTTCCTCGACACTGGCGAGTCCACGTTCATGACTTCGTTAACTCTCGGGTCGAAGCTCGGCATTGGCGCTGAAGACACTGACGAGACCGACATGGTGGCTGCAGCCGGGTTCATTGTCGATGAACTGGGCATCGCACCATGTCCATGACCGGCATGGCCCGATACAATGCTTGGCGGGAGGTTTGGCACATTCCCCATTGGCATGTCCAACAAGCCAGGGAACTGTTCATCGTCGATTATGTGATCGTAGTCGTTCCCGGGAGAGTTGGGCACCGAGCTATCTGAATAGCCAGAAAAGCTGCTGACGGAGCTGCTGGTTGAATGATGGCTCCTGGACCGATCCCTCGTGCGGTCGCTTTTATCTTTTCTCTCCTCCATGTCTGGCCTGTTCTTCCGTGGTCGGCCACGCTTGACCACCTTGCGTACGATACCATCAAAAGCACCAACGCACATACCGCGCTGCCGATGTCGTGTGAGTGCATCATGCCGCGCGAAGCTGTTGCCGCATTCGCATGGGTATGGCTTGATGCCCGTGTGGATCTTGGCATGGCGCTTGAGGTCGTGTTGGCGCACGAAGCACTTCTTGCAGGTTGGACATTGATATTGCCTGTCGTTGAGGTGCGTTTGTACGTGACTCTTGATGTTTTCCTTGCGGCCAAACCGTTTCCGACAGTCTTCGTATGTGCATACCCATTTGCCGTCTGCGGGATCGGGACCTTCGATGTACTGGGCGATGTCGTCCAGAGTTACCCCAGTGTCTGTCTTGGTCTCTTCGATGTTGATACTAGCAATGCTGGCAGCGCTGGCAATGGAGGCGATCGAGTCCGTTCGTCGGTGCGGCGAACCACGGCGCGAAGGGGAAACTGAACTCTGGCGGCTGGAGGTATGTGGATCGGCATCGTCGTATTCTGATGGGGGACCAAGGTCTGGCTTATTGTCGAAAGGGCTCATCCCTCCAAGTCCTGACATCTGGGATCCCATCTGTGATCCCATCTGCGACCCCATGTCAGGGAAAGTGAATCCGTTATGCTCCAACTTGATGAATTCAGAATGGATCCTCAACAAGTCTTCGTCTTGGGTTGCTGGAAGCGCGTGCGTTTGAAATGTCGTGGGCATCCTGTCGGCCTGAGATGTTGCAGGTGCAGCAGCAGCAGCCATAGCTTCCGCCTGTTGACGCAGTTCCTGAAAAATACCCGAGTTGCGATTGCTCCGGTGTCCTCGTATGGGTTTAAGTGTCTCCTCCATCGACTCGTCGTAATCCTCTGCAAACCTGCTGGGCCTTAGTGTTTGTTGCTGTTGCTGTTGCTGTTGCTGCTGTGTTGCTTGCTGCTTCATGAAGCGATCGTGTGGTGTTTCCATTGGCGTTGGGGGATAGAATCCTGCCTCATTTTCAGTATCCCCGCTCAACACGTCAGGTTTTGCATGCTTACCGGCCGCATTATGCGTAGGGGGCGTTGCTGGCCTCTGCCCATTTGCCATAGGCTCGTACTTTGCAACTTTGTCTATGAGACTATTGTTCAATCCACCGCTTACCCGCCTTGACGCTCTGCGCAAGTGGGTGTTGGATGCCTCGCCCTCGGATATCCAGCCTCCCTGTCCCGTCCCCGCGGGGCTTTGGTCCGGAAAGCTCATAAAGTTCGGGGTAGAGAGCGCCGCGTCCGGGGCAAAGAAGTCAAAGTTTGGGTTGGCAGATGATGATGAGGCCATGGCATTGTTGTCATTGTCGTAGCTGGCCTGGTTTCTCTTCATCATGGCGTCAAAGCTGGAATCCATATAGGTATCGTAGGACAAGGACAGTTCGGGTATCGGACCTTGCGGGGCCAACCCGTCCATGAAGTGGTTTCGTTGATGTGGTGTGCCATGGGGCGATATAAGAAAAGAGTCGCCGCTGTCACTCGACAGATCACTGTAGTCGGTTTGGCTGGAGCTGGGGCGTGCTATGAGGTGCGCTTGGTGTTGCTGCTGTGCTAGGATATCCTGTGGTGCCGCTGGCAGACTCGTAGGTATTCCCGTATCTGGGCCCGTCGTGCTGACAAGGGTCGAGTAGTCTTGCTGGGATGTGGATGTGATTGTTGAGGACATGAGAGGGTGACGCCTAGTATCCAGACTAAGGCCTCGTCGATGGGACATGTGAGGGCGTTGCTGTTGTTGTGGGAAAGACGGCAAGGGAGCGATCTTGACAGACTCGAAGGCCGATGGGGTAGAGTTTTGGCGCCGATGTAGCCGCTGTCGCGGGCGAGCGACGCCAGATAGAGGAGGATTGGACATCATTGCTGGCTATGGTAGCGATAAAATAGAAGGGGTCGTCGTCGCCGCCGTCGTCGTCGCGATTGTATTTGCGCAGAGAGGCTAGGCCAAACGGGGGGTGTATTAGATGGAAAGAAGTGTGGTTGGTAGGCTGTTGATTGATGCGAAGAGCTGTCAGCTGTTGTTTTCTTTGCAGTAGTCCCCCCTGCACTGTTGATGTACGCGTCAGGTCCATGTGGACCATAGGCGGCTTCTTTTTAGAGTGTCAGCCTTACCTCACGCAGCGCAAGCCAGACGACGTAGCGAATCTCGTGGCGCGCTTGTGCTCAGGACCGTAACGAGGTGAGATGATGTCTGGATGATGTCTGGATGCCTCGTGCAAGGCGATGCGATGATGATGCTAGACGGGGAGGGCCACGCGGGCGGATGGTGCTATGCTTGGTGATGCAGGCACTCTACCTAGGAACGGCGCTGCCCTGGTGGGTGTCTCTGGCGTCTGTCTGGCTGCAGGGCTCCTCGTCCGTCGGCTCGTCTTTACCTACCTAGCCTGCCTTGTCCTATAGAGCTCAGAGGCTCGCGACTGGACGCGTTCTGGGCTTTGTGTGGGTACTGACTGGGTGTGCGTAATGTGAATGTACCTCTCTACCTGGCGAGGGAGGGAGTGGTACGGTACACGATGTGAATGGATAGATAGGACGACGATAGGTACAGGTAGGTAGAGAGGGAAATTGTTGATGGGTTGCAGTTGGAGGATGCAACACACACAAAACACACACGCATGCGCCGTCCGTTTCTGTGTTGTGGTGACAGCTGAGTGGTAAACGATCAGACGAACGGGGATCCAAGCTGAATGGAAAGAGTGGGTTTGGACGGGGTTTTGCGCGGGCGTTTGCCGGGGATGAGCACGGATTGAGCCAGGCCTGACGAGACGACTTGGTCAGTGGTGTTATCGTTCACTTGCCGACGGGACGCTCTCAGCAGTAAAGACTCCTGGCCCTCCACTACCCGGGGCCATGTCGGCATATCCACCTCTCCAAGAGCGGATTTTTGTTTTCGTACGCCCCCATCGAGTGTGTTGCCAGGGACAACTCCCAGCTCCAACCGACCAACACGTCCAGGCACATGAGCTCCTTTGGCGATTGGCCAATCACAAAATGAGAAGCCCTTGAAAAGTGGCGCCACGCTAGACTGGTGGAGCCGCCCGCTCACGGCACCATTGGAAGAGTGAACCGCGCTGCGTTGGAGATCGCCAGCATCCAATTGGGGATCCAAGGCCTGAGGAACCGGGACGAACCACCTGAAGGCCCTGTGATGGAGCTCTAGATGGGGCAGCTTGGAGTTGATCGCGGACCAAGCCCGATTCCTGCCTCTAAATGATGAGTTTGTCGCCAAAACGTCACCGAGGAGCCAGAACATTGCCCATGCCCATGCCCTACCTAGGTATGACTTGGTGGTGGACGAATGGGACGGCATCTTGTCCAAGGCATCCAACAGGTCCAACATCTCGGAAAAGGATTCGACACCCTGGCTTGGCCGGTGATTGCTTGACTTGGTGCGTGTTTCTGAATTATTATGGTTTCTTCTCAAGTGGAAGTCTCGGCGGACAGGACGGTTTCGGAATGGCCCAGAAATGGCCCAAAAATGACAGACATTAGGCGCCCGTCTAACCCGTCCCTCCATCCGCCGTGACATTGGGGTGCCCCCTGTCTCGTTTCACTGCTTACATCTTTTGTTTCGGTACTGTACGTGGGATGTCGACTTGTATCCGTCATCGCCAGTCAGTTTATCTGCCGTCATCGACCTTGTTTCGAATTCGATGCATTCAATGTTTGCTGTTGACAGTCGTGGACGTGGGTCGCATTGTCCTCGGTTGACGACCATTGATGGATTTCCACTTTCGAATCTCGAGTGAGACTGGGCATGGTCAGTAAACAAGTCAGTTCTCCCAAGTAATCATGTTAGAGAAAGAAAATACATACTGACGGAAGCAATTGCAGTGAATCCGATTCATCTCGCAAAGGGTGTTGCAGCGTAGGTCGTTGGTGGCATCAATGGTGTTTGACCAAATGGCGCGAGTTGGCGACAAAAGGACTTTCACGACGAAAGTGGAAGCTTTACGATCTGAAGCGAGCCTAGCCGAACAGTTCATTGTGACTCGGACACCTCAGCTCAGGAGACGCCCTGGCTAAACGGGATATGGAAGGCGTCGCTTTGTCCAAGTGGAAAGACCGACCGTCATTCAAAAGTCCAGGCAGAAGTGTCACTGTTCGCTGCTTCTGTCGGTGCGCTGTGCTTTGTGCAAGTTGGATGCATAAATTACATAACGACCTGCACAACTCTGGAGCTGCGTCTCCTTCGCTGACCCTCTCGTCTCTCGAGGCAGGAGCAACTCTCGTCCAAAAGTCCAACCTCATTCCTGCCTCTTTACTCTCACAGAGAATCGAATCAAGTAGGTTGGTAGGGTATAGTGACTCTGCATTTTTACCCACAACCAAATATTTTAGCTGGGAAAACTTTGACTCCAAGTGGCAGCCGAGTCCTCTTCCTGTTCCTTAACAATTTCCATCCTTCTCACTGTTCACCTCAACATCACTGATTGTCTGCCACCACTCTCTTAACAATCCCAGTTTTTCAGCCGGCAGTTTATAAAAGACTTTCGTTTTCCTCAGTCCATTGTCCACACACCTTGGGACGGAACTGGTCAGCGTGTTGTCCCCCCCTTTGTTATCCCCTTTGTCGCCATGTCCTCAATCCCCCTTCACGGCCACGATGCATCTTCGACCTTCCCACGCTCTGCTTTGTGTCGCCGAGAAAGGACGCCCAAACAAAAGAGCCTCGGGGAGCTATATCCCTCCCCTATCTGCTTGACCACAAGCCACGGGTGGTAGCTTATAGGGGACAGAGCATGACTATTGGTCTCCGTATGACCATTCAACCTACGTCTACGGCCAGCAGCACTCACACTCAGAATCACTTTTCGCAATAGATCCCAACGTCAACATGTCGTTCGAGGCGTTCGAGGGTTCTGACGCAGATCCTTGGGCCGTACCCAAGTTCACCGAGGGCACCAACGTCTCCCGCGTCATCCCCAGAACGAAACCCCCCGGCATCGAAAAACAAAAAGACAGCACGCATGTCTATTGCGATGAAGTTACCGAATACTTCAAGTGGCGTCGTCATGGGACGCAATCCCCCAGCTCGTGGGATGGCGCAACCATGGACCGCCGAGTCAAGTCGCGCATCAAGAAAGTTCCCATCAGATCCCCTTGGAAAGGTCCCGAGAACTTCAGCGGCGTGGCTCGGCATGGTAGAACAAAGTTAGCTAATTGGCCGGGCGGCGGACCTGCAGAAACAGCGCTCTCTGCCGACGCCAGAAGTAGATGGCTGGAAAAGCAGCTTCTGAACCTCAAAATGCGCCATGTCAAGGTTTTGGGCTGGGGTGGCCTCGGTGTCGTCAACCTCTTTGAGCAAGAACGCCCAGATGACGAGCTCATCAAAGTGGTGTGCAAGGTAGACATCGAGGGCGACAAGGGCTACCTTGCGACTGAGATCCGGTCCCATCTAGACACTGCCGGAGCCAAGCATGTCGCACAACGCATCCCCCCAGGCCATTTCTCGCGACCCAACGGTCGGCCTATTCAACCAGCGCTCAATACTGGCTCTTCAACCACCAGAAGGTCATTCGGCTCGGATTTGATGATGACGGATATCGACGAGGAAGCCGAGTTAGACAACGGTAACGCCGATCCATCGCTCAACGTCATTCCTGTTTGGGCGACAACACAAGTCTTGTTTCTCGAGTTCATGAGCCGCGGGGATCTCCGCAAGATATCAGCTCGCGTTGCCTCTCACCTTGTGGGGGGCGGCAACTTTCCACCACTTACTCTTTGGCACATCTTCAGCAATCGTAAGTAACCTACATCCCCCACATGATTATCACACAGACTAACGCAATAACACAATAATCAGTCTTCAAGGGCGTTATAGGGATGGCATATCCGAGAGAGTTCTTGCCTGAGGCGTTCAAGCCGCTATATATGGCGGACACAATAGCGCCCCAAGCATCAGAAAGCAGCCTGCGTCTACCCAAACTGACACCATACTGCAACCGGACAACCCTTGTCCATTTCGACCTCGATTTGAGCAATGTTTTGGTGGGAGACTATGACAGCTCTGAGCACAACATCACTCCGATAGCCAAGATTGCTGATCTCGGTCTCTGCGCCCGTTTTACGGGCAACCGAAAATCGGTAATGACTCGTTGGAACTGCCGTAGGAGGCAAGAGCAGCATCTATGCGCCCGAGCAGTTTACTGAGGAGTGGGATCACGTCAAGGAGGGCGGCCCCCGTGAATCCGGCGCGACAACGGCGGGAAACTACAACTGGTGGACCAATCTCTACCAGGTCGGTATCATCATGTACTCGCTCATCCAGCTCTGCGAGTTCGAGACGTCGCCCGTGCCGAACTACGCGGCTATAAGATACCCTGACGGCTCCGAGAGAGAGGTGTGGGGATACGGCATGGGTCTGCTTGTTTCCCAATACAGCAATCTCGACTTTGATCTGGTGAACGCTGTTGCTGCGTGTCTGTGTCATGATCCGGCGGACAGGCCCGATATGCACGACCTCGAGAGACTGACAGAAAGGAAGGTAAGCTCGCAGCCGCCTGACGGCCCGGCGGCGCAGACGATAAGAAACTGGGGCAGGCTGATTTTCGAGGGGGCGCCGGCGCCGAGATATGACCCGGCGGCGCCGACGGGGAGGGAGAGACTCGGGATGTTTCAGGATTTTGCCCCTATAGATAGTGGTGGTGATCGGTCTAGGCTGGCTCCGGCCTGGCAGGCTACGTCGCAGCAGCGTGCGGCTTCAGCCGCGAAGTTTCAGAGACAACAACAGCATGGTGTCCCGGCCGGAAGGGAACAGGAGCATACAGCCTCGGCCGCTGTTGTTCCGGGAGGACAACAGCCTGGACTCCAAACCGGAAGGGGGCAGCCATATGTTGCTCCGGCCTTGAGGGGACAGCACCATGGTGCTCCAGTCGGAAGGGGACAGCAGCAGCCTGGACTTCAACCTGGAAGAAATCAGCCATATATTTCTCCGGCCTTGAGAGGACAGGGACATGAACCTCAAACCCCAGTGGGGAGAAGACAACAACAGCAGCCTCAATTCCCAACAGGGAGAGGCCAGCAGCGTGCGGCTACGGCTGCAGTTCGTCCGGGTTAACAGCCTCGGTCCCCAGCTGGGAGAGGGCAGCAGTAGCGTGCTCCTTCGGCTCAAGTTGGGAGGGGGACATTCGCGTGTTCCTTCGGTCGCATTGTAGCAGGCACAGGCTTTGGCTCAAGCTTCAACTCGAGCTTCAGCTCAATCTGCTAGATGGCAACAAGGTGGGTTCCCAACCGGAGGGCGGCCTTCGGCTACGGGTAGAACTTCTTGAGCCAGTTTCCAGGCACTGCTCTGGGTACCCGAATATGAGGGGAGGTTAGGCTACAGGTATGATGCATGATTGAGGCTGTGATCATAAGAGTGCCTTGAGACAGGTTCTTTGAGAGTGACGGGACTTCGGTTCGCTGTTTTCTGGGTTCATGGGCTTTTGGGGTCGTGCCTTTTGTTCTGGCTCATCCTTCACACGCATTGACAAGTTGCAGTCTGCGATGTTTCACATACAAGTGCAAGTGCACATCTCCTCGTGCTGTTGGACTGAGAAGAGAAGGTCATGTGGCCATGCTAGGAGGAGAGAGTGGGTTCAAGCATTTTGTGGAGTTATATGGTTGCAGATTGATAACGTTGTCTTGTTTTATTTCTCTTCTTCCTAGTCGTGTTTATTATTCTTCATATGTCGTGAACGCTTTCATCAGCGAGAAACGAGGCTCAAGTGTCATTTGCTCATCGCGAGCTTTCGGTTTGCAAAAGCGGACTTCCAGCGGCGAAGTGTCCGGATCCGCAACCGAGGCGTATCAATGATCCAATTGTTGCAACCTTCAAAACCAAGCCCCCCTTATCATCATGCAACTGGCACTGTTTTTACGTTCTGTGGCCTGCATATGACTGGATACAACTTGGATGTTGTGTACTCGACGGCTGCATGCATCGCGAATCATCCGCTCTCTTCGGTTTCGGCGCCATGGCACAGTCCGCATCCTCCCTATCTTTACTCCTCCGCTGTTCCCCAGCAAAACCGACGACCTCCCGTTGGCTGGTTTTAAGTGTCTTCCTGAATTCTGACTTCGTTGTCCGGGGGCAGGGGAGTCGGACACGGATCTAATTCTCCGGACAAGAAATCGGGGGATGTCCGGCGTTACATTTGCCTTTTCCGTGCGAATCCATTCAGCCGTTTCCCCGACCCCACCCCGCCATCTAAGTCCGAAGGGGGACGGGGCAAGACATTGGACTCACACCAATTGACCAAAACATTTGAAGGGATCCGAGACAGCGGGGTGTAAACAAATCACTTCCCGTTGGTCGTTTATCCCTTGGTACCGCTCATCTACCACCGGACTCTCGACACCAGCGACCGGGCGGCCCGTGCTACATACCATGTACCAACCACCATGATGGACTATCGATACGCACATTGAGGCACTACTGGCATATGCAGGGAGAGTCAGAAGCAAGACTGAATCGACTGCTGCAGACGCAAGCCTCGCAATAAATAGAATGACGAAGCCACACTCCTCATCGTCTTGACGGAACTATCTTCATCTCCCTTTCTTCCTGTCTTGTCCCTGCTCTCTACATTCCATAGCAACATAACTCACGTCTCGTCTCAACAAGCTACTCTCAACACCACCACCACCAAGGCCCCAACCCGAGCCTCAAGATGCCTATCTCAATTCCCACCGCCTCCCTCGAAGGCAAAGTCGCCCTCGTCACCGGCGCCGGCCGTGGTATCGGCCGTGGCGTTGCCCTCGAGCTCGCCCGCCGCGGCGCCTCCGTAATCGTCAACTACGTATCCTCCGCGGGTCCCGCCAACGAAGTCGTCAAGGAAATCGAGTCCTACAACAACGGGGCGCGCGCCAAGGCCATCCAAGCCGACGTCCGCAAAGTCTCTGAAATCGACCGGCTCTTCGCCGAAGCCAAGCAGGCCTTTGGCCGCATCGACATCGTCATGTCCAACTCGGGAACCGAGTCGTGGGACAAGACCGAGGAGATCACCGAGGAGAAGTACGACTACGTGTTCGACCTCAACGCCAAGGCGCAGTTCTTCGTCGGGCAGGCGGCGTACAAGCACCTCGAGCAGAACGGGCGGGTCATCCTCATGACGAGCATCGCTGCCGGCCTGATGGGGGTCAAGAACCACGCGCTTTATAATGCCTCTAAAATGGCGGTGCAGGGGTTTGTCAAGGCTTTTGCGACGGATTTCGGTGATAAGGGCATCACGGTCAATGGTGTTGCCCCGGGAGGCATCAAGAGTGATATGTTTGCTGAGAACGCGTGGCATTATATCCCTGGTGGAACCCCCGATCTGGGCAAGGACAAGATTGAGAGGATGATGGCTGAGCATTGTCCCCTGGGAAGATGCGCGGTGCCGGAGGATGTGGCGAGGGTGGTGGCGTTCTTGGCCAGTGAGGATGGGGGGTGGGTTAATGGTGAGTACTTGCAATTCTCTTTGCATTTTACCTTATTTGGGAGACATGATGCTAACGTGAATGATAGGTCAAATCATTACCATCTCTGGTGGTTCTTCCCAGTAGATGACGTTCTCGGACGGGAGCGTGAAAGGATAGTTGAGTGTAAGTGAGTGAGTGAGTGGCTTGTGGGTTGTGGGTTGTCGGTTGTGTGGTGACATCTGGCATATGGAAAGTCCGGCGGAAAAGGTCATGCGGTCACGATGATAAACATAAGTAATTTGGAGTTTGCAATACAATCGTTGCATTTATTGTTTTCGGGCTCATCAAGGTATCTGTACCTGCCTTGGTAATATTATGCCTCCTTCCTCCTTTAGGAGTTCTTGAATCACGAACCCATTGCTCCTTCCCTGACACTCAATTCTCACCCTGGCCCTCTTTAACCCATATTTCTTTCCTCATCGATTACTCCACGACCCAGCTCTTCCTTCCCAACCCCCCATCAAAGTCATTACCCAAATTGCCCAACTAGCCCGCCCAAGCTCCCGTCTGTTGCCCACAGGCTTGCTCAAATCCCCAACTTAAGTTTGCCAAGTTCCTCCCCACTCATCTAATCAAGTCATCAATCGCCAAAACACCCTCCTCCCACCTTTCATCCACCATCTCATCTTGCAACTCCTTCAGCAGCTTATTTTTTTCTGCTCTTAACCTGTCCAGTTCGGTTTCTACACTCTTGATGCGTTCCTGGATACTCGCCTCGACTGCACTCTTTTCCAGAGCAGCGAAATGATTGCGGAGGTTGGAGCCAGTTGGAGATTGAGAGGCTTGGTCGTGACTGTCAGTAACAGTGCCAGTGCCAGTGCCAGTGTCAGTGCCAGTGCCGAAAACGCGGTGCAGAGAAGTAGCTTCGTCAGGCAAGGTCGCAGTTGACGTAGAGGTATTTTCGTCCGCATCCAACATAAAACCCGCCGTCGCCGTCGCAGTCGCAGTCCCAGTCTTGCCAAGGTTCAAGGAGGTAGTTCCTTCAGCACCAAGTCCAACCCGGCAAATCAATCTTCTTTGTCTCGGCTGGCTTAGCTCGCGCCAGTTCACCTCTTTCTCATCAAAGGTTTGGATGCCCCTGGTAATGACACGCTGGTGGCGCTGATGATGACAACGGCGATGGTGACGATGACGAGGAGGAGAGTGCAAGTGCAAAGTGACATCGACGATAACATCACCCGAGTTATCCGGTCCTATATCCTCTTTGTCTGCCATGTTCGGGACGATGTCTTTGAAGTTGGATCGGTCCATCATCACTTGATGATGCTGAAGATGAGGTGAGATGCTCGAAACTGAGCGCTTGGTGACTCTTGCTTTTCTTTGAAGGTTGGGCCCTTGGAATTTGTGTGTCTTGCAAAGACTTGATCTTGGTTCAGTTCTTTGAGATAAACTGCTGATGACCGTGGAAGTTGAAAGAGGTGCTGACAGGAGAGAAGGAGTTGAACGGGGAAGGGGGAAGTTGAGAATGTTTTATTATCTTCGTTTTGGCCTTCTTATCGACCCCTTGAAACACTCAATTTAGGTTCTGCTGAACGTGAATTGGTGCAATTTGACTGCTGGTCGTCTCAGAAGTCCACTTGTCAAGGTTCTCGTCGTGAGGTGGAAAAGTGAGTGAATTGCACGGGTATGTACATCGCCTGAACTTTGAACTAATCATAAAAGAAAGGATAGTGTGGGGTGAAGTTAAAGGAGGGAAGTTGCGTGTTGCTTTCACCTTGACGGGATTGGGGTACGTTATATACTAAGTCTACTTCATACTTCAGGCTCTACCGTACTTCGCGAAATCTGAATGGGGCTAACTCCTTGTACTGCCCAGAGCTTTGTTGGAGACTCAGGTTCGAGTCATGGAAGGAAAAGCGGATAGCACAGGTATGTACACCTCCCGAACCTTTAACTGATGGGGAATAGTGTAAATAAAGACAAGACGGTTTCTGATTGGGTCTAAGTTGGGGACTTGAAGTGGTACGCTATTTACTAGGTACTACCCGTGCCGTATCCCTCATCCTCTTCGTCTTCCTCCTCCACGTAATCCCTGAGCCAATCCATATGCATAAAAGTGCCACACCTACGCATTCCCCTCGAGCCAGAATAGCGCCGGGTGGCAGTCTCCTGCGCGTGGAGAGCACTCACGGGCGACCTACGAGGCCAGGGCCTCGGCGTACGCATGGTTCTGGTGGAAGTATCTGTGATAAAATTGCAGACAGATTCGTCAATTGCGTTGAGCGGGGAGGTTCGGCTGGATGTATCGTCTTGAGACGAAGAATTACCGCTGGGTGTGGGGTGGTTAAAGGAGTATCATCCTTCTTTGGGTCAGTGACGTTGACCGCGTCATTGTCGTTGTCAATGTCGGGGTTGACGTTGGCGATATCTGGCTTGGTAGTAAGGCATGAAGCAGGGCCTTCGGCCTCAAAAGCGGCTCTGACTCGCTTGAAGAGCGAACGGGAACGAGAAGGAGAAGTGCGCTTCCTAGACTGGCGAATGCGACCAGCTCTTGTCTTGGTGAGTTGGCTGTTGTCGACTTTCTTGTCGACTTTCTTGGGCGCGGTAGCCACGGCCGGTAGGAGCTCCGGGGTAGGTTCCGCCTTTGGAAACATGAGGCCAGCTCTGGGATGGATCACTCTGGGACGGATCATGTCTCTTGAGATATTGACGACGTTACTGAGGTGTTCAAGGAATATTGGATGATGACGCTTTGTTGGATAAAGAGGTATGTTCAGAGCTGTGAGAGGGTCTGAAAAGAAGAAAATGATGCTGATGAGAGTGGCTGTGATAGAGGAGAGGATGAGTCTAAATGGCACAGATTTGATGGTCTTTTATTCTTGCTGGGTGTTTAACAGTCGCTTGAGATTGTTGGTTGTTTCAGAATTGCAAGTCGCAACCTGGCGACTTCCAGCATTAACCACCCAAGAGACTGGCGCACTCAGGGCCAAGCTCGGCACGGTGCCATGGTATGTACATCAACACAAACCTTGAACTGGTGATTGACGGCACAATAGATGGTTCGTGATAGCCTCGGTCCATATTGACCTCTCCCATTTACCCTGCCAGCCGTGTTAACTTCCTGCAATTTCTGAGACAGCGACCTCGGTGAAAGAGGGAAATTCGACATGCGATTATGGTCTCTTTTAAGAATGAAGTGCGACAAGTCTAGCAGCTTCTAGGACCTTGGACCATATGAGTTGGTAGCTAAAACCTCTCGATAACTCTCGCATACCGTTCGCCTTGTGCATGGCCACACGGTATGGTGCGCGGGGGCCAGATAACCATTGCTCGTTGCGTTGGTAGCGGAGGTACAGTTTTCGTAGGCGTGTCAGGAGTGGACGGGTTCGACCCTGCTTTGAGGACGCTGAGCTTTTTGCCTTTTTGCCTTTTTGCCTTTTTGTTCTTTTTTTACTTCCACTTTTTCTTTTTTACTTCTACTTTTTCTTTTTTACTCTCGAGTATTAATTTTCTACATGTCCTGACATTCTGGTTTGACTGATTCCGGTCTGCAATTCTCTTCTTGACCGAATCCATTGTCAATACCTTGTTCCACTCATCTGATACGGTCGCGCCCGCCACCTTCCGCGACACCTTCTCGAGTTACATGCTGGGCATGTCGCCTCCTGCTTTTTTTTTTTGCTTTTTTGACAAATTGATCGTACGCTCCTTCGCTGACGGCTCGGAAAGTGCTAACCACGGAGCTTTACTGCCCTGCAAGCGCTCGCTTCCACTGCCCCCACCCCTCGTTGTAGTTGCTCTCCTCGATCATCTCCTCGAAGGTATGGGTAGTAAACATCAAACCATCTTCCTGCTCCCAGGCTTTCTCCTTCAGAGCATCCTCCTCCCGATAGTTGTCCATGACATCGTCCATCCTGGCAAAGTCTTCATTTCCACCTGCGAGGAAGACAGGTGAGATGGCTATCGGGGTAGTTTCCATCTCCATAGCCCAACTCTCTTTCACAACCTCACCCTCCTGATTGACATAGGTTTTCTTCACCTTCGGACTTGGCGTCCAAGCCTCTCCACGCCCAGAAGAAAAAGGCCCTTCAAAAGCTCCGATTCCTAACTCGTTCTCTTCCTGTAACTCCCTCAGCCTCCGACTTGCGGCTTCAGAAGCTTTCTCAGCAGCCACTCTCTCCTTGGTACGCCAAACACACTCCCCGAAAAACATCATCGTCTTCCTGTCCTTCTCTTCCTCTTCCTTTTCCTCGTCGTTGGCTGTGATGAAATTCTCCGTGGTGCCGGGTAGTTGCTCAATTCGTGCCTCATGAACGATGGTAGAAGGAAATGGAGCTTCGATGTGCTGGTGAGACAGCTGGTAGTAACGCTTGCGCAGGCAGGGAGTAGAGCGGGATTTGGTGACCCGGTTTCTGGATGCCATAGGGCGGTAGTGGGAGTGCGCCTGGGAGCGGACGCGGTGTAGACCGGAGCTGTACAGGCTAGATTTGTACAAGCCCATCGGGTCGTCGCAGTTCATCAGGATGGCTGCGAGGTCTTGATCTTGGGACTGGTGGCTGTCGATGGCAGTGGTGGTGGTGCTACCGCTGGCATTGGGATTCGAAAAGGCGAGGCCTGTTGGAGTTGTGGTGTGGATGTATCCACCTGTTGTATTAGATGTGGTGGGGGTGTTGGATGATAAGTTGAATTGAGACTGCAACTGGCTGAAAACGGTAGGGGCGTATGAAGCGGTGCTTGTTGTGGACGCGGACGGAGTGACGGCTCGGGCTTTGGGATCGAGGGCCATGTCCTCCATCTTTTGGGTAATTCGGTCGGTTGACTCCATGGTGGTGGTGTGCAGAGTCGAGGCTCGGGATTCTGGCTCGATGGCTGGGTTCTCCATCTTCTGGGTGATGTGGTGCGCTGACTCCATGGTGCGTCTATTTTCGTTCTTTTCAATTGGAAAAGTATGACGGAGGGGAACGCAGTTCGCCGGTGGCTTTATCGCGATGGTTGAAAGACGGAGAAAGTATGAGCTGGCTTTCTCTGGAAGTGACTTTGAAAAGGAAGATGCGGCTCCTTGAACGGAACCTGCGGCGTCATCTCTTCACTGCGTCTGCATTTTGGTGCAGGGAAAGGATCCTGACGAACGACACATTAAATGGGACCTCGAACCTTTTGAGGACGTAGGTCAACCTTTGTCAACATAGTGCCTCTGCTCAGCCCGGGTTTGCACTCCATTTTCCTTTGGTTTCTGTGGTTGGTTGCCAGGCTAACGCATGCAGGTGAAGTCAGTCAAACTCTGGGTCAAGTTGGCCAGTCATTGATTGCTTTTCTTCTCCAAACTGGAAGGTGCGTGTACTGAACATTTGTCGTGGTCATTTCCTAGTCTGCTAACTGCTTATCTTCCCACTCCATCCTAGGCTCAGCTCGTGAAGTCCTCCCAGGACTTGATGCTTCAACCAGCATCTCATCTCTGGTAGAGCTGTTGCTGAGTGTCAATCTCTTAACCATATCATTGGCATATTCCATCAACCCTCCATCAATTTATCCTCATCTATCCTGGTACTGTCCTCCATCTTCACATCCTTCACCATCTTTATCTCCTTCTCTTTATCCTCCTCCACCACCACCACCACCTCCTCCACCACCTCCTCCTCCTTGATAACCCCCAAAGTAGCACCCTCCCTCTTCAACCCCAACCTCTTTTTCAGACCCTCACTAATGGTGCCACCTCTTTGGGTTCTCGTGAGACTCCTGTCATTGCGCCTGTCCTTCTCCTTTAACCAGCGCTTGGGACCTGTAGAGGGTTCGCGTCGAAGAATCTTGTCAACGCCCATCCTCATCTTGTCGCGAAATTTGGTGATGCCGCCGCTGATAGTTTTGTGGCCGTTGTTGGTGGTTTTGGCGCCCCTGGCAAGACTGTTGGCGATGTTGGAGGATATGGTTTTGAAGGGCTTACGCAAGGGGATGTTGTGGGATCCATTAGGGCCGACAAGTGTGTTTAAAGTGGCCACAAAGACTTCTAGCTTTGTGCTCTGTGCCTGAAGGCCAGCTTGGGAAGCAGGACCAAAGGGAGTGCGGCTGCTTTGGTCGGTTTGGCGGGAGGCGTTGAGAGAAAGACCAAGAGGATTGGAGTGGGATAAGGAGGAGGTCCGCTCGGGGGTAAATGACGGCTGTTGTTGACTCTGTGCTCGCACGGAAGGTTCGATGTTGAGCTTGGCCAGCTTTTGGACAACTTCTTTCGTTGTGTCCATTGTTGTTGGCTCTTGGTGTTGGCGCGTCTAGAGGGACCTTGAATTGTGTCTGTCAGTCTGTGTGTGGTTGAGCGGCCAGTCTTGATGTGGCCTTTGCTGAATTATGTGCCGGTGATGTATCCACCAGGTGTTTTGCAAAGACAAGAAAAAAAAGAAAATCCAGTGAAGGGTCACCGGGGGCATTGTATTCAGCCGCCTTTATTTTTATTTTATTTTTCTTGTACTTGTGGATAATGCGTAACTTCCTCTAGGCACCTAGGGCACCGACATTCCATCCCATGATGCGTGGAAGAGCCGTCATTAGAATATTGGATTCAAGGAGAAAATACATGAGGTATGCACACATTCCATTCGATCATAATCTAGGGCTGCAGTTGTCTACCAAGCGCCTTGCTCTAGCTGACCATGATCTCAATAATTACTAACTATCCTTTGTCTATCTTGACCTGCATTCGTTTCCTTTGGCCAACATGACCAAGTTCTCGGTCACAGTTCGTATGCCCATGCTTGTTTACGGAATACCAACTTGGAGATGTTCATCATCAAAAGCTCGCTATTCTTCTTTCCCTCAATCTACTGCTGGAGCCCTGGTGACGTTGGAATATCTAACGATGCCTACAACCCCTCATCCTCTCCTTCCCCTCCCCCTCCAGTAACAGTTTACATCTCCCTACCATCAAAGTCGTCATCCAGGTAGAGGTATTCGTCCACATCGAGATCCTCCAAGGACTCTTCTTCCCGAGTTGCCACATTGGGCACCTGTCTTCCTGTTCCACCCATGGTATGTTTATCCTCATCCAAGTAGATGTATTCATCAACATCAGAATCCTCCTCCTCCTCGTCCATCTCCGCATTGGCTACCTGACCTCCCGCCCCAGCGGCTCCACCCACCGCATGCTTCACATTTTCTCCCGCCAGTACCAATGACTGCTCCTTCGACTTCGCCTTCTCACCCATCAAAGAAAGACCACCAAAAGCTTCCACGCTCGACTCCACCGAAGCCTTATGCCTCTGGATAGCCTCAAACTTGGCTTTAGTCTTGGCCAGAACAGAAAGCCTGTCACGCATGAGTTGTTCTTTCCTATGGTTGTTGACCGTCTGCTTCATCGCCACTCTCTGGTGAAAATGATCGCAGAAAGTGTTTGGTGCGGATGGTGCTTGTCGATGTCTCCCGTGGCCAGGGCCAGCAGAGTGTTGTAGCGGTTGCGCTCTTGCTGGGTGGTGGGAGGATGGCGCTCATAATGAGATAGACGAGCGCGGGCGATTTGGGTGATGGACTTGGAGTGATGGTTGTGGCGGTGTCGGTGGGGTTTGTAATGCCCTGGAAAGGGTTCAGGGCGTGGGCACGGGCGAGTTTGGCGGCAGCGCGCAGACCGAGGTTTAGGGGGCCAGGATAAGAGTGGAGCGTAAATGAAGATGTGGTGGTGTTGATCTTTGGACCGGCGGGGCTACTGGATGCGCTGATGCCGGGCATGAGTGCTTCGGTGTCACTGGTATAGGTGGACGATGGGCGCGTCGGCGAGCTTTGAGTGGTCATGTTCGCAATCCAGGTTGAGGTTGGCTGAGGTTGGCTGAGGATAGTCGCGACCAGGTTGAACAGTGACATCAACACCGGGGCTGGGATGTATAACGGTAGCAGGCGACTGGCATGTGGGATTGATGCGGAGGGTCGCCATGCCGTGGATGACGTTGTTGGTAGCGCCTCCAGGTTTGCCGTTGTTGATGTTGATCGGCGCCATGTTGATAACTTGGATCGATAATGTCGTGAGACCGTTGTTGTCTGCTAGAACTATTGAGACCTTCTTCTGCGAAAGAAGATGAAGGGATATTTGCGAGACTCTGCCTTGGATTCTTCCAATTTGCTGTGGCTTCGAATCAAGAGTGCAAATGTGGGTGGTTGAATGGAAGGAAGAGAGGAAACGCCCGAGAATCGCGAAGTGAAAGGCGACCTATGTACAACAGCTGAGCCGCGAGTGAATGGTGAGTCAAAAGTGAATGGTAGACCCGTCCGTTGGTGGAGTCTGCAGACGGAGTCGATAGGTAGCCGGCCGACGCACTCCGTTTGGTCCCCGGGTGTTCAGGTTCTTATCAAGTACATAGAAAAAACCTCAGCACAGCACGCTCCAGGCCAGACCTACGCGTAATATACGCCAAGTCCCGTCCATTGCTAGGAAAGTAATGGCAGCGACCTCCCCTCGTCTGTCAGTTTCAATAGACTATTCCCGGTCCTTAGTGGCACTTCACAGTAGTCGAAGACCGGATTGGAGTTGGCATTTCTGGCGTACACATTCTGCGGTAATAGTAAAGTCCAGTGTTTTGAATGCAACTACAAAGGGTAACGGCGGCGTGAGCAGTAAGAAGATAAGAATAGCGGAATGGTAGGCGGTTAGGGTTCATGTCCTTTTTAACTGCTGTGTTTCTAGCGATACCTTAGAACCCATGTACCTAAATGTATTGGTAGCTATTTTGAGTGATCCGGAATCCCTGATTCTCCATTCCTTCGATAGTTCCTTCCTGTATTATACCTTACTTGACACTGTCCAAATTCCGTCCCTCCTGTGACCTGCCTCCTATCGTGTACCACTATGAAGCCTGAATCACCTTGCCTACCTAGTCCTCCATGACATCCTCATCCTCGTCCCAACTCTGATTCCCAAAAAAAAACTTCCCAATAACCACAAACGTCTCCTGCGAGTCCCTGGTCATAAAGCGAAATCTCTGCTCTTGGATTTACGCCCCTATTATCTGATCCTCCAACTCGGTTACTAACCAATCCCCTCTTCATACGTTCCTCACCATCCTCTTCTCCAAGTGTCTTTTCCTCACATACACCAGGGCCAGCCCAGCAATCGCCACCCTCCTCACCAACTACCTAGGTAGTCACCACTTCCCAGAGCTCCCCACTCTCGCCAGTGAGAGTCCCGCGAACCCCCTCTTTCCATCCTTCTCCTCCACAACCTCTCGGCCCTAGTCTAATCCCCTAGGTCTAAAGTCAGACATAGCAACAATGATAGAACCTCTCCTCGTCTCCCTCAATCAAACCAATCCCACTTGTAAGAGTGTAGACGGCCATCTCTTTACCCCTAACCCTATCCGCCGCGGCCCTCTCCTCAGGAGTCAATACCACCAGAATGCGTGCTCTCTGTCTCTCCTCCAGCTGCCTCAACATGGTGGCAAGACGGCCATTACCTCTAGCCTGTCTTTCACTGCGAATGTCTTGGGCGAGCTACTGCTGCTGCTACTGCTGCTGCTGCTGCTGCTGCTGTTGCTGGCTATAAAGCGGATCGCGGTGGTCGTTCGCGCATTCCCTCGAGCTGATGGGCTACATGGTTCGTTGACTCCATTGCGTCTTGCGTCTTGCGTCTTGCGTCTTTGGACAGGCGATGGCTTGATGAGAAAGTAACTAGGGCTGACCTGGTGGGTCTTTCGCGATAAAACCACAGGCGCAGTTTGCGGGGAAAGGGAGATTTACAAGAAGAGAGAAAGAAAGAAAGAAAGAAAGAAAGCAAAAAAGAGTAAAAGGCAAAAACCAACAGTGTTTTATCCACACTGCAGCCGCGCAGGTGTCTGGTGATTGATGCATCTTGGCATCTGTCAGTCGAAACTTTCTGCAGTTTGTGGCCGCACTCGGTCAATTCGTGCATTCACTTTGACTTCGTCGTACTTAGTCGAAATTCTCATTGTATGGGTATCTAAAAATAACCAAGCTAAATTATGCACAGAGAGTCCGGAACGCCGAAAGACAACCAAGGACTTTGACAACCCAGCAAGAAGAGGAAAATTAGAAACCCCGCGCTCAAGCCACAACGCCGTCGCAATGCTCATGTAATATCCCTAGTAGTAGTCATGCCCTTACTCCCAATCTTCCACGTCCAAAATGTCCCTTATTGATCCCTTGCGCCTTCTCCCCGACTGCATCCACATACCTAGATTGCTTTCGACCCATGTCCGCGTCCTCATCCTTGCCCTGCCCTAAGTCCGTGGTACCTGACTCATTCCCCCCTTCGCTTTTTCCCCGCGATCATTTGTCCAGTGTCCTCAGTAGCTAGCACTAGCAGCAATAGCCGACACAATCCTGAACTGCCGCTGAATCCTCAGCTCGCTGATGAACAGGTTGCGATGATGTTGCTCCCTTGCCGTTGCCACTCTGCTGCTTGACTGCGCATGAGTGTTGTGGGCGTTTTGTCGGGACCGAATGCTCTGGCGGCTTTCGATCTGGGCGTGTTGTCTGAAAAGTCTGTTGGGCTCCTCACGGACCCGGCGGGAGGCGCGATCGCGAGCGCGAGAGGGGGAGGCTCGGGGGCTGCGGGATGCTTGCCCCTGCCTGTGATGGACGTCGTTGGGGATGGTACGGCGCCAATTCCTGTTGTCGACGCGAGGCCACTCGGCATGGTGGCGGCGGCTCTGGGGGTCGCGCGGCCTGTCCTGGAGTGACAAATTGCTGGTCGCAGTGATTAGATCGTCGTTCATGTCGACATCGTTGGCGGTGTTGGGACTGGTGATGCCGGCGGTGGTAGTCTGCAATTGGAATTAGCAAGATATCGGGGCTTGGGTTGCAGCCTCAGAAGAAATAAAGGGCTGACTGACAGTGGGCAGAGAAGAGCCATTGGAAGCTGACGCGTCATTGAGGCCGTCTGTAGTTCCGGGCCGAGAGGGGGCGTCGGCTGCAATGTCCAGCCTGTTAAGGCGCTGGGTAATTGCAATGGTTGAGTCCATTTTGCTGTTGCTGTTGTTGACGTTTAGTGTGTGGTGAGGTTTGTATTGCAATCACAGAAGTGTTAAAAAGTGGTGGGAGACTGGGAGGTGTCTGCTGCCTGGCCCTTTTTGGCATCCATCAAACCTTGATGGGATTTGGACACTCAGTGAATGCCATCTACTGTTCTTCCGTCCGAAGAATATGTCGAGTCCTGGACTGGCATATACGTCACCGCAACCTTGACCGAAATCAGTGAATGGACGTCATTGGATATCTAGAGCTTTTGTATTCGCCAAGTTAGGGCACACTCATTGGGCTGGAGATACATTTTGTTTTGCGCTTTCCGCTTGCGTACCAGTGGGATATGGGTCGGATAATCTGCCTTAAACTTCCTTCCCTTTGCCCATTCGGATTTTTCTCAGATGACGTGGGAGCAACCGAAGGCGACGACACCGACCACCCAATCCTCGATGATCTTAACCGCCTAACGAACATCGACGCCAAGATCAGAATGTTCTTGGACTTCGGAAAGCGGAACAAGAAGGAGAAGAAGGCCGTGTTACGATCCAATCGTTGAGCCTCATGTAAGCTAGATAGATTGACCAATCAGATAGGACCCGGGGTTGAAGACCAGTATATAAGAAGGCCTCCCGGCCTTCGTTATACCTGGTTCTTCAGCAAGCAATAGCTATCACAACCTACCAGTACCTTTTGGCTACTACTCCGTTACTCTATTGTTCTATCCCAGCGATAATACTCCTGTGCTTGTAACGGTTCGTCACACGCCGCTGCCAGCCGCAAGTCCCCTCGTGCTGGAACCGCCGGTGCCGAAAGCCAAGATACAGTGCGTGTGTCGTATTAGAAGAGTTAACTTCCCGATACGCACCAAAAACTTAGACGTACGCACCAATCCAACTTAAAGTATACCGTTACTCGACCCAAAGCCTAATTTCGAATAAATTATATGGTAAGTCTGCTTTCTAGAACCAACATGAACCTAGGCTACCTTTATTATCTTTTCGAAAATGAAGACGGGGAAGATATGATAGTTACCTCCCCCAACGCCGCCGTTTTGGTTCACTCGGAACCTTTTTCCATTAAAAGCCCTTTTTCCACGGAAAGAGAATAGCATGGGGAGATTATACACTATCAATTGACTAGATGCTCTCTTTATAGCTTTAAAGACTTGATGTAGCGTGTGGTGGAGATGTTGACATAAAAATTTGGTGCGTACGCCTAAGTTTTTGGTGCGTGTCGGGAAGTTAACTCTATTAGAAGCCCACCTCAAGTGGAAAGAGCTATGCACATGACAATCGAAGATATGAGAAGGAAAGTACGATTTGATGGACCAGCAACCGGCCCTCTAAGGTATCCATAACGCCACTATGCAAATTCCATTCTGTAAAACTGTAAACCTCCTATTTGCCTGGAAATTTCCTCCATGCCATGATCGTTCAATGCCAGTTCAAACCCACAAGCCAGAAACTCCATGTGAACCCAGTGGTCGAGCCTCAGCGGCCGTTGACTCCTAATTGACCCTTCATACCTACCCCCAATTGCCTTGATTCCCACCAATTATCACGTCCCCATCCTCACCCTGCTACCAACCCGTACCACCCCGCAACCAATCGTTCGTAATGTCCTACTCGAGCAGCAATGGCCGAGATTATTCTGACCTCTTGGAGAAATTGCGCATTGGATCGGAGCATGCTGCGATGGCGCAGTTCTGCCATAACCACCGCGCTGGTCGACTGCACCAGGGTGGTGTTGAGCGAAGTCGGGACTTGAGAACGGCGCTGGGCTCTGATGCTCTGACGCTGGTGAATATGGGCGCACTGGCTGAGGAACCTAGTGGACTCCTGGCGGACCTGGCGGGAGAGGCGGGAGAGGCGGGAGAGGGGGGTGCGAGGGCGCACTTGACGAGTCCGCGGTGAGTGTGAGAGCGAAGCCTGTGCCGTCTGTCGTGCCTGGATGTTGGCCATGATGGTGGAGAAACCACGGTGACGCTGGGCTTCAACGCGAAGCGACTCAGCAGGCCCACGGCGGTGTGCCTGCAAGGCCCGGCGGTTGTGGGACTGGGGGCGTATTGGGCGGTTGTGAAGGGAGAGGTTTCCGGTTGCGGTGATGATGTCGGTCATTTTGACATTACCGGAGACTAGAGAGGCGCGGTTGGTAGTTGTGGTCTGCGAATGGGATGAGTGAGGCGCATTGCCTTGGGTAGAAGTCTGAAAAGGGGCGACAGGTTGGCTGGCGATGCTCTGAGAACGGGAACTTCCAGGAGACGCTGTGGCTTCATCGAGGGAGCCTGAGAGAGCATTGCTGGTAATGCTCATCTAGCCAAAGCGTTGAGTGATCGCAGAGTGATCGCAATGGTTGAGTCCATTGGAATGCGGTTGATGTGTGTTTGGTTGGTTTGGGTTGATACCAGAAATTTGGTAAAAGGTGGTGGGTAAATTTGGATGGTGATGTAGTTGGTGTTTTGGTAAAAATGCGAGAAAGCAGGGGGAATCCGGGCTTAAATGTGCGCAGAAATAAAAATGAGGATTTGCATCCCATCCGGTGAATGGGTGGGCTGCCTCAATCTCAGGTTCAGACCGGATGACAGATTCTCAGAACCTCAACACGGATTTTATTCAGATGTGGTGCCAGAACCTTGAAAAGGTTACTCGTCGTTCTGGGCGGCAGCTTCTTATTGTTCCCACGGAACATGAATAAACTTTGCCCTTCACTCGATCGGGCATGGCCTTCTGTCTGATGTCTATATCCCTGCACGGTGGATCTCGTTCAGTCCCTCAACTATCATGGTCAATTTCAGTGGCACGTCAAGCCAAAAACTCACTTTTTTTTTTTTGGGGGGGGGGGGGGGGCAAATCAAGATGTAGCTGTGGTTATAGGTATCGTATGGTGATGATGTCTGCTACTCACCTCCGATCTATTGGAAATATATATAAAGCTTCTCTTGCCAAATGAAGTCGCTTTCTTCCACACTCTGTCTTTTGCAGTGAGAGATAATGTCGAATACTCCAGGCACCTCGATCCTCCGTGGAAAAAAATTGAAAGAAGGAGATGAGAGGAAAAAAGGTAATGGTCACATCTTCTGGTTACATATGAAGGCAGTTTGGATTGGTCGGGATATATCTCAGGTTCAGTTTCCACGATGTTGTTATTTGTGGTTTGGATCTGGGAAAACACTACTGTGTGCAATCACCAAAGCTGATATTCTTCCTCTGCAAGATGATGATATTTGGGGATGTGACATGCACTAATCATACAGCTGCATTGGTGGACCCAACGCTTGGGAAAGCATCACATCCTGGAGATTGATGGGTTGAAGACTTGTGTTCGAGAGAATGTGTGTCCGTGTAGACCGCGCTTGGTGCTATACTGGGCGTCACGGTGAAGTGAGTCAGACACTCTTCTCCTATCGCAAACCTTTTTGTTCCTGAAGCATCAACTAAATTTAGCGTTGTAATTCCCCTTCCATACCAAACGATAAATGACTCTACCATCTATCTCGGACCTCACATGTTAGAACAAAAAGCGAGTGTCCTCACTGCATTTCACCCTCTTTTTTGGACCTACCCCCGCAAAGTCGGGAAGTGGGTCCATGTTCTGCTGTTAGCGCAAAGCCACAGTTGCCCCTGCGTTAGCGGGCTGCACTAACACTAACACATCAGCTTTCCCAGTCTGTTCAACTCAGCTCCACCACCGCCCCACTTAATCCCGTCCCGCTTTCGACTTCGCTCATGCACCGAGATTTGGGACGACCGGAGTCGACCGGACGAACACCCGGTCGGCCAGTCCGAGGATCCAAAAAAAAATGCAGTTGATCGTTTAAATGAGATTGTACCTGAAATTGATACGTGCATAGGTAGCTGATGACCACATTGTAGATGCATTTCCCTCTGGTCATGTTCTTGGCCGCATCGGGCATGAGGTGGTGACCGGATGGGTGGCGTCGGTGGTCCTCGCGCTTAATTGAAGATGCAAAAAGGAAACCCGGGTGACCTCATTTGAGAAATAACACCTGCCAAAGGTTGGTCAGTGCCAGGCAGGCAGTCCTGCAGCCCTACCGTGGCCTTCACCAACTGCACCAGCTGTATGCCACCGGCACTGGCACCGGCACCTGCACCTGCCATGAGTCCCGACACTCCGGCACCAGCCCTCAACCGGCAGTCCGGCACCTACTGGCAACTGCAAGCGTGCACTGTCCATCTCAGCAATTGCCCAGGCACCTTCCACTCGGGCCTTACAAGGTCCTGTTTCAGCACATGTCAATAAGCCAAGATCCCTCGTGGTATAGCGGTATGTGGCGGGGCCAGATAAACACTGCACCTTACGTTAGTAACAAAGGTACCATTTTCGTGGACGGGTTCGACCCTGCTCTGGCCGCTGAGATTTTTTTGCTCTTTTTTCTTCTTCTTTTTGTGTTAGGGATTGCTTCTTGTCAAGGAGCGTTTGGTGATATTGTTTTGCACGTTTCTTTCTTTCTATTTGTTTGGTAGATAGATTGACTTGTATTTGACTTGTTCGTGATATGATTGATTGATTTCGCAATAGTTACTTTGCGGATTCTACCTCTACTGTTGGTGGGTCCCAGTCATGGCACTCTTGGCATGCCCATGGCCGTTCACCATGGGCCCCCCACTCGTATCCTGGGTCTGCCCACCGTTTCTAGACCTCCAGACCTTTCGCTCTCCTCTCTTCTCCATAGAATCAATCCACCACCACATCTATCGATCTGGCTGCTTTGTTGTTGTTGTTGTTGTTGTCAAGAGAGGTTGCAGTCCAGTGTTGTTGTTGTTGTTGTTGTTGTTTTTGTTGTTGTTGTTGTTGTTGTCAAGAGAGGTTGCAGTCCAGTGTTGTTGTTGTTGTTGTTGTTCGTAATCTCACATCTACTCTTTGTCCGCCAGTAGTAAACACAACAACAGCCCTTGCGAGGGATTGATTCCACGGTGTTTGACCACAATCAACCGCCGCATTCTTGACTATGACACTGGAAAGTGCGATGGTTCAGTCGTACTTGTAGCGTCATTTACTTGCACTCTAACGCTCCATTGCATCTCGGCCTCGCGCCTCTTCAACTCCTGCTCAACCACCCGCTCGTGCCCCGCAAGCATTTGCCAACACTTCCTATAGCAGTCCCGGCGCTTAATCAGCGACCATAGAGCCAACTCTGCGTTCTCTCTTTCCTCTGGGCGACATGCCTGGAGCTCTTTCTCTCTTACCATGATACGTGCCGCGTGCACTGCCTCTTTGTCTTGTTCAGCCTGCTTCATGGACTGCAGGCGGCGCAACTGCCTCTTAAGCTGCACACCGTTAAAGCTGCGGACAAAGATCTGATACGATTTGAGGGAGTTCCCGAGGATCACATCCTGGGCCAATCTGAGGAGTCGTCTCTGCTCCGGTGATATCCTGATTTGGCCAGGAGATGCGCGCTGCATAATGGGGCGATGGTAGTGGCTGTTGCTGATGTTGGTGGTCGTGGTCGTGGTGCGTTGGGTACCTGCAGGATCGCAATCCATCTTGGTATCGGTATCGGTAGGTTTTTAGCCGATCGCGGGGCCCTTCATGTCCACATCCGAGCTTGAAATTTGGAAAGGTTGCTGCGACTGCGCATGCAAAGAAGCAGGTCGGTGCATGTGGGCTGAGGGCTGGTTACCTCTGTCAACCGCGACAGTGGTGACGTTGACGGCGATTGAGTTTGAAAGCGAAGTGAGATTGAAGGTGTCCCTCGCCTGTGAGAGGGGTTTCGGGTTTCGGGTTTCGGGACCATAGCGGATTCATCTTCCGTGTTGGGACTTAGCCAGAGGTATGCTTGCTGGCCGTTAGAGAAGTCTTTCTTCTCAGAGGGAAGGAGCGAGGAAGGCCTACCTTGGTGGGGCATCATCTGCTGACAAAGAGGTGCTCGGGGTTTATGGGAATGGAACTTGATGTTATTCAGGAAGGAAAGACCAGCGTCCCAGCGCAAGGGCGTCTCGAAGCTTTGTACTCAGGGGCAACGGCAAGCATCTGCTCTTGGAGTAATGAGCCATTGGGAGATGGGGGCTCAGCAGAAGCACCCAGACGCACTTCATTATCTTGAATTCTTTCCATAATTCTCCAGTTACTTACCGAGGTCAGCGGGTGTTCATGGGCTCCGATGTTCTGCCGTAATGCACTCGCTGCATAGGTAAGCTGAGAGTGGAAGGTGCGTGGCGTTGTTGATGCAAGTGCTACTCGTCTGGCGAGAGGAACCTCGCGACCTAAAGCCTTCGGTGCTCCGCATTTGATGCCACAAATCCAATATTGACCAAGAGTTCATCGGTTTCTTGGCATTCCAGTATGGCCAGCTGGTAGCCTGGCTGTCTGCACTCTGGACTCTGCAGCGAAGCCCTGTATTTGAAGCTTAGCTATATGAAGCCTACATTTGTACTTCCAGGTAGCAGTCGGACAGCTGGTCCTTCTTCCCCGAACCAACCTCTCTTTTCAGGAATTCCAAACACCTTGAGGTCTGAGCTTTTCTTGCCTTTGATCTGTTTCTTGATCAAAGATCTTTATCCGAACACTACGCAGTCCGTCGCTCTTACTGCTAACTACTTTGCTCCGGGTTAACCCTCAACGGTTTTCGCATCTTAGGTACCCAGGTTCTCCATTTCCCCAAGCACTGAGGCCATCCTCTTCCAGCAGATCTGACACTAACATACTTTCTTTCCCCTCCAGCTGAACCTCATGATCGCCATCTGAACAAAGTCTCATCCCCCTAACAACCTCTCAAGATGGCCGACCACAATCATCACGATCAAGCCATGTCGGCTCTTCAAGACCGACTTCGTTCTGTCACAGTCTCGCCCGCTGTTCAGCCAAATCCGAATCCGGCCCCGATCATGACCCCCTCAGCCCCGGACTCGAGCGCCGTCATCGAAGCCAGCGCAGAAAGCTACTTTGCCCCACGTCCGCGCTCCGAACGTATTCGCTCCGTGCCCGCTGACCTGAAGACATTTGGCAACACTCATAATAATACTCATGATTATTTGGCTGGTCTTGCGTACTCAAGAGGCTTTGGCTTCCAAGGAGTTGTTAGATTTGGCGAAGAAGCTGTCAATATGCCCTTTTCCTTCACGGGCACCACAGCAACGGGTGAGGGTGGCGCGGCCACGAGCTCCGGATATCATAGCTACACCGAGAGGGAATTCAATCCGCAGGAACTGTCTAACCCTTTTTTTCCCCTCAGGGACCCGTGGAAAGATGAATTGCGCGCTCGTGACGCTGTTCTCTTTAGATCCAAGAGACAGAAGAAGCTCACCGAGACCACGTCCCGTACCTTGCACGTAGGATCTGGAAGCAAAGTCAGGGGTCATAAATTTTTGCACCACGTATCAAGCTCAGAGGATAATGGCTGGCAAAGTCTGAACAGGGGAAAGGCCGGCAAGGGAACATTTACTTTAACATTGCCAAAGCGCAGGATCTTTACGGGCAAGCTGCGTCCCCTAGCCTCGATCGGGAAAGGGCAAGAGAAGCTTGGAAGAGGGGCTGAGAAAGAATCCCTACGGGCTCGCAGAGTAGCAATGTTGGTTGCTGAGGCCATGCCCACGAGTGCCGTGAGTGAGCTTCCCCTGAAGACGACAACCCGGGCCATGGAACTGGATGGCCAGGGCTCAACCTCGCAGCAGGAGGTCAATCTGGGGCAAACGAGCTCGCTTGGCGGAAATGACGGACACGTCAGTAACGTTGATGACATGGAGGTTGAAGAGGAGGACTTGGAGTCAAACTGCGCGGTTCAGGCAGACTGTGGCTCCCAGTCCAATGATGTGCTGCTGGATGAGGGCCTGTACAGGGCATTTCAGCAACACTCGCTCGGGGTTGGGCAGAACGACATCGAGATGATTCACGGTCTGCCGTGCCCCGCCCCCAGCCCCAGCAGCGGTGAAGCCACTCACGAAATGGAGGAGTAAGCCTTTTGCGAGGATTCGAAGGGCAGATTCCCTCCGTTGATGATCCAGGGTTAATGGGCGATGGCGCTCTCCTGGCCACCGCTAGGCGGTAGCGTTCAGCTATTTGGAGGAGGGAAGTACAAGGAATTAGAATTTCACTGCAATAATCATTTTTGGCTATTGGATCTTGACTTGGATAGCAAGTCAGCATAGCAATCCTGGAGGTAGATAGCCCTTTGAGGTCGCCCTCAAACCATTGAGTTACGCGGTTATTGTGTGTTCTTCCTACCATAATCACATTTACCGAAATTTACCAGAACCGTCTTTTGTCTTGATCCACTCGGTTCCATTTGTTACTTTTACTCTTCAAAAACTTGAGCACCGTCATCCGAATTGCTTTGCCTGGAGCTCAAAATACCAAGTTTCTTTTTTGGAACAATCCGTAATTGATGCGGGGTGTCAGCAGGCCAATTCGGTGCTGAGCACAGCCATTCCTATGCTCAAGCACCTTGACAGTCTTGGCGAGGTGCGCGCCACTACCCGCACCACAACTTTTGACCTTTTGGACCTTCGAAACGAAAGGAGAAAATCAGGCAAATCTCTCAGAAACTCAAAAGAGCGGTCAAAGTAATAGTTCCAGGTACGGTATTTTCGAAATCACTTTCAATTTTCTTAATCCTCCTCATTTGGTGGAGTTGCACGTAAATGAAGACTTGTTGTCATCGTCTCGAAGGTCCAAAATGTCAAAAGTTGTGGTGTAGGTGGTGGCGCGACTGTCAAGGTGCTTGAGCATGGGAACAAGTGAATTTGGCGTCCAGCTCGGCTCGCTGGGAGGGGCACTGGGTGAGTTCCCTTCGCTTGCATGAGGACGCATGCCTTAGACAAGCTGACTAACCTCTACCCGGCTTTCTGGGTTTACTATAACCCTCTTCCGTCCCGTCCCCGTCCCCTCCACTGAGCCTCTTTCCTTCTCCACTCAACTTCAGGTTGCAATCCAAGAAGTCCCCAACCAAATTCTCACGCAGTCAGTCGAGCCCTGCCAGCCTTCGCGATGGACACTCCCACCGCAGACATCGACGAGAGATTACACAAGCTCAGCATGGGCCTAGCCACGCCCACACTCTCTAAGCTCCCTTCAGACAATGATACGGAAGCATATCGTGCAGTGCTAAGGGATCTCGAGAGACTCAGAACCAGCACCACCATCACCAGCACCAACGGCAACAGCCTTCTTTCCCCTTTTGAAGAGTGTCCATATCGTTCCAACCCCGAAGAGTATCTCCGTGACATAGAAGCTATCAATCGCAGTCTCGACAACGTCAAAGTCCCGCTCGATATCGGCCAAATGCAGCTCGAGCACTCGGCGACAATGGCCAACCTAATCAGGGCTACCACCGCCGCCCTAAACGGCGACGACAACAGCTTCTTCTTCTTCAACGACAACAACAACACAATCACAATCACCAACACCGACACCAACACCGACATCGACAACCCCCTTCCCCAGGCTCTCCTGAAGGCACTAGAGCCCATCTCCTTCTACCGCTCCCACCGCCAACGCCACAACAACATCCTCTACGGCCTAGGCGTGCTCCGCTGCCGTGATCCCGAAATCGGTAACTTGAGACTTACGCCCAGCACTTCTTACATCTACGATTCGTCCGCGTCCAGCATTTTCATCGATCACCCGTTACGCATCAGCGATATTGAGGCGTCGTTTCAGATGGGTGTAAGTACTCCTATCGGTACCCCTATCGGTGCTTCTACCTCTGCTCAGCCTACTGGTACTGGTACAGGCTCAAAAAAGCTGGCGCAGTTCAAGGCGGCACTTGAGGGGATGTTAAATATGACTAGACAACATGCTGCGCGCGGTGTGGAGGAGGCGAGGGAGGATGTGGGTCCACTGGAGGAGGTGTTGGGGAAGTGGAACGGGATGATTGGCGAGTACTTGGGGAGTAGCTTCACGGATAAGTATGAAATGGAAGAAAGATGGCAGCCTTTTTTTAGGAGATGATGGAGGGGCTGTTGGTGGATTTGATGGAGCAGGTACCTACCATAAGAATGGGGCATATGTAAGGTAGGGAAGGGGTATGGAATGGTGGTCCTGGAAATGGAAATTTCAAGGGGACTGGACTTGTCATGGTGCTGTGTGCTTTATCACAGGATTTCTTTCGGTCGTATTTGATCTCAATGGTGTTATGGGGATTAGGAGTAATGGGTTCGGTGTGTAAAAGTTCCTAGGACGGGAGTATCTTGTAAGACCAGCGGTTGCCGGTTATTGTCCAGTGTCCCAGTTACCAGCGGTCTCGGCGCTCATGGCTCGTGCTGGTTAGGACTGAGTAGCTCCGTGCTAGTTATGCCGGGAGTTGTAACCGCTAGCTACGTACTAATATAATGGCCCTCAAAGGCGGATCAGGTCCTGCCATCCCCAAGCATTCTCTTGTCTCTTCTTTATCTCGTCTTATCTCCTCTGCGTTTTGTTGTTTAGTAACAGCAATGTCATATTATGCATGTGCCAGGGCCTCTACGTACCTCTAGAGGTAGATCTGCTTGCAGTGCGTGACAAAGACGGAGATCTGGGAATACTAATTGGGAACCAGTGGTCTCTGAACATGAGCCTGCTCAACTGAACGATTAGGTCAACTGAATGAGAAGATGAGAAGAAGGACACGGAGAAGAACAAGGAGTATTGATCAGGCATTGGGGTGGAGAGCAGGAGCGTGTGCGAAAATGAAAGGGAATGTTGTACCTACCTTGTTAGTGCTGAATAGCCATTCGAGAGGGTAGGTACGAAGCACAAACGTTTCCAAAAGCCAAGCGAGGATTGGGAAGCCGTAGACTGGACCCCCCACCCATCTGATTGAACTCGTGACCATCTCCATTAGTGTCATCGGGAAGGGCCTGGAATACACCATTCACTTGGAGCACGAGCTGCCTTTGACTCAAGGCAAAGGGCAAAGTTTTGATATCTGATTCTTCTAACTTATGCCGTCCACACCAATTGGTACAGATATTCTTCCACATCCACCACCAGACCAAGGCGCAAAGGCCCTTCTTTCTATCAACAAAGGTATCTTTCTTCATTACTTTATCCAACCTGCAATCCAGCAAGATATTCCACCAAAGGCCAAGCCGCAAAGCGTGCAGCCAAAAACAACCAGACTCCCCAGTAGACCACACCCACGTATCACTTCCAACGAACAAAATGCGCGAGCCCAACACGAACCCAACTTCGGAGGACTCTCACTCCTACGTGCCTCGGAATGATGATCCCGCAAGCAGCAGCGATGATTCCGCCTCGCCGAGACGCAAACTGTCGATTCCCTACATCCTTGAACCCTCCCCATCCAAGAATACGACTCCCCGTCAACAAGCCCAGCACACTCTGACTACTTCCACAGCCAATCAAGCTACACCCAACATCAACGCCAACTCCAGCAACTCCAGCAACGCGAACGACATCCTGAATAAAGCTCCTGCTTCCACTTACACTGCGTCCCCCTCTGGCGTCTCCCACGACCGGGACCGGGTCCAAGAGTACCATGCCCTCCAAGCCAAAGCCGCTATCCGGCGCATCAGTGCTCTTGGTCTGAACCCCCTGGGGCTTACGCAAGAGTATGTTAGAGGCCTCGAAAAGCGGGATCTTGAGCAATGGGTGCGCATATGCAAGACTATGGCCGCGTCTGGGGTTCGCTCCCAGGAGGCTGAGCTCAAGTACCTCGAGGACATGTTGCGGGAGATGCCGAACTGACATTTCCTGGTTCCTCTCGGGCCTTGAGTCTGTTCACCCTGATCGAACATTGTGGGCACGCTGGGGACACTGGACTTTTCTTTCAGGCAACCATGGAGGTCCAGGCGATCAATTATGGTATTCCATGCTTGGAGACTTGGAATGGGTCACAGCGGTCAGGTACGAAGTGAAGAGGCTGTCCAAGAACTTAAAGAGCTAGGACGGCTCCCGCTCCTGGGACGATGGAGGGAGGCAGCGTTGGAGGAAAGAGTGATGGGAAGACAGCTATCAGCGGAACAGTTTGCGTGGGCTGAAAGGAAGGAGCGATGCGGTGCTAGAGGAGCTAGGGGAAATGGAGGGAAGGAGCAATGATGGAGTGGGGGGCTTCAGGAAATCCGGAGGTGGGGCCGTTGGCTCGAGTGCATTTCCATTTCCAATTGGTTTTCCTTTTCTTCATCAGTTCATTTCATTCACAACAAAGCACATAATACGTCTCTCTACAAATGAAAGCATCATCAAGTGACTTCATTACCGGGCCTCGTCTTCTTGCAGGAGCCGTTGCTGTTTTCTTTCCGGCACAGCGAGGAGGTCCATGGAGATGGATGTAAGCAATGTCAACAAATTTCCCCATCCAAAGCACATCAAGAAGTGACACATCCCGAGTGTCATCTTTGGTGTTGCCCATTGCTCGTATCTGACTGCCTTTCTATACCATCGAAGCCGCCAATGTTGGCGTAGAAGGGTATTCCCTTTTCCCTCCTCTTCTCCTCTTCTCCAACCTCTCTGTTGAGCAACCAGCACCAGACCCATGTTCAAACATTCACCTCGGATTTTATCTTGGAGACAGACCAAGGCCTCTTCAAATTCTTATTCATATGCTTTTGACGAAGCATCATCATTTGCATACAACGTAGCTCATCTCCAAGTTTCTGTTGCCACAACATCAGTTGGAATAACTTTGACCCCACCAATTCCGTACCACCGATTTACTACCTCGACAGCTGTCATCTTCGCAGTCAAGTCCGAGTAAGCAACAGAAGCACAGAGCTTCGAACTCAACGGATTTCAAAAGCGAAAAATCTCTATATAACATTATGCTGGTAAGTGCACACACCCCATCAATGCCCTATGCCCTGGCTTGGAAATGTTTCTTTGAATCCTTGAACTCTTTCCCTTGCAAATGCCCTGAATGACTTTGTTTTGGTTTTCTGCCTTTGTTGCTCTTCTCTTTGGTGATTTGAGGCGTTCGCCAGCCTTTTATATGACCAATTGCATTGTATGTTGCTTTGTGTGCCTGTGTTCAAAGAAATTTTGAAGGTCCTCGTCACATCATGACTGGAGAATCACGCACCTACAGTCTCGATCCACAGGCACCAAAGCTATTCCGGCCACACGATCTGTTCTTAATGTCCTGTTGTCAGGTGTCGCTGGGGCAGATTTGGAAGGAAACACTGATCGCTCCTTCCAGTGAAGGGATTCGGGAATATCAGGGCAGGACCCTCCTACCACTTTCAACACTTTGCGACTGTAATTGCAGCGAGAAACTTGCCGGCAGCTCCGCAATCTGGCCTGGACACTTCATTTCGACAATTGACTATCTTCCGTCTGCTATTGTGATTCATCACGAGCACTCCATTCATTATTATCATCATCGACGCACGCGAATTCAGGGGCCGAACCTTTGCAACACACAGAACTCCCTTTGAATCCACCTCGTTGTTCCGATGGCCAGCAGACACACCTCCAACCTCTTTTCCACACCTGGCTGTCCCAGTCGTTTTTCTGCCTTCAACGCAAAGAGCTTATGGCAAGCAATTGACAGCTAACGATTAATCTAGAATAATATTACCAACACCCACGACATCCACAAATCGCAAGAACAATGGGGTACGCTGAGCTAGCCCGTCAGCGCCAAAGGCTGGATGCCCTTTGGGTGACTCGATTTCACCATCTCCGCAACCATCTCGGCGACGAGAAGTTCAACCACCTCACAGATGCGGAGAAGACGAGCAAATGGCATGACTTGGACGCATTCAATCGTGCTAAGAAGAAGAGGAGAAGGAATCTCGCCCGTCTTGCCGAAGAAAAGCGCCGGCCGCGGAAAAAGGCACAAGACCCTGGAAGTGAGTGGCGACAAAGGTTCCAGGCGGACCTGGGATCTCGATACCCGATGGTGTGGCTGCAGTCAGACTCGTCAGAGTCAGAGTGGTCGCCCGAAGATGACGATCAAGTTGACACGCAGGTCGTGGCAACTGTGGGAGGAAAGCTGGCAGACAAGGAAGGTAGAAACGAGAAGGTTGATCTAAAGGGCATTGGGGCTGCGAAAAAGACCGGAAAGGGATCCAAAAAGCGGAAGGCTCAAGTAACGTTCCTGTGCGAGGTTCTCAAAGATTACTACAAGTTATGCAAACAGCCGAGAAGCGAGGAGGGGGCAGCCGAAATCAAGCTTATGCTTCCAGAGGTCAACCAGTTGATGTCCGCAGAGGTCGAGGGCCTCGAGGCTCTCAAGCCGGCCGCAAAGAAGCCTCGTTGCGGTCCTGGCCCGCCAAAAAAGGAAGCAGCCGCTCCTGAGCCGGCCTCGAGCCTGTCACCGCCGCCCACCTCGGGCTCAGATCCCTTGGGACCCTCAGAGCAACCTGTCGCCTCCGCTGCGGATTCTGGGGAGCTCCCCCCCACTGACGCCGCCGCCGTCGTTGTCCCCACTATCACCATCGAACCTCCCACGCCCGACAGCGAGACCAACAAGGGCCCTTTTGAGTCACCCCGCGCCATCAAAGCGGCCACTGGCGCCAGAAAACCCGTTCGTTCCCGCAAGACAGTAACGGTAACCCCGGAACAAGACCCTGCTGCCCCTGCTTCTGGCGAGGCCACCCCAGCCGCCGCCCCTACTGCCACTACCAAAGCCGCGCCCAAGAGACGGGGCCGCCCTCCGAAGAACAAGGCAGTGACGGTGACTCCAGAGCAACAATGTGCTGTCTCCGCCGCTACCACAACCCAAGAGCTCAAACCGGACAGCCAGCCCGCCAAAGACACGCCAAAGCCAGCCAAAAGACGCGGCCGCCCTCCCAAGAACAAGAAGTAATCAACGAGCTGTAGTTGTCTCTCAACGCTGTGCTTGAACAAGTAACAGCAACGGCCCGCCCAGGACGACGAAGAAATGACGGCTTTTGGCGGCATTAGGGGGGTGTTTGGCATTTGACGTTAGACATGGGAACTGGGACACAACACGCACACACGACGATCTAGAGGCCTAGAGAGCCAGAGAACATCTGAAATTTAATCTGGTTAGGAGAAAGGATGGAAGACAGGGGTAAGAGATATTGGATGACAAATGCATTGGATATGACCAGATATCGGGCAGGTATAAGGAAGGAAGGAAAGACAAATGGGTCAGAAAGGAAACGACAGATGGGTTAGGAAGGAAGGAAACGATAAACGGGTTAGAAATACAAGGCAAGGCAAGGAAGACTCGGTTTGGACCTTGGAGATGGCATAGCATATGGACGAGGATCGTGCTTCTTGGACACTCAGAGAATACGAGATTCGTCTTGCAGCAGCAGCAGGTCAGAAGTCGGAAACGGTACTAGCGGTCTAGCGGGAATAAGTGAATTGGAAAGCATGTTTTGCATGGAAACATTCATATATACCTACCTTGAACAAGAGCAGCAGTGACAACTTTTGACTTTGTTGAATAACTCAATTTGTAGTACAGTACTACAGTGCTACCAAAAGATGCTTAATGCCTTCATGCTCATAATGCTATCGTATCCGTATCGTGATAATATCGTACCTAATATCCCAACTTCCCTTTTCCTTTCCTTTCCCGTCTTGACTTCTTCTCACAATCACATCCCCACACTTTCCCATTTTAACCACTTTTCTCCTTACACAACCTAGCTGCGGCGACTCAAGCAACTAAAGATCATCCCTCCTCCTAAACTCAATCATGACCCCATCCTTGGTACTAGTAAACGTATCAACAAGCTGCATCTCCCCCTTCCGATGCCGTCCATACTCGGCCCCCTCCTTGCCTCCCTCCGCCGCATCCTCCACGCCCACCGCCCTGCGCAAGTCATACAAGAACAGCGTCCTCGCCAACGTGATGCTCATCTCAATGTACGCCAGTCCCTTGCCGATGCACCCGCGCGGGCCGATGGAGAAAGGGCAGAAGGCCGATTGGGCTAGTTGGATTTGTTCTTCCGTGGCCGTGACGCCCTTTTCCGTGGCAACAGAGGAAGTGGAAGTGGGCAGCCAGCGCTCGGGAGTGAATGACCAGGGGTCCGGGTAATAAGCCGCGTTGTGGTGGATGGTGTAATGAGGGACGCCGACGATGGTTCCCTGGGGCACGTGTTCGCCGTCGATGGTGATTCCTCCGGGCAAAACTTCGCGAGGGAGCAGGCCGCCTACGGAGGGGGACAGGCGCATGGCTTCGTCGACGCAAGCACGCAGGTAGGTGCAGGATTGCAGGGCGGGGCCTTGGTGGATATCTTCTACTGAGCTGAAGCGGGAGCGGATTTCTTGGGTGACGCGCGCCAAAGCGGACGGGTTGCGGACGAGATAGAAGAGGGTGGCGGCCATGGCGGTGGAGGTGGTGTCGGAGCCGGCGATGATGAGCAGGTTGGACTCGCCCCAGAGCTCAGGGGTCGTGAAACCTTGCCCGGTTTCCGGGTCGCGGGCCTTGAGGAGGTGGTAGAAGAAGTCGCGGCGGTCGGTCTCGTCGCCTAGAGCGGTGCGCTCGGCGAGTTGTTGTCTGCTGTAGGCCATGTATTGGGCACGGCCGGAGGCGATCTTGCGGAGGAAGATCTTGTCGAGAGAGAGCTTGTCGAGCATGGGCATGGTGCCGCAGATGAGGTGGCGGTGGGCGGCGACGGAGACGAGGTCGACGGCGTAGCGGTTGTCGGGCTTTTCGAGCATGTGGAAGGCTTTGCCGAAGCAGAGATCGCCCAGGATGTCCATGGCGAGCCAGTTGCACCAGTCGGACATGTTCTTGGGAGTGGACCAGCCCTTCTTGTCGGCGAGGGCGAAGCCGGATGTGACGGTGGAACGGCCAAGGTCGCCGATGGCGTCGCAGAAGGTGCGGATGTTGGCCAGAATGTAGCGCTCGACTTCCTTGACGGCCGAGTCGGAGAAGGCGTGCGCCAGGACGCGGCGCTTGCGGGCGTGCAAGTCGCGGTCGCGGGCGTTGTGGGTGTTGGGAGCAGGGTGGACGAAGGCGTCGTAGAACTCGGCCTTGCGCACATTGGCCTTGAAGCCGTAGATTTCCTTGAGGGCGGTGTTGGAGTTGACGGAGAGCGAGTTGGGTCCGAAGCGGACGAACTTGCCGTATTTCTCGTGCATGCGCCAGAACTCGAGATGTCGGTCACCCTTGAAGGCATGGTAGGCCATGTAGCCGTCGGTCAGCTTGGCGAGCAAGGGACCAGGGTATTTGGCAAGGGGGTGGAGGAAGAGACGGTAGACGACGAGGCATGTTGTCTGTTGTTGTTGTTTGTGTTAGTGCCGATATCGTGTAAGGAAATATCTTGGTGGTTTGGGGGAAATTTGAACGTACGTAGACAGCGCCGAGGACGACCAAAGCCCCCAGCCAAAGCTGGAGGTGGGCAGCTCCAAATGCCATTTTGGAAGTTTGTCTTATACAGATAAGATAAGAAATCTCTCTGTTGAAGACGAGACAAGACGGTTGCTGGTCAGAAGAGAAAGGCAGGCCCTGATGGACGACGTTATTATAATAAAGAAATGTCCCAAAAGAGATGACAAATGGTCCCGTGATACTTCCCCCGCCATCATCCTGTTTTTTGCTTCTGTCGTTTGTCTTGTTGCGATGGTGAGAGGAGGAGTATCGGTTTGCGCCGGCATTGTTGTCCGACAATGACATCTGAAGAGGAGCGGGGGTCGGATCAGGGTTATGCGAGCGGTAAGGGATATGTCCAGGGTTATGAGTGGACGACACAACTGCATTATGATGTCGCAGTGTCTTTGTTGACTCCAATGCGCCAATCGCCAAGAGTCATCTGCCAATACAACGGCAATTCGCGGTGTTATCTTTCTTTTACGAGCACGGAATTGGACACGGAAGGTTTCCATCTCCATGATCGACTTCCATGATAGATTCCATGCTTGTTGTACTGTAGCATTGCATTTCTAGAGATTTTTGCAAGGGGTTCTGCACCCGATAATTGAATATGAATTGTCTGGGATTGGATATCATCACTGTTATCGCATTGGACATGGAGTATTGTGCATTATCCATGAATATTGATGGGAAATATTTGAGGTATTACGATCCTCTTGGCGCCATTCGAGTCCATGGCAGTGAGAAAACACCTCAGACGACGGAAAATTGAGCTGTCAAGGACGAAGAGCCGGCGGGAAGAGCGGCCTCGAGCGGATGAGACGGGATGTCGTTGACGGAGCCCCATCGTCCCCAGAGCCCCAGAACTGCAGTGGAGTTTGACGTGTGGGACAGTGGATGAACTCCCCGGATTTCTTCCTCTTGGCACTGTTAGTGCCGATTTAGCTGTCCCAAGACCGAGATGTCCGTGCACGCCGATAAACTCCACCCACCTTAAGCCGACCTCCACTGTTTGTCCACCACTGTGTCCCTGTGGCTGATTCAACCCACTGTTGATCCACCGAACAGCCGCAATCATCACCAATTCAATGCAAGGCTGAGAAGGCTGACTTTCCTCTTGCAACTTCGAGGACGCGACAGACGCGAGTTGTTTTCTCTCAGCATTATCTCCTATTCTCTGTCGCAGTTACCCCTCGCCCACCCTACAGATGCGCCATCATCTCACCACATAACCTAATACCGCTGCAATGACTATCTGCAAATTCTACCAGCAAGGCACTTGTCGCTTTGGAAGTACGCGTTCTGGGAACTTTCTACTTCTCGTGCTTGACCTTACTGACCCTCTGCTGCCTGACCAGACAACTGCCGATTCGAACATCCTTTAAAAGGACCTAGCGAATTTCAAACAGGCAATCGATTCGGTGCCCTAGCCGGCAACGGCGGCAGCTTCGGCTCGAACCAAAATTCCGGATTCAGCAACAACCGAAGCAGAGAACTCCCCGACAAACTCGACGCCGAAGCCAAAGCCATTCAAAAAGACCTGACCGACGAACTCCCATCATGGATCCTCTCAGCATACGCTCCAGGGAAAGAACCGCCCGAACAACTATTTGGTGGAGAACAACGGGAACAGAGTTTCGAGGAAATCCGATTGTATTACATGAACGGTCTCGCAGCCGGTAATCCCGAAGGAGCACTGAACGACATCAACAACCTCTACCAAAGCGCCCAAGCGCAGATCCAAGCAACGCTAGGAAATATCCAGGGTGCCATCCAATACCTCGTTGAGGCCGGTAACAAGCATCCGAACCGACACGACATTTGCAAGCAAAACACACTACCAGGAGGGACTACGGGCGAGTTCGGAAGCGACAGACCAAAGCCAAATCCCTTTGGAAGCTCAACAACAAGCACATTTGGTTCTCCTCAAACAACAAGCAACGTCTTTGGTGCTCCCTCTCAGCCAGCGGGCGCCTTTGGTCAACCAGCAGCTCTAGGAGCCAACCCAAATCCCTTTGGAGCTCCGGCCTTTGGACAACCGGCACAACCAGCTGCTGCTTCACCCTTTGGACAGCCCTCAGCATTGGGAGCCTCAACATCAGCATTCGGGACACCTAGCGCGTTGGGGGCGAAACCAAACCCATTTGGGACACCAGCAACAGGAGGAGCATTCGGCCAACCAGCTGCTGCCCCCGCCTTTGGACAGCCTACACAGCCGGCGGGCGCATTTGGTCAGCCAGCACAGCTAGGAGCCAAGCCGAACCCATTCGGAACACCAGCCGCCCCAGCGACCAGCGCCTTTGGTCAACCAGCGACGTTGGGAGCAAAGCCCAATCCGTTTGGAACACCAACCGCTCCAGCAGCAGGAGGGGGCGCATTCGGGGCCCCAACAACAGCCAGTCCCTTCAACCAGTCGACACAGGCGTCCAATCCGTTCGGACAACCAACAAACAGCTCCTTCGGACAGTCAACAACTACTCCAGCAGCGAACCCTTTTGGAGCTCCAGCACAGTCAACAAGCGGTTCATTTGGCACCTCAGCCGGTCCAGCCACCACCAACCCCTTCGGCGCCCCAACCGCCGCCGCCGCTCCCGCTGCTACACCCTCACCATTCGGTACCTCCACAACAACACCATTAGCCAATCCCTTTGGCGTCCCACAACCCACCACTGCATCAGCCAGCAACCCCTTCGGCCAACCACCTGCCGCTGCTCCTACACAGCCCGCCAGCGCCGGAGCCGCCGCAGGAACCTCCCCCTACGCCCCCACCGCTACCCGCCAACACCCACCCATAACTGCCTACATCACGCGCTCACCGCTCGACAACCGTCTACAAACCTTCAAGGGCAAACCAGTCTCCTACCAACGGATTCCCAAGCCAGGCGCTCCCGACACCGCGCCGCCCGAGAAGGAAGTACCGGTGATCAGGAACTTCGACGGAAGTTTCCAGATCATTTGGTTCCCTGACGGAGCGCCCAAGTATACCCCCGATACGGAGGGGTTGGCGGAGCAATATACCCCGGATGTGTTGAGTCAATGGCAGAAGTTTGTGGAGACGGGGAGGTTCGAAGGCGGGGTGATGCCGGAGGTTGCGCCGAGGAGGGAGTTTTGTGCTTGGGATTTCTAATTTCTGAGCGCCTCCTTGAATGGCTGGCTATTGAAGAGGGTCTATTTATGGTATGGGTTGGAAGATAGAGGGAGGATGCGATAGAGATGGGAACTGAAGGATAAGCACAAAGCGATAGGCTTCAATGGATGTCAACATGTGGTCAATGGCTAGTTGTACGGAAATGATGAGCGTTTTGTTCTGGATACCGATACCCTTTACCTAGCGATATTGGAAACGCCGGATAGAACTTGTGTTTGACAGCGAATTCCAAAAGAATGGATGGATTGTCAAAGTTATGATATGCAACGCAAGGGAACGAATGCATTGCATTGCATTGTGAAACAAGATTATGGTAAACTTAGCTCCGGCGTCGTGAGAAGCCTCACTGGCTGTGGAAAGAATGAATCCAGCCGGGGTTATTCATGAAAATCAGTTTCTGCTCTTGACTATCCGAGTCGCCGTATCATCGTCAAGGTAACGCACTAACAGCTTTCTGGAGGGAATGCAAAGATTTCTTCTTTTCTCTAGGTAAGCTTGATTTCGCTCCCAACTTTCCCGAAATCATTTCAACACCAATCTGTGATTCTGTCTCTTCGCAATCATCATCGTATTATTTTAAGCTTCAACCACACACAACCTACGCTCCTCCAAACCCACCCCTAGCCATCTTTTTAGCCCTCTGATCCCTCCGATTATGATTCGCTCTACTCCCCTTACTCGCCTCCTTCCTACGTTTCGCCAGATCCGAATCCGGTGCTTGTGGTCCAGATCCAGATCCTCCAGCTTCACCACCACCTCTTCCACCACCTCCCCTGCCTCCTCTGCCTCTCCCCCTTCCACCACCTCTTCCACCTCCACCTCCACCTCCACCTCGTGGCCCACCATATCCTCCCCTTCCAGAACCACCACCACCATCCGTGTCAGTATCGGTATTACCGTCATCACCTCCCCGGTCTCGCCACCTGGTACTTTGCACCTCACTCTGCTGTCCACTAAACGCCGCCCCACCATCCCCAAATTTCCTGTCTAACCTCCTCTTCATGCCCTGATCACGATTAATCATCACCCCGAACCCTTCCACCATCTCATCGCTTAATCCCGTCTTGTCTTTTAGTTCTTTCCTTTCTCTCCCGCGTCTGGTCTCCGCATCGCGGCCAAACACCGCAGGCCGCGTCTTCCACGCTTCGTAAAGGACCGCTTCTGTCGCTTCTGATAACCCGCCTGCTGTGCTTTGCGTGGCACTGGGCGCGTCTTGTAAACGAATGTCTTCCACGCCCGCGGCCACCGTTGCCGCGTCCACTGTGCCGCCCACGTCTGCTGCGTCGTAGGTGTCGTCGCGCTCGTCGTCGTCCGAGTCGAAGGCGGCGAGAGCCGACAAGATGCGCGATTTGTAGGAGGGGTTGGTGGTGGTTGGGGGCGCGGAGAGCAGCTTGTCGGCGGAGGTGTCGGTGCGTTTGCCGAGTTGGAGTTGGGAGGCAGGGACGGAGAGAAGGAAGTCGTCGTCGTCGTCGTTGATAGTTGGGGGCAAGGGTGGAGTGGATCTTGGTGATCGGATATGCGGTTTGGGTTTGGGTTGGGTGGGAGATGGGGGCGAAAGGGTAGCGGATCGGTCGGCTGATTGGAGATGTGGTGGGAGTGAGTCCTCGAGGAGACAGGCGACCACTTGCTCGGTGTCGGAAGAGTAGTGGTCGAGGAGCTTGGAGATGAAACCTGAGCCGAGGTCGGGGAAGAGATCTTGGATTTGAGAGATCTGGGACATGCGGTGGATATGGATCTCTTGTTTCTGCTGCGTGTCCTCGAACGAGGAGAGATCTTTACCCTTGCCTTTGTCTATGCCCTTTCGTTGATGGTTGACGAGTCTTTTGGGGCGTGGGATGCCACCGCCGGGTTTTTTGAACGTCGCCAATTCCTTCAAGACGGATTTCGTTCGGGTGTTTCCTGACCCGACGCTATCCAGCTTCCGCTGAAGTTGTTGCAGCAATGGTGTAGAAGTCACCAACTCCGCCACCAAGGAATCGTTGACGTTCGTTGGTCCGGCCTTGTGCGCATCCGCCGCCGCTTTGAGAGAATACAATTGATCCGTCAGGGCAGATAGTCTCTGATCCTGGCTACCGTCCGCTAACCCAACCACGCAGAGGTACGTAGTGGCAATGATCACCTTGCGTAGAGGTGGGTTCATGATCTTGTAGCAAGACACCAGCCCATCGAGGAAGTCGCTACCTGCCAGGAAGAAGCCGGCTACTTGCGGAGAAGAGCCAATGAGGTCGTTTACTCGATCCAGCCGCTGTTCCACACCCTTGAGATCGCCGCCTTGTTGGAGGCCGAGGTCTAGATTCTTGATGAGGAACTTCTTTAGGGCGGATAGTGAGGCGTCTAGTGACTTTTGCGCGGGGTCTGAAAGTGTTGATAAGAGCTCAGATGATCGCTTCTTGCCGTATACACGACAGAGGTCGGAAAGAAATTCCCATTGTGTCAGGGGAACTGGTGGCGATGGGGAGCGGAGAAGTCGTGAGGTTAAGAGGAAGGCATCCTTGAGTAGGCGCTTTGCTGATTGGGATGGACCGAGGATAGTTGTGCTGTCGAGAGCAGTTTGACGGATGAAGGAGGTGAGGAATGTGGTGAGACTCTCATCTTTGGCCGAGATATCGCGGAAGTCTGGATCGGGAAGCGAGATGTGGCTGTCGATGAGTGCGAGCCAGGCGTCTAAGCAAGCGACCCATTCATTGGGGAGGAGTTGGTCTCTCCATGCGGCGAGGGGAAACAGCGCAAAGGCTGGGAGTTTGGAGGCCATGATCAAACACGATGTTGTAAACAGCTGGCCAAAGAGGTGTTTGATGCCAAGACTTGGAGATGTTGACGTCGACGAGTGAGATGCAGTGAGCTTCAATGGAGGGAGTGGGTATAGAATGTAGAAAATATCGACACTGAAACAAAAGATGGCCCGTCTATTTATCAGTAAGCCCGAGTCTATAATAATCGGAAAAAGGTGGTAAGGCGACAAATGAGATTGAAGATTGGAAGTTGATCATGGAAGTTGAATGGTTGCCCCACGCTGACATTCATGATCCGTTGGAGTCGTGAAAGGTACAAAGTGACTTTCTGTCCTCCAGTCTCACGCCGCATGTGTCATTGCGGGGAGATACCGGCCGGCAAGACGCTGCGAGGTCCAATCCGTTGCAGATCCTCAGCCACATGATCCTCCCAAGGTTTCTTGCTCAGCCACACATTCCGAGGGGTCAAAGAAACAAGCGTAAGCCACACGCCAAGCCCACAAAACGGCCATGCCCCGTTGCGCGCAAAATATGGAGTAAAAAAAATTATCTCGACGGTCCCTCTTGAACGCTCGCCGGAACAACTCAACTTCCAGTTCGCCAGAATCCAAGCTTCAGCCTTCATCACTTTGCCGAAGCCGATTTACCTCCTTCGAGTCGTGAAGGCACCTTTTTGCAGTCCAGCAGCCTCTCTTAGCAGTCAACCAACCATCTCAACACCAGTCAAGATGTCTTCCTACAACAAGGACCAGAAGGATTTCGGCGAGGCCCCCGTATGTGCTGTCCTTGATAGACCTCTGCGTCGTGTCGCCATCATGACACCTTGACACCGTGACGCCGACCGACGACTAACTCCCCGAATAGAAGGTCCACCGTGTCCGCATCACCCTCACCTCCAAGAAGGTCCAGGCTCTCGAGAAGGTCTGCTCCGAGCTTGTTGAGCGTGCCAAGTCCAAGGAGCTCCGCGTCAAGGGCCCCGTCCGCCTTCCCACCAAGATCCTCAAGATCACCGTATGTCGCCGTCCTTCCCCTACATGGTCCCTTGGATCACATGCTGATATATCATCCCCGACAACAGACCCGCAAGACCCCTTGCGGTGAGGGTTCCAAGACCTGGGATCTCTTCGAGATGCGCATCCACAAGCGCCTCATCGACTTGACCGCCCCCACCGAGATCGTCAAGCAGATCATCGTCAACATCGAGGCCGGTGTTGAGGTTGAGGTCACCATTGCTGCTTAAGTTTGGTTTGACTGGCCAAAGGCAAGGGGGCAAGAAGCTGCGAAAGCGGGTTTTTGGTCCCGAACCGAACCCAACCAGGGGAAGGATTCAAAAAAATACAAAAACAATTGGAAAAATTGGATTGTGGGATGGGTCCCGTTGGGCTAGTGATATAGCGCAATGATTCATCGTTCCTTTCCCCTGGATATTTTGTCTGTTCCCAATGCGCGCCTTTTACAGTGATGCTGACTTGATGGGATGCGACGTAGAGAAGGCTCGGCGGAGGAGGTAAAAGGGACCGGTTGATATCGTGGAGTTGCTTGATGTCCAAAAACGTAATTTACACAGTAATCTACATACGCCTCGCTGGTAAGGTCAATCAATATACATCATACAACTCAACCAACACTCCCTCGCTCGACCTTATGCGTTCCAGTTCACCGTGCCCAACTGTTCCTCGGGCTGGCGCGAAGGTCCCTCGTTTTGGGCACCCTCAGGCTTAACAGCTTCCTCGACCTTCGGAGCCTCCTCGACCTTGGGAGCCTCCTCGACCTTGGGAGCCTCCTCGACCTTGGGAGCCTCCTCGACCTTGGGAGCCTCCTCGACCTTGGGAGCCTCCTCGACCTTGGGAGCCTCCTCGACCTTGGGAGCCTCCTCAGCCTGGGCAGGAGCAGCAGTAGTCTTCTCCTTAGGAGCCTCCTCCGGCTGCGGCAACTGGCCCCTCTCCTTCCAGCCCAAGCCATGCAGCTCGGCCACACCCCAAACCAAGGGAATGCCGCCCTCCTTCTCCGCCAACCTCCACTGCAACTTACTCTCCATTGCCTTGTACACCTGCTGGCTGATATACGTGCCCTTCAACCACCTCTCAGCGCCCTCCGCCTGTCCTTCCGTCTTGAACTCCCTGCGTCCGTGCAAGACACGCCAGTTATCGAAGATCACGCACTCGCCCTCCTTCATCTTGAGCTCAAACATATTCTCCTCCGCGCTAATCTCGCGCTCAAACTCCTTGGCCGCCGGCAACCACGTGGTCATGACGCTCTTCTTCTCCTCTGCCACCACCATATTGTCCCCCTCGACATGAACGAGCTTATCCCCGAGCACGTTCGTCGCCGCCGGACCCTTCTGCTGTTGGGCAAACGGCGCCTGGAAGGGCGGCGCCCAGTGGATCCTCTCTAGGAAACCCTGGCCTCCGCCTATCCGTCCAGAGCAGCGGAACGTGTTGCGGCTCTTGTGGTAGTCATGGCCGTTGCGCTGGTAGTGGAACTGCGGCGAGCGGTTCTTGTAAAGCTGGCTGAAGGCCGTGGGTTTGTTGAGTTCGAGGGAGTACGCGGCGCGCGCTCCATCAGCAAACAAAGACTCGCCGCCTTCGAAGGAGTTGGCGATGCAGTGCAGAAGCTGCAAGCGGGGAGGGGGGTCAATGTACATCAGGTCCTGGTGCAGACCGAGGAAGACGTTGGTGTAGGCCACGTTCTCGGCGCGAGGCTTTGAGCGCACGTCCCAGGTGAAGCCGTAGAAGGTGTGCATGAGGATGCCGATGCGGTTGGCGATCTTCTCGACTTGCGATTCGACGAGCGCGCGGTCGGACGGGATCGAGTGCACGAAGAGGATGCCAAAGCGGGCGAGAGACTCGAAGGCTTTCCAGAAGGCCTCGTCGGAGGTCACCCAGTCGTTGTACGAGACGCGCAGGTCGCCGGAGTCGATGTGTTCTTGGAGCTTGGACCGGTCCCAGAGCGTGCGCTCGACGGGGAGGAGCTTGCCGGCGAGGTCGTAGGGAAGCTGCCAGGAGAAGATGTCGGAGGAGTCGTAGGTGGAGGTGTGCGTGGTGGCTTCGGATGTCGCGTTGGCGCTGACGGCATCGTTGGCCCAGACGATGGTGATGGAGCCGTCAGCAGCATTGACGTTGGCGCTTTGGACCTCGAGGGTCTCGGGCAAAGAGGTGCTTGAGAAGTTCTTCTGACCAGAGTCGGGGTTCACGCAGTGCGGACACTTGCATGTATCGCGCAGCCAGTGGAGGGACATGGGCAGTTGCTTGGCGGTGCCGTCGGGCTGGGCCAGGGTGACGAGGAGCTGCTGACTCCCATCGACCACCTTCACGGACTGTGGCGTGCCGGCCTTGAATTCACGGGCTTCCTTGACAATCTGCTCGTATAGTTCAAGCAGCTTCGCCTGGTCCTGTGCGGGCCTTGCAGGAGTCTGCCCTGTGAGCCTCTTTAAATTGACAATGTCTAGCCGTAACGCTCCCCTTTCTTTCCGGTACTGATCATTGGATTTCCTGAGCTGGGCGATGGCGTTGTTCAAGTTAGCGACGTGCTGGTCGTGCTCCTTCTGAAGTTGTGCCATTTTATTCTCTTCGTCACCCTTGCCGGGTCTCTTCTTGTCGGCTTTGTTTTCGGTTCCCTTGAGCCAGGCGATATCCTTCTTCAACCGGCTGAGTTCCATCTCGAACTTGTTCTGGATCTCTGTCAATTTGTCCGCTTTTCCGTTGCCTCCCTTGGGCTTCTTGGGATAAACCTTACGCCAAGTCAACTGGGGCTTGGCCGACTTGGTAGGTTTGGCACTGTCCGCAGTGGCAGGAGTTGTAGTAGCACTATCATCACGAAGAGCTGCTGACGAGGACAAAGTGCGGATCGTCGTGCTTGATCGCGAAAGGGCGAATCGGCCCCGCGCGAGGGGAGCGGCTCCAAGCTGGCGAAGCATGGCGTCGTCGTGGGATCGGAACCTTGGTAAACAGTCGGCGGCGACGGACGACGAAAGATCAATCAAGGTCGGGCTGGAGGAAGAAAGGTTGGAGGAAAAGAAATGCTCCGGCGCATGGACGGGATGGATCGCCCGGTGGGGGTGCGAATTGCCGGCCAAGGTACCTGAAGCTTGAAGAAGCTCCGAGGCTCCGTAATGTTGTAAGGGACTGTACGGGTGAGCTCCACTAGAAAGCTTCATGCGGGGTAACGGCGCCAAGCTGTTATTCTCCGTATAAGACTCATGGCCAGCCGTGCTCCTTCCTCTCTGCCATCTTGAGCCTGCCTGGTGAGTTCCTTCCCTGTGTCTCTGTCTTCCTTCCAATTGTAACTTGAAAAACGGCTTCCTCCTTCCCAGACGAGGGGCTTCCTTCCTCAAAAGTGTGTCGCTCTTCTTCCATCGACGCCAGTACTTGTATGGTCTGACTGGTGAGTTCCTTGCCTGCATCTCTGTCCTCATCATGAGTGGTGGGAATGTGGTGGAAATGGAATTGGGAGTGCAGGCTGAAACCTGTTACCTGGCTCGTTTTTCTTTCTAATTGCGTCTATTAAATACTCTCACGCATTTCTTTGCCTCCCCATGTCCTCCATCTCATGCACATACTGCCCCTGCCCCCTCTCATCCAACACATCAACGCCCTCCAAATCATCATCACGATGGTGATACTCAATCTTGACCTCCTGCGTCATCAGGATCTTCCCACTATTTCTTGAGGCAGCTACCACACTCCCACTCCTACCGCGGTTCTCCAAGTCATAAACAGGCAAAATAGCCCGATCGCTCGCATTGTCATCAGTCGGGCCATGATACCCTCCACCACCTGAAGGCAACGATAGGCAGCCCGGTTCATCGACACCATCGCTTCCGTTGCGACGATGTTGAGACAGCTTATCGAAGACCGAGCGAAAGTTCCCCTGCTCAGGGTGTTACTCCCCCCAGTCAAGGTCGTACTACCGCCGGAACCGTTCTTGCCCGTCGACATCGCCGAACGCTGTTTGCTGCCATGCGAACGGTACTGCGTCAGCAACTTGGTGCGGAGTTTATGGCAGAAGGCGCGGTAGACGGGAATGCAAGCGGCCATGGTCGTAGTGGCCGACTCGGCGGTAGACCATACTATGATGACGCCGGTGTCGTCGTTTTCCCTTCATTAGCTTTCACTGGTGATGACCCGATGTCAGCAGGGTGCACACTCACAAGTATAATTCTCACTTGTAATCCCCCTTATCTTCACCGCCATCATAAAAGCCGTCACCCTGCCCACCGCCCCCACGCTCATGGTCACCGCCAAAGCCAACTTCTCCCTCTTCCCCAGTCCCGTGCCCCAAATCGTCTTCCACGGTACCACCGCCAGCAAGATATCATAAGTCCCACTCATGCTCGCCGCAAACGTCGCGAACGCGTTCAGCGGTCTAATCTGCACACACATATCTGGATTCCCAAGCGCAGCGGCCGGCGATCCGCATTTCGGGATCCAGACTAACACCCCCTGCGTACCCTTGACGAGGCAGGCGGTTATGATGACGAACCAAACTATCCAGATGTTGAATTGGTGTTGGTTTGGCCACCAGGTGGAAGAGGAGGAGGCGGTGGTGGAGCCACCCCGCTGAAAAAGCCGGAGCAGAGTGACGGCCCATGAAGTCTTGGAGATGGCGACGGCAAACAAGGAGAACATGGCGCCAAAGTGGTCGCCGACGAGCGTCATGCGTGGAATGTTGATCGCAGACGAGAGGATGTCACAGGGGTAGTGGCCGAGGCCGAAGAGGGAGATGCTAATCTGGGCGAGGATGCCAGAGATGGTAAGAGCGACCTTTTTGGGTCCGTGGTCGTTAGCCACTGGGGACACAACGGGAGAGAGCGACAAACCCAAGCGCAAGTAAGAATGTAATCATCCCACCACAATCCCTTCAGCCGATACATCTTGTGGTACAGCCTCAAAGCAAGGAAAATCCCCGAAATGGATATAAGGACCCAAATCCCCGCGGAAACTTGGGGGCCTCGGTTGGGGATAGGTCCGTTTTCGAGCCCGGCCAGGCGGCGGCCGCAGTAGCATTCCGGTCTATATTGGGGTCCGGCCGCTGCTGGTCCCCCCTTGTCCCGAGCCGTTGACGACGACATCGGAGGCGTCGATGTGGGAGATTCCCCGGTTGATGAGAGTGGCGAGGAAGTCCATTGCTTTTGTCATATTTGCTGTTGTTGGGCTATTGTGGATGGTTGAAATGACAATCACGCCGACGGGATTTGGTACGCAGGGCCAGGAAAGAGGGCCAGTTTCAATGAACTGAGGTTGACGACGAGTCGTTAGTTGCTGGACTGCTTGGCCATTGAACTGTTTGATGGAATCGCCTGGAGCTCGGGTAGGAAGAGGTAACACACGAGATGGAGGCCCATGGAGGGGAAGAAGCGGTCTACTAATAATATCAATGTCCATGGGACAAAATGACGGACAGACGGAAGACGCCTCGAGCAGGAAAGGAGCTTAAGCGGCTGAGTGGCATTGACGTGGGCGTCCGGCGACCACATTTTTTGGCACCTAAACCACCCACATCCCGAGCGTATGCATAGGTTGCTAGGTGTTGGTGGTGTGGGAGGTCGAAATCTAGATCACATACACCAGCGGATGGGGTTACCGAACCGTTGTGATCTCCACTTGGTATCGACATGTCAGTGTTGGTGTTAGATGGCGCACACTATTGAAAAGAGCATTTAGGATCGAGTTCAGGCTACAGGATCAAACACCGTCACCTTCGACAAGCGCGGTCAGGATAGAATGTCGGAGGTAACCATCCTGTCATGGCAACCAACCCAACATCAAACCTCTTGCCTGGGACTTCGGCTTGAGATTGCGATCTGGATTGTGATAAGGCACATTGCCCCAAGCAGGTTCTCGTTGGGCGCGATACGAATCTTGATACGAACCAATGGATCTGAGAGTGCACCCTGCATTCCAGATGTTTGTCTGTATCCGGCGAAGACAGCGGAGGAAAGGATCTGCTTGTCCTCATACGGCGGGGAAGCTCACCCCGGATTCCGGGCCGGTGTCTTGAATCCAATGCTTGAACCTTCAAGCCGCCGTCACAGGCGCAGGAAAACACGGAAGTCGGTTTTCATGGGGAAAAAGTGGAAGCGGCCATATGGCAAGCATGGCAAACATGCAATCATAATAAGACGCCACATCAATATGCACAGGGCAGACCGCCTAATAGGCGCGCGAGCATAAAACACCAAAACACCAAAACACCCACGATCGCGCGGTTGAGGATGCTCAAACGGGAAGACCATCTCCGGCTTCTTTCACAAGTTCCATACGTCTCGTTCGAGACAATCTCGAGGGCATCGAGGGGGAACCAGCATCGTCGGAACCGAAGTCTTCGTATCAAGGATTGCGATCAGGCAGGCTAACACGTTTTAATGCCTTGGAAATCGGATTGTTTGCTACCCAGGAGAAAGCAAACAATCCCTTTTTCACTTTCCGATTGTTGACCTCTTCCGCGGTGGGGGATAGCACTCGCTCACCAATGGTCATTCTCCAAGCAAGGCACTAACGAGCAGGTGGCTTGCATACCGGTTAACTCCGTACATAATCGTGGTTCGTCATTGGTCCATTTGAGATATAATTACAATGCTCACCACCACACTCCACACTGGCGCAAGATCCTCAGTGCGGACAATCCCTTCGGAACCGATAAAGGGGTGCTTCGGTTCCCGGCCCGGTTCCTTAAGAACCCCTCGGATTCCTCTGTTTCGCCTGGACGTTGCATTCGCTAATGAGCTCATGAGCGAGGCTCTTCTAAAACTCTTAAGATGACACTCATGATCATATTTCGATGGTCGATACCCAAAAGGGAGATCTCGGTTTCTTAGGCTACATCTAGTTCCTAGCCCCATCTTCCCTTCCCGAGGCTCCCATGATCATCCGCATTGCGCAATCAAGAAGGAGTAGCGCTCAGCTTGGTAATCTCGTCCTTGTAGTCACTTCCGCTACTCTCCTTCTGCTCGCTCGAACTGGACGTTGTGTCCTTGGACGATGACTCGGTTTGTGTCTTTTTGTTCGCTCTGTCCTTGGCCATTTGCCTTCTGTTCAGGTCATCGTTTCGTCAGCAATTGGCTGCTCCAAAGAGAAAATATGGGGAGAGACGCACTCCTTATCGTGAATGTACTTGTTCTCGAACGCCTTCTCACGATCGGCAAGGGGGTTTCCACTGGAGGAGTCCATTTTGTGGTCTCGTCCTTTGTCCGGAGTTGTTTGTCAAATCGGGATTATTTAGGGTCCGTTGTTGGAAAAAAGCAATCAATGTCTTGACAGAAAGAGACGAGGTGAACAAAGTCAAAGGAACACGATTGACGTGCGGACGAGGGTGCAATGTGCTTCCTCTTTCCATCTCCGCTACGTCACGTCACCTGCCCTGATGCCGCCGTGTTTACGTCACTGTCTCACTGACGGGAATCGCTATAGGGTGCAGCTGTAGGGCAGCTGCAGCGGGCTGAGCAGGTTACATTCAGGCAGGTTGGTGGACTTGTGGCCCGGGCTCCGGGCTGAATTCACATCGCTTGCTCCCTGTTGGCACGTGCGTTCCACTTTCAACGACAATCGATCGCGACTGCCAAAACATCATCTGGACACTCAACATTTTTAGAATGGTCATATCATGAAGAGATCGAACACATCATTTCAATGTTTCTTTAAAGCCACTAGAGTATTTGTTTATTCTTAAAGATGCAAATTCTTCCTCCTCCACAATAATCTCCACGAGTGTTCATGACGAGGTTTCCTCCAGGTTCTTGACTGCTTTCTCAACATCCCGCAGACCAGGATAGTGAGCATGATGCTTCTCAATCACGCTCCCTGCTTCTTTGTCGCAGCAAAGAAAGACTTAGATCTTTTCTTGCGACTCCACCCCCAAGAAAATGCCACAAAAGCCGCCTGGAACTCTCCAAACATATATTGACCAGTATCTATCAAATGTTTCTGCACCAAGGGAACGATCTGTTTGCTTTTACACGATGGGCATGATGTGTGGTTTGAAGGTATGCAAAATACATAGAATGGCGCACTGACATGAAGTGGTCTACCAAATGGATCCCATCGTCAATCATACAATACATAGCAGCAGTTGGTTTCTTGGGTACCAACCAACAGAGACGCAATGAAGACTTGTTGAAAACTAAGGTACTTGTTGTGCATTTGAGTGATTACTAACACCACAGCCATCACGTTGCTCAATCCTGTGCACGACAATATTTACCCTTTTGCTGTCCCAACTTATCTCCTTCCTCTTCTAGATACTGATACTTCGTCCTTCTTTCAATCGCACAACCTACGTTATATGTCTTGTTTCTTTTCCGCATCTCAATATCTAGCTTCTCTTGTTCGGCCTGGAGAAGTCCTCTCCATCCATGTTGCTTCGCGCTTACCTCGTCATCGGTTTAAATCAGGATGCGTTTCCAATACCCTCTTTACTCTCTTGGTTCATCTCCTTGTCCGAGGTCGCCTCCTGTCTTCATCAACAAACCACTCCGCAGAAATGCCTTCCACCAAGCACCAACCATGGACCATTTGCTCCCATTTTCCGCCTTATTTCTCTTCGACCTTAGCATTTGTTTGCCTTTCTGCATCGGAACGACGGATAACAGACCACATTTCTATTAACCACCTCCAACGACCTCCACGGCCGAATCCCATCGCACAATGGCGCAACTGGAAACGAACATTGAGTACGATCACGTCAAAGGCGGTAGCGGACGACGATATGTTTCATCGCAAAATGCTTCCTCCAAACTCCCGCCGAAAGCAGTCCAACATGCCCCTGTAAGGGTTCCCCTGACGAAAGGTCGAGACAATAGGGGATGGCTTTGTCAAGCCGCCCAGAGCTGTCACAATGTCGCTCCCTCTCATCGATCCCGCCGCTGGCAGTGCGGCCACGGCCCGTCTGCCATGGGGATTGTCGGACCATTGGTAGTCCACCGATTGCCGACATTGACATTGGCCAGTCACCAATCTCAAGGCAGTAGCGGCAAGCATCTTGACTTGGCCTAGGCTTTGGCAAAACGGTTTGGTCGTTGTCAAGGTCTTTTCTTCTCGTGGAACATCCTTGATTCGCGACACATGAAAATCAGACTCGCGATGTTCACCGATGCATGATCGACCGGTCGGGGGCCTCCTCCATCCAGCGTCTTCTACGATGCGTCAATCGACCAAAGGGGATGCACTTGCCCACATCCAGGCACCCTCATCAGACGCTCGGAGGATATGCCGTCGTCTTTAATGAACAACACCATGCGGGACACGCCGACTATCTTGCCCTTGCCGTCACCATCCACGTCCAGCCCTTGCACCCCGCCGAGCCGCATTCGCGCTGGCCCCTTGCGGACCTCACCTGGATCGGTTCGCGCTGCCACAACTGCATCACCGAAAGGCCCAAGGGGTGCATGGTCCACCTCACCGTCAAACAACGGATTTACGTTTCTAAAAACGTTCCATTCAAGAGGCAGAAAAGGGACCGTTTGACCGGTTGAGAAGCAATACATTCGTCGGATGGCTGAAGGAAGCCCCCGAGGCCGTGCAGCTCGCCGCACTGACCAGTGGGCAAACACTCTCGCGCCAAGTTCAACGAAATAGACAAGTGTTACGCGATGTGATGGGCGTAGCCAGGCTGTGATGGGCTTGGCCGACCTGCCACAGATTCCTGGCGCTCACAACTGCGCTGTGGGCAACCCTCGGGAGGGCCGTAACGCGCCTGTGGGGATCTCACGGCAGGAGGTTGAGCGCCTGCTGGCCGAGGAACGTCAGCGCGTCAAGCAGCTCGTATCGTCAGAGGTAAAGACTGCCCTGTCCAAGCAAGCCATCCCGCGCCAGTCATCGGTCACTCCGGGAATGCAGTACATCAATTCGCCTGCCGGCCTGTCTTCTGCCAGTCCGATGCATTCCTCGCTGGTTTACGAGCGCTCGCCATTTGCCCATCTACAGCCTCAGTCGCCGGCTATCAAACGCCAGCGCAGTATGATGGACCCACGTGAACAGTATCGTCAGGTTGGACACGGCCGTGGCAGCAGGACTGACGTTAAAATGTCAGAACTGCTGGGAGTCACCTGAAACCTCACACAGTGATTACAAGTGACTGTGCAAGATATGGTAGGTAGATTGATTCTCTAGATGGAGCTGATACCGGAGGCGACAACGAGGTGTGGTCTTCTTATACAGCTGTGACGTGAGGCTTGTCCGTGAGGGCCAAGCCTTCCCATTTCACGGCTGCCCTGGTGAGGCGGATCTACCATGATCAATGTCGAACCATAGCAACAAGGCATGTAACGGGGGGAACACTACAATTTAGAGAGACATGGCATTTCCGAAGTGCAAGGCTATTAGATCGGAGGGACACGAAGTTGGCCGCTCTTGTGGACTCGAGGGGAATCGTCACCGCCAAGAACACGAACACTTGGGATGACAGACTCTTCACCGGCCCCGAGGTACCAATGTGTCATTTTCATCTTGACTCTGGTTGTCAACCTGCATATCAAGGTTTTCCTATTGAATTGTGTTCTGTCAATAGGTTCAATCCTGTTTGCCCAATGGACCCAATCCAGAAACTTCCCCTTGCCATTGTTGCTTCCCAATTCCTATTGAATCATTGCGTGCACAACTGAACCTTGGACCAGGTAGTTCCTACTCGACAAACAATTATTTCAAGCTCGCCTCTTCGCCCACAAATCCTTTCGCTGAACTTTTCCGTTGCTCTTTTCCCAAGGAAGTTCTTGGCTGTCAATCGATCACCGCAACTCAGCACTGATATCAAATCATCCCATTAATAAGATCGCCTTTGCTTTTCCACTCTGCTCTTACCTTACACAACAAACAATCCATTTTCTCAGCACGAACAATGGATTACAACAACAGAGCTGGTACAACTGTGTACATTGAGGTCGAAGGTACGTTAGCAGCCAAACTCCCATCTTGCTGTTATCCATCAGCGCAACACAACCAACACTCTCATTAATTGCACACGAAACACAACCATTTCTGCGCCGTCTCTTCCTTGTGCCATGGGACACAACTAACATTTTGTGCAGAATTTGAACCGACCGAGGAGCAGCCACACTCCTACTGCCCTTCTGCAATGGATGGCTACAACCGTGGCTCTGGCACGTCGCTCCATTCCGCCACTCTTTCCACGTCCAGTCCTCCCCCGGCTCCTCGCAATTCTCCGAGCTCCGCGACCACCTTCCACCAGACATCGCCGACGTACTGCCCTCTGCCGCCGCGATGGGTGCCTACTTGTACATCTCCAGTTATCCGGGGCTCCAGATCTCCGCAGCTTCCCATGTCTCCGATCTACATACTTGGAACACAGCAATGGACCCCCACCTCTCCCACTTACAGTCCTGCGTCTCCCGACTGGATGTCGCGTTCCAATACCCCGTTGCCCAGGTCTCCAGTTCACACTTGTGGTTCTCCTCCGCTTCCTATGTCTCCTGTCTATGCGCCTAGTTCTCCTGACTGGGCACCCACATCTCCGGCTAACCCTTCTGCGTCTCCAATTGGGCCCCCCCAATTTCCTGAGCATAGGTCGGGAGGAGCATCGCCGGTTTACGGTCCCACCTCTCCCACCTACAGCCCTTGGACTCCGCCACGCGTTCCTCGATCTCCCTCCCCCGAGCTTATGCATAGTGAAGCATCGCCGGTATACTATCCTATATCCCCTGGACCTCCCGGGTATACGCCTGGCGAAGCATCGCCGGAGTTCTACCCTACATCTCCAACATACAGCCCTTGGTCGCCGCTGTCCGGAGCTGAAGATCCGAAAAAATTCTGGCCTACATCGCCTGGGCACCGCTCTCGGGATTACATCCCGCATTCTCTTGAGTCGATAGTCGGGGGCACATCCCCGAAAAACTACTATCCTCCATCCCTCGGACGCGTCCCGCAGTCACCACCGTACGTTCCTCGACCTCCTAGTCCCCAATGGGCGCCTACATCGCCGACGTACAGCCCTTCGACTCCGCCACGCGTTCCTCAATCTCCTGAGCCGGCGTCCAGAGGTACATCTCCGGTATACTATCCGACCTCGCCGACCTATTGCTCTTCATCGCTGTTAGATGATCCTCGATCTCCTGTGCGGACATCCATCGGTTTTGCGGTAGCTTTTGGGTCCGCGTCCCCTCCTCCGGTTCCCAGCTCTTCGGCACATACCCCTCAATCTCTCCAGTATGCGCCTACATCCCCTCAACCGGTCTCAACACATCCAATATCGCCCTCATACTACCCTGGGCGTCCCGTATTGGAGCCTACGTCTCCACCTCCGGGCCGCTTGTCGCCTTCGTCTCTGGACAGACACAGTCCTAACTTTGAGGAGATTGAGCGTGACCTCGAAGGTTGGAGGGGTCAAGGTCGTTTTTTTTACAACCAGGCCAGTTCGATCGTGTCCGAGGAAGAAGAGCGGAGGGAGCGTGGTCAGCGAGAGATTTTGACGGAACCGTTTCCTGAGTTACCTGATTGGGAGTGGACTGAGGATATGGCGATGGACAAGGAGGAAGGTGATCAGGTACAGGAACCTGCCGCTGCGGTTCCGGACGAGGAGGAACTGTCTGATTACGAGCACTACGAGCAAATAGAGCAGGAGGAGAACGAAAATATGGAGAGGGATGCAGAGGATGATCCGCAAGATGTTCAGGCACAGCAGCCTTTCACTGCCACTGTCGATCCAGAGGATGACCTTCCAGACTACGAGTACTACGAGCAACTTGATGAAGAGATGGAGACAGAAGCAGAGTCTTTCATCCAGCAGGATACGCAACCTTCCGATGCCGAGCTCTACCGTTCCATTTCAGCAATCGACCAGACGCTCTCCCCCTCCTCTTCCGCCGATATCTCCGGTGTCTCCATGACGCACGACACCAAAGAAAACCCCACCAATATGCTCCCTCGCTCCTCCTCCCACAGCTCCTTACCCCTCGACCGCCCCTACTACCCAGCTTCCCAGAAGCTGATTGGCCAACGCAAGGTTAGGAAACCTCAAAGGGTTGACAGGATGATATGGAACAAGGTGATGCAGAAGAAGATGGCGCATCTGATCAAAGTATGCGAGAAGTACGTTCCCGTGGATGTGCTGAAGGGGTTGCAGCTGGGTCATTGACAGGCATTCAAATGTGAAATGGGGGAGATGCAGAAGGGTAAAGGGCGCATGTGTAGAAAGAGACATGGAACGCATACATTTACAGTAGTATTTTTAGTGACTCCAACGAGAATACCTAACGAAACGTGGGCATATGCCCCTTTGACCTTCAATTGTGCATGATGCGTGTGTTAGCATGTTGAGGTTTCTAGTTCTGGAGTTCCCGAGGTTGATGCGGTCACGTATGCAATATCCGAATGCATGATCCGGTTAGGTGGCAAAGCCACCAAGCTGTGGGAGTGAGAATAGAGCATGGCAGGAGCGTCGTAGGCCACATTGCATGGCTTCTAGTTCTTTACTTAAGGTGCCTGGGCCCAATTGGCAGAATCCATGCACATGGTGCCTTGGGTTTGGTTTTTTTAAGAACAGAATTCGTGCATATGCAATCCCAGAGCTGCCCCAGGGGCAAGTGTACATATTATGCCTGATTTGGCTGGAAGTTAGTTGAAAAGTTATCGTCCGAAGTTCTACGGTAATGGATAGACGAGGCATAGGATGCAGACAATGGAACGTCGCATTTGCAGAAAAAAAGAGATTGGAATCCAGATCGGACAAATACACCCAGTCTCAAGTCCCAAATACCCCAACTACAATGAAGATCCAGCATGTAGACACGGATCATAATTCCCTACCTTACGTGGGGGTTATTGCCGTTTTTGCGTCGTAAAGTGGCTGTGAATGGAGGTAGGTAGTTGTGTCCCACACGCCGGCTTTGGCAACTGGATTTTGAGACGGTGTAAACTCCGCTATAAACGGCCTTCAATGATAATACGAAGACCATAAAGCTCATTGTCGTAGAGACTTTTCCTTTTATTGGAGCTGACGCATTGAAGTCGGCCTGGAAGCTGGTGCCAGAAGTGATCGAAGAACAAACCCGAAATCAGGCGCTTGGTGTCCTTGATGAGTAAGTAAGGCATGCCTCTGATGATGGATGCGAGGGACTTGGGACTTTGAGGCAATTTCCTTCTTGTCCCGGCCAGTGCGGACGGGACGCAGTGGAAGAGCAGTGCAAGAGATCCTTGGCAGGCAAAGCCTTCAGCTTGTTACCGGGCAGAGGACTGGAGCAGGAAGTCCCAGGCAACTGTTAGGTAGTGTTGGTGCCCAGGCGGTTTTCAATGACGTCGAACTCGCTGTCCCAGTCCAGAGCATGTTGTTGTGGCGAACTCGTGCTCTACGAAGGTGATGGCTCCATGTACCTTATTCATTGCAGTTCTCAACAAGAGTCTTGAGGACTTTCAATGTCAAGCGCAATTACGTGCAGTGTATCTATGGTGGAGAAAGTCTTCTACAAGCCCTTACTATGGTGCGGTAGATTTGTCATCGGAGTGTGCCTAGAGATAGAGGTAGGTTTTCTCTAAATCCTTCGGCCGAACACACATGTTCGTTGATACGCGAAAGTCCGCTAGATCTCCTTTTCGAATCTCTGCAGGTGGTCAACTTCAAGCAGCACATACCTATGCAAGTACGGACATGGTGGTGGCGGAAGTCCCAAAGCGAAAACAACAACGGGCAAATATGTCACATATCTGAGCTGCGCAGCCACATTGATTATGAGATCTGCACAGAGGGCCATATTGTCAGTTTTTCACTTTGTTCCTATTGAAGACCAAGGTTCCCCCCAGCTCTGTCAATCTTTTCCTTTTCTGTTTTCCATCCCTTCCATCTCACAATTGTTCGCTTTCATCATAACATACTACTGGTACGATTACAATCAGGTACTCTCAAATCTCAATCACAATGGAGCAACACAACAACAATCAGTCCTCAGGGCAAGTTGAGGATCATGGTATGTACTTTTTCTCTCTTCATGTTTAACTTCCAAAATCCCCCTATCGTGCTGCTACAAGCCTACAAAACTTGGGACTGACATACCATACAGGCTTTGAACCCATTTCGCTCCCGGCTACCCCATCTCCCTCGGCTACCCTATCTCCCGCGTCGTCTTTCTACGTTTTCACATCAGGCTGGGCATCGGATACACAAGACTCTCCTGTCGGACTGAAGGATGACGGCCATGACCTACCGGACTACGGAGACTTCGAGATATTCGGCCATGACCTACCAGACTACGGAGACTTCGAGGTACTCGGCCCCATATCTATTTCTGAAGAGGCTTCAGGTCCAGAAAACGACTCTGCCGCCGTCGCCGCCAGTGCTATTGAACATGAGTTCGAAGGCGACCTTGTCTATGTTCCACAAGTTGAATCCCACGAGGCTCGGAAGAGAAAGCAAGGGGCCAGAATTATCCTCCAAGCCCGGAGACGGAAACTACAGGCCCGGCGTCGCGCCATTCAAGACGTGACTGTCGTCGCCGGTGGCGCTCATGTGGAGACCCTCGCCGCCGTCCGCTCTTCCCATTCCTCCGCGTTGGGCAAAAACTACAGCAGCCCCCCGGCCGCGGCCCAAGCTCGCCGTCGCCGCAAAAACGCCTACCCATCACCCTGGGCTCTTCCCTCTCCCAAAGAGGAAAAGGAATACGACGCAGACTGCGAATCCGACACCGACGACGATAAAGAGTCCGATGTTGTCCCGGATGATCGTCCTCCCTTCGCCCAATCCGCCCTTCGCGTCCGCAACAGGCCCCTGGGCCAAATCAAGATTCAGAAACAGGTCAACGAGCGAGCGCAAAAGAGATTTCGTCGCATCGCCATGAAGGGCTGCGAGAGACACGAGGGTGCCTTGCAGAGAAGCTTGCGGAGGGAGTTGACTGTCCTCGCAGAAGAGGAACGTGCTTTGCATGCGGAAATCGAGGAGACGAAGGAGAATGACAAGGTCGAGACGGAAATGAGGAGGCGTATGGAATCGACAAGCGACAAGGAGGAAGATAGTGATGAGGGTCGGAAAGGATGTGGATGCTTTGAAGAGGCTTGAGCAAGGGTCTTTTGCGGAGGATTCTGTGGATTCTGTCAGACTGGACTGGAACAAATGGTAGCTAGCATCTGAGAGTTTGGAGATGATGGATGATGTCGAAGATGAGGGATTGAGCAAGCTACGACTTTTTTGTGGTCAAGGATGGACTTGGACTGTTGGAAGCTGATTGATGCTTGAATTGGATACCCGCAAGGAGGTTTGGCTGATGATGCATTGTTTACCGTGGCAAGGAGCCTATGCCGTGGCGTTTGAAGGGTCAGTTGAAGGATGGACATCGGAATGCAAGTTGAGTGCCCTGGATGAGATCAAATGTGATGATGAGAGTTTGGCAAGGGATGAGAGATAGAGCACAATTGATCTGTTGATGGGATCATTCACGGAAGTAGGAAAGAGGCAGAAGTTTCAAGGAAATTACAAAGAGTTTACTCACTACTTTATATTGTGACTGCCACCCAGAACCGTTTCCACCTTCGAATTATTGTGCTTCCAAAGTTGTGTGGTTTAGGAAGGATTGTTGGACGAGATATCGGCGAGTGTCACCCGTGTATATGAGGCAGCAACTGTCGAAGTGAACAGAGTGAACAAAGACGAAGGCATTACGAGATTAGGAGTAGTGGCAAACTTATTAATTGAAGGAGGAGGAAAAAGGACGAGAGAAGGGAGGAGGCCTTCGATATAAGTACAAGTATAAATCCATATATGGATCGATAAAATAAAATAAGAGATAACCATCCCATTTGGCATCGTTCAACAGCAACGACAATTTGGGAAGGCACTTTTAAACGCCAAGCCCCTTTGCCAAAATAGAGCAGTTGTCAAACGGTAATCCAGGACCGCCTTGTGCATTTTTCACCACAACCCATTCAGCAAGCATTTTGCCGAATCTTTTCTCGATCAATATCCTTTTACTATCCCTCGGTCCTCACAAATGTGACCAGAGTCGCACTCAAAGCCGGACTCGAAAGGCGCAGACGTATCAAGGCCAGCCCAAAAGAGCCACCAACATAGGATGAAAGCCGTCTTGTCCGAAGCACCAAGGCACCGAGACACCAGTGCCCTTTGTCCCTCATAAGCTCCTTTCCCGGGCAGATTTTCCAACAACAACGGCTAGTTGGTTGAGCAGCAGCTAGTGTTACGCACAGTACACCCACATTGACATCTGCTCAAAACGCCACGGGTCCAAATCCTTGTGGTGGCAGCTTTCGACACGACTATCGCTCAGGCAAACTTGCAGTCTCTATGGTTGTATCATCAAGTCTATCTGGGCTAGCGAGGCCGAGCTGTGACCGACGAGGGGATACCTTCTGGTATCGTTGACCAACTACAACTCCTTTTTTTTTTTCCCCTCTTTTCCCCCCCCCTTTTCTGTGCATGCATGTCGGACGCATGCCGACCTGCCAGCTGGTGGTCAATGACTCTGCACGCAGAACCTGGGATTCAGGTTAACAGTAGACTCAGAGTTAGCCACTTTGTTCTCCCCACTTTCTTTCCCCTCTCTCGATTGCTTTCCTCGTTCGGCCCCTTCACAAGGTCACCAAAGAATAGAAACCCAGCCCACCTCCATTCTCCCGTCGCCATTCTCCCGTCGCCATTCGCCCCTCTTGGCAAACACCACCCAGCCTCTTTCTACGTACTTTTTCCCTTGCACTCTCCATGTCGAAGACCGGAGGAAATCAGAGCCTTGCTCTGGAAGACAACGGCTTGCCATCACTTCAGCCGCATTCACACCGCAGCGGTGGAGTCATTATGTATACCGGTACTAGAAGCAGAGCGATAAACCCGAACATACTGCGACCATCTAGCCATCGATCCCGTGACGCTCCAAGCTTTTACTCCGCGAGATCCTGACAGCCACTGTCGAGAAAAACTCAACGCATGTCTTCCCAAAAGCTCGCAAGAGTCTGGTGAAAAATATTGAGTCGAGGAGGATGTTAAATTGAAAGCTGGAGAACAATATGGCCAAAATTGAGGATTGCCAAAAACACCTGAATGCCTTAAAGGAAATGGTGGAAGAGCTGGTAGCGAAAAAAAAAAATCACTCAAGCTTCTGGCATCGTTGAGACAGGCTGAGAAAAAGTTCACGGCCTCGGTTAACGACTAGGAGAGAATGGTGCGCGACCATCTGGAGTAGGTGACTCGGTTTCTATCATTTGACGATGGTTCTACCACAAAGTGACTGGGTGTGGTTGTCGTCCAGAAGGACAGGATGGAACCGCACAGACGGTGCTAGTCCGGCACATTGGTGTGTCCTGTGCCGTATGATGGGACGACATATGGGAGCAAGATAAAACCTCCAGTCTTTTGTTTGTTGCAAGTGGGGTGAATCTGGGTACGTATCGGTTTCATAAGTTCACCATTCATCTCGAAGATGGATCTCATCTTGACTACTTGCCCTTCAAGCCTCCACGAATTCACCCTTCCCCCCGATTGGGTATAAAATCCCCCCTCCCCCTCCTTCTTCCTTGACCTCCCCCTCTTCTCCATCCATCAAACTTCCAGAAGCCGATCGCCTTTGCTTTTTTTGAGGGCATCGCAGGTATCACTTGCTCGTGAAGAACCAGCACCACTCTTGGAAGACCCGTCACAGACACTATCGCACAAAGCGCCAGAGAAATCTTCTACCGCGAAGCAACGTCAGTTCGACCACTCATCATTATCACCCTTGTCTCAGATCACACGCACACGCACACGCACACGACACTCGATCATAATGGAGCACTGGAAGCTTCCTGAGCTGCGTCCGCTTGTCGGCTATCAATTTAATGTCCCGGGTAAGTCTTTTGTTGCCGTTCATCATCGCACACATCCTTTAGTTCGTGCAAACCTGGCATCTAACAATTTGGTAGGCGGCAATCCTTTCCAGCAAAGCACTGGACTCACTCATGCGCCCGCTCCCACCACAACCCCTCCTATCGCCATTCACATTGACAGCGCTCCCTCTGACACCAGGCATTGCAGCCGCGCCGAGAAGCTCAACAGAAACCACCTCAAGAAAATCCAGAAGAACCACAAAATCATCCAATCCCGATTTCAGTCTCGTCTTGACGCACAAGAACGCAAGAACCGCATCCTCTCTGCGAGGTTTGAGCAGCTCAAACAATACCAGGCGTTCGTCACCAGCTTGCAGGATATTGAAGGCAAGGTCACAATGGCTGAGGCCTATGGGCATTGGTTGGAGATCAGCATCCAGAATTGTGAAAGTGTGGTTGGACGATTTGGCTTGGAGGGACCCCTGAAGATTGGAGAGGAGGACGAGGAAGATGAGGAGGACGAGGAGGAGGAGGAGGTAGTGGAAGACGAAGGCGAAAGCGAGGAGGATGAGAAAGAGGGATCAGAGAACTCTGAGGAGGACTCGGATGAGGAAGAGAACGCGGAGTCCTGCTGCGCCAATGATGAGGACGACTACTGAACTGGCAGGATTCTCAACGGATCTGGTTGCTGAACATCCAGGCATCTGAGGCTACATAGCTGGGGTGATATTGAGGTTATTTGAAGGCAGGTCGTCACATGAAAGCAATTTCAGGTTGCCTTACTGGCAATAGCAGTATGATTCGGTACTTATATCATTTTTACAGGTTGCATTTTGCTCATTTGAGCTCAAGGCAATAGGTTTCTATCCTCACAGTTAACTCACTTACTACCTTACTTTCCATTTCATTCATGCCTTCGTTGCGGTTTATCTCATTGAACGGCTGGTATCAGTGCTCAAGGTTCTGGATAGATCGGTATAAAACAGTGCTGCACACGAGGCAAGTCAAGGCAAGCCAGGGGTTAAACTTGCCTTGCCTTGTCTTGTTGGCTTGCACAACCTGCATACGTATATTATCACCGGGTTTACCACTCTCGATTCTCATATTCGATCTATATGTAGGGTATCTCTACGGAAGAAATTGGGGCTGTACTATAGAAAAAGGTAGGCAAGCCTAACAAAGCAAGCCGAACCCCAAACTTGCCTTGACTTGCCGAGATCTTTTCCAGACTTGCCTTGGATTGGCTTGACTTGCTTTTCCTTACCTTGAGTAGGCTTGCCTTGTGTGCAGCACTAGTATAAAACCCCGTCATACCCTTCCCCTCTCTCCCAACTTCATTCTCCCCCCAGAAACTCAACCGGTAACTTGTCAAACAAGTGCCGCAAGCCTCAGTTCCTCAACGCAATCCAAGTCGCAAGTTTCCAACTTAATACAAAACACGACCGAGCACCGTTTTGCTGTTCCAGGTACGTTTATTGACATGTAACCCAAGGTCAGGTTTCTACACAAATGATCCTGATCTGACACAATCCAGACAGATACATGAGCCCCCTCATCCAGAAACCTTGTAATGTCCTCTCGCAGAGGCAACCGACCAAGCCGAGCCACTTCCGCTCCCGCGTTTATCCCTACTGGCAGCACGGTTACCCACAACGAAGCCAAACCCAACAGTGATGATGCTTTCAATTTCGTTCACCCCTCGTTAAAACGCATAAAGAAGAATCTCGAAGCCCGGCTCATGGAACGGGAGAAGAAAAACAGCGCCGTCGCCGCTCCCATCAAGCATCTCGAACAGTGCAAAAAGTACACGGCCAGTGTGCGAGGATTGGAAGTCAAGTGGAGCCACGAGGAAGCAAAGGGAAACGTGCTGGAGAAAAAGCTGAAGGATTTGGAGAGTGAGGTTGAGGAGAAGGTGGAAGAGTGGGTGGAAGAGTGGTTGACATGAAAGATGGTCGAGGGATATGGCTCGAGTGGTACGGCGGTGGAGGAATAGGAGGAAGTTGAAGTGCAAGAAACTGAGGTAGTGGGAGTTCGAAGAAAGAGAAGTGAGATTGCGGTGATCGACCTGGATACCTCTAACCATGATCAGGAGGAGGGCCGAATCGACCAGTGGTTAGAGGAGCAACACTCACTAGGAGACTGGGGGGAGGAGATTTTGTAGCATGATGACTACCTCTAGGTTTGAGTCACGGCGGAGGAGGACGAAGAGAACGAGGCTCAAGGCGTGTTCGTTTCCGCGTTAGCACATCTTGGAGTTTTGTATACAGAGCGTACCTAGTAAGGCACTGCTACGATTTGTCGTATTCGGTTCAAAATCCCTATGCGACACTCTGCAACAATCTACAACCACCTGTGTTTAACCTAAACGCTGGTCTAATGTTGCAGGCTTGCAGCTGCGGACCATGCGCGTTGAGACCCCTATTCTCCCAAACGCCCTAACGCTGAAACGAACACACCTTCACAGGAAAGTGGATTTGGGAGGAGAACAGGGAAGGAATTCAGGATCTCGGAACTGCGCACCGATTCAAGCAGACGTAAAGGAGACATTGATACATCTAGAATTATTGAGATCTGTTTAACGGATAATCTAGGTACAGCTCGGTTCATGGAAACCAGCCGAGGATCAGAGGCACATATGGAGTTCCCGTGCACACAGATACAAATGTCTACAAGCTGATGATCATTGGCTGAGTTTAGATAATGAAACGGGGACTGTATCGCAACCCAGGCACTTTGTTTGCCTGCATTTTCATTCCATCCTATTCTGTGACTTATCCCCATTCGTTTGAATAAGCTATTCGCCTGCTAATGTTGACAGTATGCTGCCAAGGAACAGAATCTATAAAAGGCCTTGCCCCTGCTTCGAGAGCCAGACTTCATCCTTGCATCATCCTCAATCTACAGCTTCTCCTTCAACTGCGATTCTTCTCCAAACATCTTTCTGCAGTCCTCATTTAACCGAATACCATCTCGCCTACATTCCTTGGCCTCAAGCAATACACCACAATTTTCGAGGCACTCTTTCCTTGCACTCACTTTATTCTCACCACGGTCACGGACGTTCGCTCATATCTCACAATGGCTCACTCTCGACGTTCCGTCAAGGAAGAATCGGTGGGAATCCCTCTAGTACGCAGTAAGACAGCTCCGTTCCCCTTTGCAACTGACTGACTGACTGACTGACAACGTCCCTTCTGCCAGCTTCCAAGACCAGCATTGCGTTGCCGCCCAAGACAGCTGGCATCACCAAGCCAATCGCTCGAGCGAAAGTTGTGAAACCCGTCGCCAAAGCCACCACTACCCGACCTGCCACCCGCGCCTTCGTCAAGAAAGCTTCAGTTGCCCTGAAAGATGAGGAGTCAAAGAAAGCAAAGGAAATTGAGCCATTGCCGAAGAGAGCTATATTCAAGCCAGCCGTTGCTCCCTCAACCGCTCCCCGTCTAATCCTCGGCGTTCCGCTCGTAACAAGTGTTTCCAGCCGGCTCCCAGCTGCCCCAACTGTCCGGGCACTTGCCCTCGTCAAAATCAGCAACGCCGTCAAGTCCATCGTCAACAAGCCCATCACCGTCAAACCCAACGTTCTCGCCATGCCCATTCCCAAGCCAAGCGCCCTCCAACCCAGCGCCCTTCCCGGCCCGAGCCTCCCTCGCAACACCGAGGCAGAGCTGGAGAGCCTCATGACCATCGGCCGCGAGCAGGTCGAGAAAAAGCTCAAGGATCGCATCAGGGAGGAAAAGGAGGAGCGGCACGTTCTGTTAAAGCAGCAGGCTGTCTTCCAGAGATATCAGGAATACCTTGAAGCCTTGACTGCATTGGAAGACGAGCTGAGGCAACTGAAGGAGGACAATCGTCTGGATCTTGAGATCGTGGAGGAACAGGCCGAGCAGTTCCATTTAAACACGATGAAATGGGCCAAGCTGTTTGAGGAGTACGCTGGAAAGCTCGGTATTACTCTCTTTGACATTCAGCGGCTGGATTCTTCGTGGTCTTAATTCAGACTCCTCTGTAAAGGCTTGGTCGGGTTGTGAGCGCAGGCTGAGGGTTCATTTTGAGAAGATTTTAGGACATGGAACGAGAATGAGGACATGGAACGGAGCTTTTAGTCCATCCGCTTGCCCATTGCTTCATTGCTCTTTCTTCATTACTGCTAGATAGAACATCAGCTGGTCAGATGATGAGTAGCTCAGACGATCGACGAGAGAATCGTATTTCTGCCCATCTGCGCTGCAAGGAATGAAATATAATCAACTTACTCAGAGAATTCTTTGAAGCTATGCTTGAAACATCGCCCAGATACCGTCTTATACCGTCTTCATCCGCACTAAGCAAAGTTTCGTCTCTGCTGAGTTTCCGTTGACAGGAATTTGAGATGGCTGAAACTGTCCCCTCAACAAATCATTCGTCAGTGAAACATACACAGCAGCTCGTTTGCAAAGATTGCGGTTTGCCTTCATCTCTTATACCAAAGATGACTTGACTCCTCGAATTCACTCACCTCTTTGCTGGGCGGCTGGCAGGAGAGATTCAGTCCCTTTCGCAACATTTTCCCACACATCCACGATCTTGCCTCCACCAAAGAGGCGCACACATTCTTTCCATAACATCGCCTTCATCACCGCCGCATCAATATCGCTAGGTGTATCAATCTCCATTGCTTTCAAAGCGAGGCCACCACTTCAAGGCCCTTCGATTGAAGCAACGCCTCCACGACGATTACGTAAATCTCACCCATCCCTCAGAAATTCGCCCAGAATCTTGGTCAAAACGCGCAAGATCCTGGCCATCTGAGTCCATATCGCCATCGATATCATTACCCATCATTTCCGAGTAACGCTATTATTATCACCACCAAGACAAACGCCAAGGTTTCCCGTGAGAACATCCATAATGCAGCGCTGGACCTTCCCCAGCTTTCGCTTTCCAACCGGTAAGTCTCTTTACAAGTACTCGCTTGCCAGGTCCGCCAGACCAACCCAGTCCAGCCAGCTTCAATCTCCCGCCATCATCACCTCACCCTCAAACCCACCTACTTGTAGCTAACATCCCTCCCAAAGACGGGCCCCATCAAACCCGACCCTGACATCCCACCTTTTCATTCTCGGCCCCCGCAGACTACCTCTAACCAGTCTAACCCCGAATCCAACACTCCCTAGCAACCCAAGCGTCCCAAGCCCCCGACGCTGATCCTTCAGCATACCGCCCCTCCCCCACCCAAACCACCACCGAACGCACCCTCCGCTCCCGAATCATCAAACAAAAAGCCACCAACAACCGTTTACGCAAAAGCATTGCGAAGCTGGAAGCCAAGAGCGCTTATCTCCGTCGTTTGAAGGAGTTGGAGAAGGAGGCGGAGAGACTTGAGAGGGAGGGGAAGGAACTTGCTAGACGGGAGGAGGAGGTTAAGGGGTTGGTTGAGAGGGAGTCGGAGTTGGTGAACTTGGACTTGGAGATTGAAGGACATGTGGAGGTGGAGGGTTGGGGTGGTGTGAAGGGTGAGAACGATAACGAGGTTGGCGTTAGGGGAGGTGGAGTTAGGGTCAGGAACGGAGGAAGGGAGGAGTCGGTTAGGAAGGAGGAAGACGGCTCCGAAGAGCGAGAGGAAGTGGTTGGGCGGATTAAGCGGGAGCATGAGAGTGGTTATGAGGACGAGGACCAGGCCGAAGTGAAGTACGAGGGAAAGGTGGGGGTGAAGGCCGAGGCCATAAATTCTCAGAACAAATGGGTTGAGGAGATCGAGTTGTTGAATGGTTCTGCGGCTTGGAAGTGGTTGGACCCTTGTTTGGCGGTGGAGATCTAGACTTCCTTCTAGCTGGGGCTACAAGAGTGCGAGTTTGATCGCTTTGGGCATTGGAGAGGACGTGAAGACAGGACCTCTCATACACCGGTGATAGAGGATCTGGATGGAGGGGAATATGGCTGCACTAGCGCCTGGAGACACGCCGCACACTGTTGTTGAACAGGGTTAGAAGAAAAGGTACCTTGGGATTGATGACTACTCAGGTACCTAGGTATTTTGGCGCCGCCAAATGCTATGATCAAGAAAATCAAGATATGTGCTGAACAACGCCGTGATGACGAACCGAAATGCAAATAGCGGACAGTAAAATATTCCTCCGATGATACCATTATATCCTCCACCGCACCAGCTGCAAAAAAGATGACAATAATACTGAAGTATGTAATGCACAATGCCCAAAGCTTCAGTGAAAGTCAAGGTACCTTACCCATATGTTCAGGTCCAATCCCGCTCCATGCCACGATATGTTTATATATCCTCCATTTATGCCAGCACTCATCATCATAATCGTAACGAACATCAGTTCTCTTTCAGACCTCCCAAACGAACAACAAACAACCCATGAAAGCAGCAAGTGAGAAAAGCAGCATAACCGCCGCCTTGAACCCCATAAGCACAAAGGAAACAGCAAAGTATACCACTCATCTCCATCTCCATCTTCACAGTGGCAAAATCCCTAATCCCGTCCCACTACCACTACCACCTCCACCACCACTACCAGCATCTGCACCCTCGTCACCACTCCTCTCTCTCTCCTTCCCCTGCTGAGCGTGCTGAGTCTGCTGAACCATCCTAGGACTCCACCTCCCTCCATCAACCTTTGCCAAACCCGGACTGTCCGACCTCGACAGCGAACCAGAACCAGCTTCACCCGCCCCATGTCCATGTCCATGGCCCCAAGGCCTATATAATGAGGCCATAGACACCGATGACACTGCCGAAGACGGTCTCCAAGGTCCAGGACTACTTCCGCTTCTAGTTCGTGTCCTTATCCTTGATCCTCTGACGTTGGTGGCCGGGCTGGAGGTACCGGTACCAACATTGTGGTTCGCGATGACGGGTCTGGCAGAAGAGGGAAAAGGTGGGTTAACCGCGCCTTGAGGCAGCATCGACACCGAAGTCAACGGCGACCCAGAAGGTAACATAGGCAATGAGGCATGCAAAGGCGGAGTATTCGGATTGGGATTGATATTCGGCGACTGCAAGCCAGGCGAAGAACCCGAAGTTGATGGCTGCTGAACGATTCTCTTCCTCCTCGCAACTCCCAGACCCGTAAAAGCGGTCGGCGGCGTGGGCGGCATAGACGGCGCTCCTACACTGCCACTGCTAGGCGTCGTTCCAAGCCCGGTATTCATCGCTCCTCCTCCTTGAATAGGCATGGCCATCGGTCTTGCACTTGACTGCTGCTGCTGCTGCTGATGCACACCATGTTCCCAAGCCAAACCACTTGCAACCGGTGATCCAGGCGGCGGAAACCCATGTAGATCATTGTTGAAGTCTTCTTCCATAGCGTGGAAGACACCCATGTCGATATTTGCTTCTGGCACCGCATGTTCAACCATAGGAGTAGAACCAGTGCTGATGTTGGTCGTGGGAGTCAGCGATGAAGTAACACCGCTGCTGCTGCTAGGAAACTGGAAGATGGTGCCGTCACTAAGCAGAATGCCAGCTCCTGCCCCGGCTCCGGCTCCCGTTCCTATTCCCGTTCCGATAGCTGGGAAGGAGGATCTGTGCTGTTCTTGACTTTGTAACGAGAAGATTGTTCCAGGCGCTGGGGTGCCAGTGACGGTTGAACTGACCACCGCAGACAACGAACCAATACTAGGCCGTTCCGCAGGTGCAGAAACACCAGACAAGGGAAATGGTGTGCCAGGAAACTGTCCTCCCATGTTAGATATCGTAGACGACATCAGGTCCGAACTTCCCGCAACACCGCTTGAAGTAACCGAACTCGCCAACGGATGCTGTTGCTGTTGTTGCCCTTGCCCCGACCCAATCAGCTGTCCACTTCCCCGTCTTGACCCAGATCCAGATCCGGTCGGGAAGCCAAAAGACGGCAACGAGCTCACGGATTGCGACCCCGATCTTCCTGTATTACCGTAACTACCAAGAACATTCTGGATTCGTTCCTTTGTCCTGCGTCTCGTGAGTCCCACTCCCCTACCCAGATTCCGCCAGAGGATAGCGGGTGCTGGTTGCGGATGAGGAGGGGCTGAAGAAGATGTTTTGCCGGCGTTGGGTGCCGTCCGGGCCCCGAGACCAATGGATGCCGTTGCTGACTTTTGATAGGCATGGCCGCCTGCAGTGGGAGATTGTGTGTAGGAAGAGCTGGAAGCACTTTGTTGCTGATGATGGTCAGGGACATGCATCTGGTTCTGCTCCTGCCACCGCGAATAACTCGTGTCAACACCTGGGAATACACTCTCTATCCTAGTTCTAGGGGAGGGTTCCGTTTCTGTATACGATGCTGGTCGGTGTTGCTGCTGCTGCTGTTGTTGTACAATCTTCTGAGAGGATAGTCGACCTGCGCCTGACCCGGGAGCGTTGATGTTGATTGGCATCAAGGGCATTTGTAGCTGCATATGTGAAGGCCTGTTACCGAGATTAACATTGGTGCCGGAAACAGCGGGGCTGCTGCTGTTGTTCATCAGTGAAGAACTTCCAGCAACCACCTTCCCAGAATTAATAATCGGCCTAGGCTTCGATACCCCCGCTACCATCTGAGCCGAAGACGAGAACACATCAGCACTCTGCACAGACAACGACAATGGACTCGGACTGTGATTGCTTGTTCCACCAGATGATTGTACCATCCCCGATGCAGACGACTGATGTGACGGATCTCTTGACATGGGCTGAGAAGTGTATCCCGTCGGCGCTTGTCCCGGGACCGTGCCAGGAACCATCAGCGGCGAGGGACCTGGTCGGGTCGCAACCGTGTGACACGGAACTCCGGTAACAGGATGAAGTGGCGACGGTGCATTCGACGGTATGTTAAGCTCCTGTCCAAGAGTGGTATATCTTAGAACACGATCCCATTGTGGCAAAGAACCAACGGGCTGCGAAGACGAGAGGTAATCCGTGTCTTGGTCCCAGCCAGCTTGACTAGGAGGCTCGGAGAACCCATGGGCGGCTCTAGAGGGACGCACTGTAGATTCCTCCAAATCCGCGGTTGCAGCAAATGAAGGCGGTGGGAATGGTGACGAGGTATGGTTCGCCGGACTCGAGCGGGACGTGCGACTTCCTCTGAAGATGGGACCAGGAACAATCATGAGTTCATCCTCCTGCGGCGCTGACTGAGAAAGCCGTTGTTGACCCTGTAGCATGTTCGGCGATGCCGAACCAAACGCCGTCGGTACACTCTGCACACTCGAGCCAAAGCCCTCTCTCAACCTCTTCAACCACCCACTCGGAGAAAGTATCCCACTTGATGATGGCGTAGGAGGAGAAAGGTCGTTGGCGGTGGTGGACAATCCTCCACCACTGGTCTTCCTAGGCGGCATCGGCAGCGTCAAGCTATCACCCAGCTGCAGCCCTCCAGACACTCCCTCATTGACTGCTTGAGCCTGTGCCTGAGCCTGAGCCTGTGCCTGTGCCTGTGCCTGAGCCTGTGCCTGTGCCTGAGCCTGAACAACAGCCTGCGTACCCGCCGCCTTCTGCCGAATCTTATTAAGTTCCAGTTGTGCCTCACTCTGCGTCTGAGCCGTCACCTTCCTCGTTTTAGACATATGGGGCGGCCACACCGGCACAACACCTGACATGGACGCACCCGCACCCGTCGCGGTGGGCTTCCCAGCCAACGATCCCACCGCCACATCCAGTGTGACTCCTACTCTGGGATCGCCGACGGTTCTGACGTCTCTCCAGGATCCAGCCCGGTCGCGGTACCGACGGGACTCTTGCTTCTTGATGACGCGGTGGTTGGGAATGACGGCGTTCCACTCTTCAAAGAGGCCGGTTTCGAGAGCGGGCGTGGGAATCTCCAAGCCGTCTAGGGCTGTGTAGACACTGGGCGTTTCCACGATAGGTGTGATAGCTGCTTGGTCGAGTTCGTCGAGGGGTTGTTCTTGTTCGTTGACAGGTTCGTCGATAGCAGGTTCATGGTAGGTTGACGCAGCAACGGGGGGTGGGACCACAGTTCCCTCATCATCTTCCAGCACGCCCCTGATTTTGTTGTCTAGTCCTGGAGTCGGCGGCATGACTCCCTCCGTTGGGTACGGTGCGGTGACTTCCATCATCTCTCTCCAGGGAAATGGACCTGGAGCCATCTGACCCGTCATGGTCATCGTCAAGCCCGACGGTCTCTGACGACCTCCCGAAGTCGAATGATAGTAACTACTCGGTGACTCCATCGGCGTGAACCCCTCATCCAGCTCGGCGCCTCCGAACGCACTCTCCCAACTCCCCGGGCCAACATGGCCTTCTTCTTGACTCTCATGGTGACTTGGCGCAGTTGTAGCCGTCGAATCCGTTTCGGACATACTACTACCCCCCTGACTTCCACCATTCCGATCAAACACACTCACCACTTCCACGTGCTGACCCCATTGTCTCGAGCCTCCTTGCCCCTCTTGTCCGCTCCAATCTTCATCACCACCACCAGCAGTGGCTGTATGTGTGACCCTCCCCAACCTCTCCAACCGGCTCAACTCCTCCACGCCCCTCCCGGCCTCCTCCACCCTCAGTCTCACCGCTCCCTTCCACTTCTCCAACCTCCTGTCAGGGTCTCTCTTCTCGTTCCCAAACCTCTCAAGATTCTGCAGCAGTTTCTGTCCATGGATGCAATACCGTCTATAATCATCCGGGACTCCCACGCGCGGACCCGAAACCGAAGCCGGAATATCAATGTTGTCCACTTGGTCTTGAGTAATACGCATACGCCTATGCGCCTCATCAAAACTCCTACACCAAACCGCGGCCGCCCTCTCGATCCAGCTCACCGCTGTTTTTTCTTCAGCCAGCGTCTCGATGAAGAAGGCCTGAATGACCGAGTGAATCCTCAGCAGGTCGAGAGAATCGGATGAGTCGTAGCGGTGGTAGTTCCCGGCAGTGTCGAGGACGCGACTTTGATGGGATTTTTGAGAGCTGGCGGCGCTGGGGCTACGAGTGAGCGGGGTGACACTGTCGTCAGATTCGGTAGTGCGTTCGATGAGGGCGAATTTGATGAGCACTTTGAGGGTGTTGTTAAGCGTCGTCTTCCTATGGGACGCATCGCAGGTTTTGACGGGGGTGTCGCGGGATAGGGCTGGGAGGCCTGTTGTTGGAGTTAATACATGTGTTCTGTTGGTTGGTTGATATTTTTAAAGAGAGGGATTCGCTCGGACTGACGAACTTGAAGGCACTTGCCTTCTTTTCATGAGTCGAATTGACTTGCTTTCTAACTTTGAGAGCTGCCGTTTTTTAGTTGTTTTCCGTGAGTAGACACTGGTCCATCACTTCTTTGCATCTCTCTCCAACGCCTCTCCAACACTTCCATGCTCCTCTACTGACTGCTCCATGACACACCTCTTTCCTCTTTCCAAACACATTCGTTCCTTCTTCCAAGCACATCTCCCCTCTTCCCCATCCCAAGCACCCTCTTTCTTTCCCCCTCCTTTTCTCATTTTCACTCCAGCAGCAAAGCAAGATTTCCAAGAGAAACAAAAGCAACTACGGAGTAAGAAAGTAAAAAAAAAAAAAAAGAAAGAAAAAGAATACTCACCAAAAACAACCATCTCCACAGGAACCAACTGCTCCCACCACACCAACACGCCCATCATCAAATTCAGCGCCGCCTGGTTCCCCCTCGCATCCAGCTGCTCCCTCACCTTCTTATACGCATGCAAATTGGCCACCTGTCCAAAACCAGGCTTCCTTGCCCTCCAGCCCGCCAGATACCTTGCCAACGGCTCTCTCGTCGCTTTCAGGTGCTGCGCAGCGACGTGGATCATGAGTGGTAGACGGCCCATGAGGTTCACTAACTCCAAAGCGCGGCGGGATTCTTCCTCGTTTTGCCATCCTCCCCATTTTGCCGTTGCCCCCTTTCCGGTACTGCTGGGGTTGGAAGATGAAGGGGCTGGAGCCCGGTCGAGTTCAGTTAGTAAGAGTTGGACGGCTTGTTGCGGCGTCAACAGTCCCAACTCCATAACCTGCGGATTATCAAACCGCGGATCGCCCGTGACGGCCCTCTCGGTGCTGGTATAAATGATGCTGGTATGCCGTGCATCCGGGATGAATTCCGACAGGCCGGGTATGTCGAACTGAATCCCATCTAGCACCAACAACCACTCCTGCCGGGAATTGAACCACTGTTTAACCACAGACACCATGGTCTTGGGATCTTCTCTCAGGCTCAGGCTGTTGTTGTTTTCCAACCCCGAACCCAACTCGGATGAAGCACGCATAATCTCCATCCTAGCAATCCTCCAAAACCCACTCTCCACCTCCCCCCTACTCTTAGCGCGCACCCAGTACACTCCCCCCGGGTAGTGTTGGCGGTAGCGGTAGACGTATTCACGCGCGAGGTGCGTCTTGCCGCCGCCGGGGAGACATTGGATTAGCACGGCCGAAGTGCCTTGGAGGCGGCGACGGCGGTCTTGGAGCATTTCATGGAGACCGCGGAGTTCGTCTTCGCGGCCTATGAAGAAGGAGTTGGGCCGGAAGGAGTCGGGGTGTATGAAGAGGGGTTCTGGTTGTTGGAGTTGTTGGAATTGATGTTGTTCGGGGGAGGAGGTCTGGGTTTGGGAGTGACGGTGGGTTATTTGTGTAGATGGGTTTGGTGGTGGCGTCTGGGGTGGTTGTGGTTGTGGTTGAATGTCGGTTGTCGAGGTGGTGACGGGTTCATTTCTCTCGTCAACGGGTTGGCTGGGGCTAATGACGCCTGGCTCCAACACCAAAGTTGGTTCGCGCGTGGACAACGCGGATCTGGAAGGAGACGACGGTAGTGGCGGTAAGAGTTCGGGAGGTCTTTGGTGACCGTGAGGACGATGTTGTAGCAGAAGAGTCTCATTACTGTAATTGTCTATAGGTATGCACCAACGCCAGAGAAAAAAATCCCAGCAAAATAAAATCAGCCCATGTTCCTTGTGATTATCTGAAAGGGGAGTGTATGATGGAGGATGTAGCTGTGAAGCAACACTCTAGGTATGATGATGATGATGTGTCTCCTCCTCTACTTCTATCGATGACCAGACCCTCGGGCCGCCATTCGCTCGCTGCTGTCTAGAACCAGGGGATGTAACAGGTGGGGGTGGAAAAGGGGCAGGAAGATACCGGCCGTAGCCGCAGTCATGGTCATGGCCATAACAAGGCGAGGGTGATCTGCGGAACCTACCAATGGAGGGAAACTGTTGGTTGCTGTAACCCGGCGAATGCGAGCGTCGCTGTGATGTTTCGTTAGCACCTCTACCCCTTCAAAACCTCAAAAGGAAAAGAAACCCACATAAGACTGCATAGCCTGCACACTCCTCTCATAGTACTCATCCGCCGCTCGTTTCTTCCGTTCCTCCTCCTCGGCCTCCCAACGTATATCAATCACCGTCCTAGCCACCGCCACCCACTCGGTGATAGCCGTCGACACATTCCTGTATCCAGGCGCATTCTGCCCATCAAACTTGCACATGCCCGAATGTGTCGCCTCAATGCCATAATAAATCACGCCCTGCAACTGCGGACTAGCCGAGTTCGCATCCACCACCAGCGCCTTGGTACCTCTCAAGTCCGTAGTATGGTTTTCGTGCACCATGTGGATCTTGAACCGCTGGTAAATGTCAAGGAAGTGGTTGTTGATTCCCTGCAAGGTCTCGTTGTCCCTCTTGAGTGACTTGAGCAAGACGGACTCGGTCTCGAAGAAGCGCCGGGGGATGACGGCGTCCGACATGGCTTGGAGCATGCGGCCCCAGGTGGCCAGGTCCGAGCCTTGGTGAGGAGTGCCGAGGAAAATGATGGCGTAGGTCGAGACGAAGACTGAGCGGAGGTCTTCTTGTTGATGGGCCCGGATATCGTTCGAGTATAGTAGTGCCCTTTTGGTTACTATACCACCCAGACTGTGCACCACCCATATGATGGGCAGTCTTTCGGTCCCTTCACTCTTGCGGAAAGATGTGAGTGAGGTGACGAGAGACTGCGCGTGCTGGTGGATGAAGTTGTTGCTGGGGGTGTTGGTGCCTCTTGAGTAGACATCGGCATTGTAGCCGTAAACCAGGACGTTGGCATGCTGGTTCTTGAGCTCCAGCGACGCTGGGAGCAAGTCCGCGGGCCAGAACACGCCGTTGGCAGCCGTCCATGTCTTCTCTGGGTGGCCGTTGAGGCCGTGAACCAGGACGATGTCCGCAGTGGCCTGGGGATGGGTGTAAACCGCTGTGACTTCGAAGCGCGAGATTTGCCTGTTGACACTTCCCTGTAGTAGTGTTAGCATATGCCGTTTGCGGATGGTCAAAATAGTGAAGCCCTATCAACATTGGATGAGAGAGAAGGAGCACATACCATGCTCGTTGCAAATTCAGGCCACAGGGCCAGTGGAAAAAGGAAACAAGAGAAATCTGACAGTCGACTGAAAGCTTCCACTTCAACCAATAATCACAAAGGAATCGTATGAAGAGAGTCAAGCTGCAAGCGAGTCAAAGTTGGTTGCAAGAATCGTCAGACTTTTGAAAGATAACGACGGAGAGAAGAATGAGTCGAAGACAGGAAGCTCAGTCAGTCGTAACAAAACAAACTAAGCGAGCCGTCTGTCAGATAATGCGTGCAGAGAAGTGAGAGACTGGCAGCAATTATCGCGTGAGGCGGGACCGGGTGCTGATGGAGCTGAGGGAGGGCTTGTGACTTTTTAACCAAGGCAGCAGCCGTCGTGTGGCTTGACCGGCTTGGTTGAGGGACTGTCCTTAACGGTAGGCGTTTCAGCTTTCTAGGCAGGCCACTTGTAAGATAAGTAGAAGGAAGGGGCCTCGCTTTGCGACTTTTCTCGGTGGGCAGGAACAGAAAGGAGCTGCGAAACTGCAACGACTGGCTTGAAAATGATGAGAGGAGGAGAGTAAGGCGCTTGCTAAGAAAGAGACAAGGCTTGCACAAAAACGTCTTGGGAAATCCGGCGGTGCTTCAGTAAAGCGAACTGGGCTTTTAAGATGGGTGGATGAATGCCCACTACCATAGGGATCTCAAAGGTCTCAAACAGCCGCGGCCGTCTGCCAAAGTGCGAAAGTGACGGAAATAACGAGGTTGCAAGAGCGCGGTGCAAAGTGTGACATGACCAGTCAAGTCAGTCTCGTCTTTTTTTTCTTTCTTTCCTCCTTCTCGTTTCTCCGGTTTATTGCCCATTTGCCATCCTGTCATCACAGGAACCACGGGTTTGTCGGAATGGTCAATCATGGTCAACCGAGCCGAAGAGATCTTTGGACTACACTTGATGTGGTCAGTCTGGGAGTTGGATATCATGCTTGGCCACTGGCCACTATAGAGATTTATCACGAGCTTGTGTGTAAGTGAGTCTGTCCCACTGTCGGTTTCTCTCAGTGTCTCTTTCTCTTGCTCGAGAGGGATTGACAGAGGGACTGAGTGACTTTGACTTTGATGAGGGTGGCTGACGACCGACTGGATTCGAACTGAAAGTAGAGGTAAAATCCTACTTTGCATGGTATGGTTGAAATGGGACGAGTTGCCGTTGACAGTGAAAAGTGGAAGTGTCGTCGTTGAGTGGTCCGTCACGAGGCCCGCGTATCGAGTGACCGAGGGGTGCAATTGTGGGTGGGCAGCTGAGCCCCCCTTGCACCCCCCCTGTATGTAGAAGTTGTTTGGAGATCTTCCCCCCTCCATCAACAACAGACTTTCGATGTACCTTTCCGGCACAGTCAGGGCTTTATGGTAGAGAATCTGTCAAAAAAAGGTTGGTTTCGTTTCCTGGGTTTTCTTGGTATTAGCGCCGGAGGTGGTACACGCCATCCAGAACCTGTGATGTTATGTCGTAGTGTTTTTGTTGACACCACCCCCTTGTTGGTTGCCCTTGTTGACATTTGCAAGTGCCGTAGAAAGTGAGGTATCGTGGATCGTGGGGCGGGAAGGGGGAAGCGATGAGGGGTGGTGTGCTCGCTACTGTCAGGTACCTACACCTGCCATCAACCCTAGGTAGGCCATGTGCAGTGAAATGCACTGTATTGTACTTCAAGGCTGCATATTTCCAGTCGGGCATGCCTGCCATTCTTCAAGGTCTCTGAATGAATGAATGATGGATGATGATGACCGGACCTCGGTGTGTGTCACCACCACCTCCAGAATGCCCATCAAGTTTCGCGTCTTTCGGTTGCCCTTGCCATGCTCTCTCTATCTTGAAACCCAAAAAGCTCAAACTGAACCGATCTGATTGATCTGAACCTCCACCTCTTCACAACTCCCATCGCCGTATAAACTGGCTGGGACAAGACTTAGGGCCAGCATCATGCTTTCCCTTTTCGGATTTTCACACAAGTTAGTGGTCATCCATGCACGTCAGAGGAACGAGGCGTAACCGTGGAGGCGGGGCAACCCACGAAGCCTTGGCGGCCCAATATCTCCAGCTCCCCCTCGCGCCCCTTCCCAAACCCGCCGCCGTACCTAGGAAACTGACACGCCGTACAGTGACATGTTTGACATGATAAGGCAAATATCCAGGGCCAAGACGGCGGCGCCGCGTATCACTGGTTGAAGGAGATCCAATACTTTGGGAAATTGATGCTGTACTTGCAAAGTGAACTGCTATCTCCGCGCTGAGCCTCATGATCTACCGTAGGGCAGGCAAGTTTTGCCTTCTAGGTCTACATAGGACTAGCACAGCCTTGCATGTTAACGTTGACGTTGACGCTGTTTTACCTAGCTTGACCGATATCCCTTTTTGGGAATCCGGCCGCCTTTCTTTCTTTCTTTCAAAGGAGGAACCGTCGAGATGGAACTGCATAAGTGGTTGTTTGGCACAAAACATGTCCGTATTCAGCATTGCGAGTTTGAGTTGAGGTAATGATAGCCAGAAGACAGAACGACGACGTACATTGACTATGGTCTACTTCGACGTGGTAATCATGATGATTCACAGGTTTGGGGTAATATTCTCCGCCAGACCGAACACCGAGAGATCTGCCACAGTTTCGTGTCAGTCACCATCGTGTTGCCGCGTCCTCGTTTTTTGTTGTGCCAAATATCGATTTCATCAGGCCGAGGTCCGTAACCGTTCCTTGGCTGACAGGTATGGATGAGGTCTTAAGGGTCAAGAATAGACCAAATATCGACATTTCTCGGCCGTGCCTTGAGCCCTCCTTCGTGATGACTCTTCTTCTTCATCGGACCGCTTGGCCTCAACGCCGATGCGTCCGTGATGGGCAACCTCTTCTTTGTCGGCCCGAGACTAATCCAGCAAACCGAGGGCCAAAAGGGTCTCGAGATGCCCCAAAAGACGCCGGCGGTGAGCGAGTCCATCCCACGCCCGGTGAAAGGTTGCACCATGGAACTCTAATTATAAGCGTATCACCGGCTATCTGTGTGTCCATGGTTAACCAAGTCATCCGGGCTGTTTGCTCTGCTGTGCTATGCCAAAATCCAGGAAAAGGGTCAGACTGTTGAACTGTGGGGGTTACCATAGCCTCTGATTACCCAAGCGACCAAGGGTCTGAGTGTTCCACCATGGTAAAGGGAAATCCGTGCTGGTTCTCGGCATAAACCCAGCCGAGGTCTTTTGTCGTCCAAGAGTGACATCATTTGCCTGGTCTTTTGGGAATACCCAGGCGCCGGTCCATCATCGGCTTTGCGGGTATACCATGGCTGCGCCCTTTTTGTGTCCTCCTTGGCCCTACAAACACGAGTAGTAGTACCCGCTCTGCCCGTCTCTTAATCCTTGGGCGGGAGCATAAGCACGTACTCCCTCGTACTGGACCCGAACTGGATCATGTCCTTGTCTCTCAACTCCAGGTACCGACTATCCGGGACCTTGTCGCCGTTGAGCTTGGTACCATTCGCGCTCTCCAGGTCGATCAAATACGGCTTCACACGGCCGATCTTATCCCCGTACTCGTTCCTCTTCTCCGTATAGCGGAACTGGATGACGGCATGCTGCTTGCTGATGCTCGGGTGCTCGGCTGGCAAGTCGGCAATGGTCAGATCCCTCCCGACGAGCCAGCAGCTGCGCGTGTGCAGTTCAATGGTGTCGATGACCTCGTCGCCCTTGAAGACGTACAGCCGCCACTGGTCGCGAGGGGCGGGCTTGCGGGCCTCGGGTGGCTCGTGGTATTTGAGTGTGACAGTGGTTCCGTCGGCTTGCGTAACCGTGTTGGACTGGGCGGCGAGCACGCCTGTGTTGCCAAAGTTCGGCTTCTCCTTGGGTTTCTCGGGTTCCTCGCCAGTGCTGACAGCAAAGGTGTCACCTTGAGAGGGTAAGGGGCCGCTTCGCTTGATTAGGCTGCGCTTGTTGTCGGCATTATTTGTTTCTGGCTTTGAGTCATCTAGCTGTCGTGTTTCTTTCCGGGAAGAGTGTCTTTCTGATGAGCGGTCCCTGCGGCGGTCTCTTTCCCTTTCCCTGTCTCTGTCTCTGGCCGAATGGCCGTCTTTGTCCTTGTCTCCGTCTCCTCGGTCTCTATGTCGATCCCTTTCCCTTTTCCTCTCTCTATCTCTGTCTCTGTCTCTGTCTCTGCCTCTGTCTCTGTCGCGTGGTGAGCGCGAACGCGATCGGCGCTTTTTGGCGTCTGGTGATCTGGATCGTCTTCGGTGATCTCGTCTAGGAGACCGAGACCTGTGGCGGGACCGGTCCCGAGAGCGCTTGCGATGTCTATGTGAGTCTTCTGCCGAATCGTGCTTGTTGTGTCTGCTGTTGCTGCTTTTGCTGTCTCTAGGGTCGTCTCGGTAGTCGTCACGGCGACGCGACCTGTGGTCGTCTTCTGGGCGTTCCGAACCCATTGATGTCGTTTGAACCCCTTGGCTTGTAGCCTGTTGAAATGTAACGATTGATACGGCCAAGTATTTCTTTCAGTGTGGAGGAACAGTCAACGTCGCATTCAACCTAAAGTGGATGGTGGGAAAATGTTTTGGAAAAAGAAGCTTTGGGGAAGGCAGGGTCATGACGCTAACAGGAGCCACAGTGACTTCCAAACATGGGGATTGATTTAACCCTAACCCTTTCCACTGCATTGTGCTTGACCACTCAAGGTGTGATTCGGAAAGGAAACCTGAACAGATGGATATCTCGGAAATTGATTTATCCCATGACCACACCACACAGTCAGTCAGGCAGGTCATTGACTGTCACCTACTGACCTCTGTCAATTTATGGTAGATACATGTCTGTTATTGCACAACAGGGCATGAATATCCTTCTTTGTCATCTGTTGATATTGGATCATGTCAGATCGAGCCTGACTTCTCCAAGTCAGTGATAACTGCCTGGAATTACCTTACTCCATAGCAATGCAGCGTTGACGAACTATTCCCAGGCAACCAGCTCCATAATCTGGCAATGTCCCCCATATTGATGCAATGGTCCCTTTCTATGTTCCCCAGAATCCACTTTCGATGTCCCAGGGCCCATGTGGATGATGACCAAGAAGTCCGGGGACGCCATTTCAAATCAAGGCTGGACAGAATAGTACTTCAGGCCCTACACAGTATCACGTGTGTTTGCTCATTATTCTGTAAGTGACCCACCTCTGTCAACCTGTTAGCTCGGCAGGGTCCCGTCAGCCAAGAATGAACAGGCAGACAACAGGGCAAGAACACTCTCGTTCTGTCACCATTGCGAACATCACCGCACAGGCCATCAGCTCTTTGACCTGCTGTTGCCGTCACCGTCAATGTTAACGAAGTGGAAGTCCTTCCCTCAACTTCCCTCTCTTTTCCACCAAATACTTCACATCGTTTCACACATCATCCGTCTCTTTTCTAGAGGGTCATAGTTGCTGCCTTAACTGCCCTACCGCTAGTACACCTACCTAGGTTCGACTTGCATTCGTTTGTGCAGGGGATTGCACGGTACCTGCCTCTAGCCAGCCAGTTAACCTCTAACATCTACCCACTACAAAAGATACTTTAGCACCCTGTACCTCTGCCCGCTTTTAGGGAGTTTCCGCCCGGAATCCCATCTTGACCCAAAACAACAAATCCACCCAAAGCGATCATCCCATCTCGTCTCCCTTTACTCAACCAGACTCGTATCTCTCTACAAACATCTGTCCGACATCATCTTCCGCGGCCGACATCAATACTACTACTACCCCGCGCTACTCGGCACCGACCCCAACCGTCTCGACCCTCGACGTCACTCCCGGCTTTCTCGCTCTCTCTGCTGAGTCATTCAACCGTCGCCGCCCTTCCACCCATTCCAGGCCCTCGCTCATCCACTACGGCATCCGGGTGGCGAGTTGAAGATCTTTACTCGACTTCAATAAGCCGGCACCATTCCTCCCCAAACCAGGAAGCGGAAGGCCGCTGAGGCGACGACGTCCCCCATCCCGGACGACACTCCCCCCAACAAAAAACACCAGCTCACCTCAGCCGGCAAACACCAACTGGAAGGCCTCGAAGCGGCTCCTCCGACTCCCCTCACCACCACCACCTCCCACAACGGCAACGACAGCGACGCTGACCCAGGCGCGGACGTTATGGACTCCGACGACGATTTCATGTCTAACCTCTCCTCTGAGGATGACATGATACAGGAGGACGACAGCGACAACGATATTTCCAATCCCGAGGGTAAGAGACTACCTTCTTATCCTACTTGCCGGCCCTTAGATATGCTACCTCATACTGACCCCCGAGCCCGCCAGATTTTGACTTTGACGATGAGCCCGATTTGGACGCCGGAAATAAGGACTCTCAGCAAACCATGAAGCGCAACTACCTCGACATCGACTTCAAGGTGTACCGCCCCGAAGACATACAAAAACAGCAAGATGACCTAGTCGACGAGGTCAACATGATTCTCGACATCTCCAAAGAAGAAGCAGCCATTCTGCTACGGTACTTTCGGTGGAACCGGGAACGTCTGATCGAGGATTACATGGACAAACCCCGGCAGGTTCTTGATGCTGCCGGCCTCGCACAGACCGCCGCCGACAAGCCCCGGCTACAAGTCATCCCTGGCTTCATGTGCGATATTTGCTGCGAAGACGGACCCGGCCTCGAGTCCTTCGCCATCAAGTGTGGACATCGTTTTTGTGTCGACTGCTACCGCCAATACCTCTCACAGAAGATTCGCGAAGAGGGCGAGGCCGCCCGCATCCAATGTCCTGCCGATGGCTGCAACCTCATTATCGACGCCCGCTCGCTCGACCTCCTTGTTACCCCCGAACTGACGGAACGATATCACGAGCTGCTCATGCGTACATACGTTGAGGACAAGGAAACTCTTAAATGGTGCCCTTCGCCTGACTGCGCAAACGCTGTCGAGTGTGGCGTCAAGAAGAAGGACCTCGCCAAGGTCGTGCCCACAGTCTCATGTCTGTGCGGTCACCGCTTCTGCTTTGGCTGCATCTACACGGATCACCAGCCCGCTCCGTGCGAGCTCGTGAAGAGGTGGCTCAAGAAATGTGCTGACGACTCGGAAACGGCAAATTGGATATCAGCCAATACAAAGGAATGCCCCAAATGTAACAGCACAATCGAGAAGAATGGTGGCTGCAACCACATGACATGCCGCAAGTGCAAATACGAGTTCTGCTGGATGTGTATGGGGCTTTGGTCCGAACACGGTACGAGCTGGTACAACTGCAATCGCTTCGAGGAAAGGAGCGGCGCCGAAGCCCGCGACGCTCAGGCTAAGTCGCGAGTCTCCCTGGAGCGCTACCTCCACTACTACAACCGCTACCACAATCACGAACAGTCAGCTCGTCTGGATAAGGACCTTTACATGAAGACTGAGAAGAAGATGGTGGAGCTACAAAAGCAGTCGGGCATGTCCTGGATCGAAGTCCAGTACCTACAATCTGCATCGCAGGCGTTGCAGACGTGCCGACAAACGCTCATGTGGACCTACGCTTTTGCTTTCTACCTGGCACGCAACAACCTCACCGAAATTTTTGAGAGCAATCAAAAGGACTTGGAGATGGCTGTGGAGAACCTGTCGGAGATGTTTGAGAAGCCGGTCCAGGACCTTGCCCAGCCTGGTCTCAAGGTGGATATCATGGACAAGACGTCGTACTGCAACAAGCGACGCCTCATTCTTCTCGAGGACACTGCTGAGAACCTTCAAAAAGGTAAGTTTGTTTGTCCTTATGGGATCGGTTATACTTGTCGGTACTAACCAAGCGATTAGGCAAATGGACCTTTAACGTAGATCTGGTCAGTGGTGCACCTCACGTGAATCCTACGAGCGCCCCCGGCACTAGCAGCCGCCGCTAGGACCACTTATTCTAGAACGACTACTTCGCGAGGTGTGCCCATGACGTGCGGCACTTGTTGCAAGTTGCCATGTGTGAGTTGGCGCTCATTTCCCGGGGTACATTTGGCCGACTTCTCGGAAGATAGTCGTCATCCGCGTGATGAAGACTGTTTATGGCGGAAGTCGTTGTATAGCCGTGGCCATACTCGACGGGTGGCTTTGGCGCACCCCCAGTGCCACGTTCGCAGTCGACTAGAAAGCCAACCTCCTGGTGCGTGCCTGGAATGATCGGCGGGCGACAAAGGGAAATACTCATGAATCTAGACAAAGAGCTTGTACTCGCATTATTCCCGGGTCATGCTATGGAGACGGGCACAAACGAAAGAGGTGTCTCAGGTGCGTGCAACGCTGTTGCGAATGGTGGATGCCCACGGGTGAAAGGTACTAAACGTTCTCATTAAGCGTTTCAGCTGTGGAAAAGGCTGCCAGTACCTCACCAACCACCAAACCCGTCTTGCTGGATTCATATATCTTGAGCCCAACGCATGTCAAATTGGGAGATGCATCGGAGTAGTGGGCGTCTTCTGTGGCTTTATAGGCATTGCACAGGCATACATCTATCTGCAGGAGTCGGTCAACGGGCGCATAACTCCAAGGGGCTTTTTCTTCGAGATTTGGGTTTGGTTTGATTGTAACGCAAAGGGTGAAATGGTATTATGAACAACAACACCATAGCGAGCATGGGTGGACGGACGGACGGATGGATTGGAATGCGGTTGGAGTTTTCACTCGGATTCGGGACATACAATCATACATATGTGTTGTTTTAAAGCGTACGGTATTTTCTTCTTCTCTGCCGAATTTCTCTTGTCGACAATGGGCGCTGGGAGGATCGGTAGATAGATACATACGCGGTTACTAGCATAGCTATTCGTTTTCTAAATCCTCCTTTAGACGATGGACTCAAGAGGATCCGGATTCCAGGGAAGTGTTTTGCTTGCGCATGGGATAATGTATTGAATGTCTGGGCTGCATTGAGCTTGAGTAAGAACGATGAAAGGTGACGATGGAATTATATAGGTAGATGGTCGATAACATGCTCTGAGGTTGTGGTGATGGCGATAACAGCAGAAAGAGCCACGAGATGTCGGACGTGGTGGGATGGTTGCTGTGGTTTCCCCAGGTGGGTTCGGTACTCCACGACCAAAGTACAAGAGCGAGGCTAATAATTGGTAGTGTAGTGGCAGATGAAATAACTGAGTTGTCCAATATCGCCGCCTTCCGTCGCTCTCTTTTCTATTTACAAAATTTTGAAAACTCTCAATGCTTATATAACCTCTCATTGATATTCATCCATGTTGTTCAAAGCCCCTCCTCCCTCAAAATGCCGTCTCAATTGGAAAAACTCACCCTCAATCAGATAACGCGCAATATCGCCCTCCACTAACCCCGAATCTGGCCAAGCAGCCAGAAAGGAACATGCATGTAACCCCCGGATCCAACACCCAGACATTTCCCACCCACCCACTGCCCCAGATCCGCTACAGATCCGCACCAAGCACAAGCGCGTAAACACATTTCCCCGCCGTTCCTCGCCGCGCCCGCTTAATGCCGAGCAGGGTGGACAAACTCTCTGCCGATGGAGGGTTCCGAAGCGGTAACCGGGCGGGCCACGGCGGGAGATGGATTAACACGCTGGAGTTGCGGCAACTAGCTCGGCCCCTCGTTTTGATCCATTAACAGTCAAGCATCAACAACGACGGGGACAACACCAAAGAACAATGGGGAAAAGATGGGGATGGTGACAGCACAGAACAAGCTAGGACCACGGGATGTATTGACTGCTGCCGGGTGTCCAGCAAGGTGCTCATGTAGAGGTAGCCTCATCATGATAATTCACAGATACATACATACATACATACATAGGTATCTCCCGCTGCCGCCGCATCTGCTTTCTGATATTTCCTCTCTCTCCTGATTTCTTTTCCTCTTCCTGAACTCCCAGCAGTGTCTCGGTCACCAAGATACCCTTTCCCATTTCCTCCTCCCACGTCTTTTTTCTTGGGTTGCCGAGAGTCTTGTTAGGTGTGGCTAAACGGAAATCAACGGGCCAAGTCCAACACTTAGCGAACTACCAATTCCGGCACTACGTACCTTTTTACATACAGAAACTCATCTGCCGCTTCTAACCCCCGTTGTTTTATTTATTACGAAACCCCCCTCCTTCGCTCGCGAACTCAACCCATACATAACCCACCAGGGCACCGACGAACGAGACGAAGCGACCCGATCCACGAACGATTGGCGATTGACGACTAGCTACTGTAGAGTCATTACTAGGCCAGATAGACTAGTCATCGTTCTGTTCCGATCGACCGAGGCCGGCCTGCGACTTTCAGACAAGCTTTTTTATAAAGGAGAAGCTTCAGTCGCATTTTTTCTTGGGGACAGAGTTCGGGTCTTTTAAAGAAAAGTCACAACATATCAGCCAAAATGTCTACAGCTCTTAGGACGTTGAGGGCGTATGCCAAGTATGGCAACAACGTAAGTCGCCTACAGACCTCAAGCTTGTTCCTTGCGAGCGGGATGAGTGCCAACAACGGAGACCCCTGGTTCGGTTCGGCGTCCATGTCAACACCACCATGATTATCACCACTACAACACCAATCCCTCCTCTGCCCTTTCCCCTTCCCACTACCAAAACAACCGTTCAAACCTCCAAAAGACTCCAGATAAAAACTAACAACCCAATTCGCAATGTAGCACACCGCCCTCCTAGCCCGGTGCTTCTCCACCACCCTCCGCCGCCCGGAGATCAACAAGATCTACCCCTCCGCCTCCGCCGCCCTGGCCGACATGAAGCCCAACACCACCCTCCTCTGCGGTGGCTTCGGCCTCTGCGGCGTGCCCGACACTCTCATCGACGAAGTGATCCACAAGCCCGAAATCACCGGCCTGACCGCCGTCTCCAACAACGCCGGCACCGACGCCTCCGGGCTCGGCAAGCTTCTCAAGACCAAGCAGATCAAGAAGATGATCGCCTCCTACATCGGCGAGAACAAGACCTTCGAGACCATGTACCTCACAGGCGAAGTCGAGCTAGAGTTGACGCCGCAGGGCACTCTGGCGGAGCGCTGCGCAGCCGGCGGCAAGGGTATTCCGGCCTTTTACACCCCCGCGGCCTTCGGCACCGTAGTCCAAACGGGCGAACTCCCCCTCAAAAACAAGCCCGACGGCACGCCCGACATCTTCAGCTACCCCAAGGACGTGAAGGTCTTCAACGGCAAGTCGTACCTGCTCGAACACTCCATCGCAGGCGACTACGCCTTTGTCAAAGCCTACAAGGCCGACCGCCTCGGTAACTGCCAGTTCCGTCTCGCGGCGCACAACTTCAACGGCGCCATGGGGCGCAACGCCAAGGTGACCATCGTCGAGGCCGAGCACATTGTCGAGCCGGGTGAGATCCCTCCGGAGGCCGTGCACTTGCCTGGTATTTACGTCTCGCGCGTCATCCAGTCTACGGCCGAGAAGAACATTGAGAAATTCACCTTCGCCAAGGACCCCAATGACCCCGAGGCCAAGAAGGCGCTTGGGTCAGGCGAGACGGCCAATAAGCGCGAGCGCATCGTGCGCAGAGCGGCCAAGGAGTTCAAGAATGGCATGTACGCCAACCTCGGCATCGGCATGCCTATGCTCGCGCCCAACTTCGTCGAGGAGGGCGTGGAAGTCCTTCTCCAGTCCGAGAACGGCATCCTTGGCTTGGGACCCTACCCGAAGAAGGGCGAGGAGGACGCGGATCTGATTAACGCCGGCAAGGAGACTGTCACGCTGGCCCCCGGCGCGGCGGTGTTTGGGTCCGAGGAGTCGTTTGGCATGATTCGTGCTGGTCGTATCAACTTGACTATCCTGGGCGCTATGCAGGTTTCTGCCAACGGTGATCTGGCCAACTGGATGTTGCCCGGCAAGGTCAAGGGCTTTGGAGGAGCCATGGATCTGGTCAGTAATCCGCAGAAGACCAAGGTTGTCGTGACCATGGAGCATACGGATAAGAAGGGCAATCCCAAGATTGTCAAGCAGTGCGCGTTCCCCCTCACGGGACCGAGGTGTGTGTCGAGGATTATTACTGAGTTGGTGAGTTTTACCCCCCGAGAGAACGTTGCAGAGATTGGACGGAAGAAGAAGCTAACAAGTGACAAAAATAGTGCGTCTTCGATGTCGACTTCGGCAAGGGTCTTACTCTTGTTGAGATTGCTGATGGTGTCACCGTTGATGAGATCAAGGCCAAGACTGAGGCTCCCTTTGTCGTTGCCGATGATCTTAAGCCCATGCTTTAAAGGGGTGACGAAAATGAAGATTGTGTACGACCAGGAATGTAGGGGACATATGGGACCGGGGGTGAGATGTATATACTGTCTAATTAGGCTTTTGGATGGCTATCAAAATGTTTTCCTTGTTTGATCACATGGAATTTCTGCTCCATCTGTGATTCTCGCATGATATTTCTTTGGCATCTGAGTGTTCAGTCCAACGCAATTCATTACTCATATTCTAATGATGTATGGAACTTTTGAACTCCATCTTCTTCCATTATCGACATTCCTCTCCGTCTAAGCCAAAACCTTATCGGCCAACGACACAGCAGTACCAGTGTTATCGGGCTCAACAGCAATCTTGGTGACCTTGCCGTCCTCAACAATGATGGCGTAGCGCTTGGAGCGGTCGTTGCCAAAGATGGCCTTGCTATCGAAGGTGAGGTCGAGAGCCTTGGTGAACTCGCCCGAGGGGTCAGCGAGGAAGCGGATGCCAGACTCGCCGGCGGGGTCGAGGTTCTCCTTCCATGCCTTCATGCTGTTGTATTTGTTAGCTTGTGTCTCTGACAGGGTTGCCTTTGCCTCCTCTCGGCCATTTCTGTGCCATTGATGTCTCCTCGAGTTGTTCCTTTCGTTATTCCCTCTTTTTTAATCCCTTCTCTTGCTGTTCTTCTTTCGCGAGTGTTGCAATGCCTTAAGCTTCCCTTCCCCATGTCCGTGTCCGTTCATCCTCCTCCCCTCTCCCTTCCATCCCCTCAACGCCCAAAAAAAGAGAAAAACAGGTACTCACACAAAAGCATCATTAACACTAACAACAGCCTTAACATCAAACTCCTGCGTCTTAGGATGCTGGATATAGCTAGGGATATGGCTCGCGCTGCAAGCGGGAGAGAAGGCAGCAGGGACACCGATGATCAGCATGTTGCGCGCCGACTCGGCCTCCTTGCGCAGGTCGACCTTGTTGCCGGGGGATCCTTCCTGGAGGAGCTCGCCTTCGGGAAGGAGCTCGCCAATCTTGACGAGGCGCGCGGGAGAGGAGGAGAAGAAGCGGGCGGCCGGGGCGGCGCGAGCGATGGGCGCCGAGGCGCGGAGGGCGGTGCGGGCGAACATTTTTGTGGTTTGTGGTTTTGGGTGGTAGGTAGTTGGTCAGATTGTTGAAGTGGTGGGAGATGGGGAAATTGAAGCAGAAGGGATGGAATTGGACGGGACGGGATATAGGATCGGACAAGAAGATGGATTTGTTGTCAATTCCGTTCAACGGGACACCCGACGACCGATGCCGCGCCGCCGTCCTCCCCTCAGTGGAAGCTACCTACAGGGGTATTGGCCGGGGTTGGGATGATAAGATAGGGGATGACATCACCGAAGATGTCGTGCTAAGGGGAGCTTTGAGAGCTATGTACACGTATCAACACCAAGGCTGCCGTGTTTGATATTCTGTATTCGCATAGGTGCGGTTACATGTATTGAGATCTCGATCCTTGGGTCGTCATCACATGATTGTTCAAATATCTAGTGAAATTGTTGTCCTCAACAGCTCCAAGCTGAAGCTACAGGGGCCAAGCTCCCAAAGCTCCGGCGGATACTACTGGACCTATCCATGGATCCTCTGACCCCGAGGTCGGATCGAAAAGCTTCCACTTGGATGGCACACGTTTTTATGGTTTCTTGAAGTCTCATATAGCCATCCAGGCACATTCGAGATTATCACCAAGGTAACCTTTGTTTATTGGAGAAGCTTCTTTCCCTTGATATTTTCACTCAATTCTTCTTCACCCTCCTTTTGATCGATACCTAGGTAGCTCAACACTGCTTCCATTCTATCCAACAAGATGGAATGATCTAGAGTATGAGGGTTAGGGTTAAATGTGACAAATCCATCAACGGGAAAGGGAACCAGCGGGGAAATTGGGGGAAATGCACCCCGCGTAGCCACTGCAGCGTCACACTAGGTTCCACGCCCCCCGACCCGACCGCGATTCCATTCCATACCTATTCCTCCCGCTTCTTCCACCTTACCTCCATTCTTGTGAAGCTATCATCACTTCTCTCCTTCACTCACTCTCATGCAAGTAACCAGATTACTGTTGCAAGCAAGCAAGAAAATGGCTTCTGACGCGAACTGCATTTTTTGCAAGATTGTCAAGGGTGAGTTTCTTTACATTTGGTGATAACACAGTTATATGTTGAAAGAGAGAGAAATGCCACGATTAAGAACCGTAACCTTAAACAAGAGCTCAAAGCTAATTAATTGTATCAGGTGAAATCCCCTGCTACAAGCTTGTCGAGACCGAAAAGACTCTTGCCTTTCTCGACATCCAGCCTCTTTCCCGTGGTCATGCTGTATGTTCCCTCTCCTATCTCTATCACCCCCTTCCCTTCCCCTTCTCCCCCCTCCCTACCTCTACCCAGTTAACTAACCCAAAAAAGCTCGTAATCCCCAAACACCACGGCGAGAAGTTGACCGACATCCCCGACGACTCCCTGACGGAGCTGCTGCCCATCGCCAAGAAGCTGGCCTTGGCCTCTGGCGCCGCCAACTACAACATCTTGCAGAACAACGGCAAGCTGGCGCACCAGGAGGTCGGCCCACGTGCACGTGCACATGATCCCCAAGCCGAACGAGAAGGAAGGGCTGGGTGTGGGCTGGCCGCAGATGGAGACGGATCATGAGGGGTTGAAGAAGTTGTTTGAGGAGATTAAGGAGAAGCTTTAGTAGGTTTTTGCTGAGGTGATGAATGAGCGAGTCAATGAATGTGATGGGTTGTCTAAGGCTCGAGTCCCGAGCAATGCGCTGTGTCCGTGATTGATGGATGGCTGTGGGCTAGAGGGGATTGAGGGATTGAGGGATTGAGGGGGGCTGGTGGCCTACCATATGGGAGTGATGATCAAGACCAGATATGTGGCCGAGACTTTTTCGGAGAGGGTGTTGTTGACTGGGGATTGAATTCAAGTCTGTCCAGTACGTATGTGATGTTCCAAGAAAAGGAGATGGATGAATTGGGCTTGTGATCTTGTCATGAAGAGACCATTCTCCTATAGTCACACCTTCACATCCCTATAGCTCTATCGTATGTATCGTCATAGTCTGACCTGACCAAACCACGTATCCTTCGTCCATTATAAACACCTTAGTAATCTTATATATCCATGAAAACCATATACAAATCTCCAAGAAAATCCCAACCAAGTCTCATCATACAGCTTATCTTAATCAACATCATCAGCCTGCGTGTCGTTCACCCCCACCTTGGCCACACTCTCCGTTATCCCGCTGACACCATCCTTCTTGCTCTGAAGATACGGATCCAGCTTTCCACCCGGCAACAGCACGCCAATGCGATCATAAAAGCTCCTAGCCCTGATGTAGGGGTCCAGCTGCCAATAATCCACCCTCAGCTTCTCGGCAATCTCGTCCCTCTTCTTTTTAAGTTCAGGGCTGCTATTGCCATTACCAGCCTGTATCCACCGCAGCGTAGCCTCCTCGTACTCCTTGACGAGCTCGGCGCGCGCGGCCTGCAGCCTGTTGAGGGTTTCCGTGTCCTTCATCTTGTCGTTCTCGCCCGGGACGGGCTCGACGTACTTGTAATCCCAGTCCTCCTGGCCATCGAGGTCTTTGGGCACCTTGTCGGGCGAGATGAACTCGGACATTTCCGAGATGTTGTTGGTGAAGTGCACCTTGTTGGCGACGACGGGGTCGAGCCAGCCGCGGATGACGCGCCAGATGCCTGCGAACAGTTAGACATGGGGTATAAAATAGGATGCAGAGGAAGAGATAAAAACATACCCTGGAAAATCCATGGTGCCTTGTGCACCAACACGGCACCCAAGCATTCGGGGTAGTTGGCCTCGAAACACTTGACCATGAACTTGACCGGTGTGTAGTCCATATTGGCCATGGAGAAGCCGGTCATGTCGAAGACGATGGTCTGTTCAATGTCTCTGTCAGCACTTTTTTCATCCCCAGAATTCCTTCCCAGACACAGGATAAAACCCACAGCAGTATCAACACCCCCCTGCAACAACATGCGACAAGTCTCAATCAAATAAACCGTATACCTCTCCAGACTCTCCTCGCTCTGCTCACCCTGCCTATGCAGCCTGACCCTGACATAGCAGATCGGCCTCCCCTGCTTATCCACGCCATGGACATAACTCTTGCCCATCCTCGTCTGGGTCAAGAAATCAATCGCCAGCTTCTTCTTGGCAATTTCTTCCGATGTCTTCGCATCCATCTTCTCGTCCGCCACCGCCCCGCCCTCGCCCGTGCGCATAATGTCCGCGTCCACGCGCATCTCGTTGTGTCGCCAGTTCATGGTCGAGATGAGCATGACCAGTGCCTTCTCCACGTCCCACTTGCGCGCGCGCAGGAAGCGCAGCACCAAGGCGTCCGGGTGGTCGTGCTTGACCATGGACCAGATCGTTTCGCGGATGTTGGCGGGCGATTGGTTCGCCAGCGTCTCGTGGAACTTGGACAGTTGGTTGTACTTGTCGTCGTCGCCCGAGGTGGTGCTGGAGTTCAGGACGATGGCGGGCGAGGCGGGCACGGAGCCCGAGGCTGTGGAGGCGGTTTCGGAGGAGGCGTTGGTTTCGTCCGAGTCCTTCTTGTGCTTGCGCGAGAACATGTTAAGCTTGCTCTTCTTCTTCTCGCCCTTGATGCTCGCGGCGTCCGAGGAGGAAGCAGCAACGTGAGCAGCGGGGGCGGCCTCGGGGGCAGAAGCATTGGGGTCGGAGGAGACGCCGCAGACTTGGAAGATCAGCTTCCATAGCTGCTTGAGCTTTTCCTCTTGCTCGGGGGTGAGGTTGCCGGGGCGGCCGGGGGCGATTTCTCCAGACATTTCTGTGGTAGTTTCGTCGAGGAGATCTTGGATGTTCTTTTCGATAATTGTGGAAAGTTCCTGTTGTTCGGTGGAATTCTGACCGAGGAAACCGGTGATACCGTAGCCGAGACCTAAACCGAGGACAAAGAGGAGACCGAGACCGGTTACTGAAGCACGAAGAACAATGGGTGTAGTTGTAGGGATGGTAGTACAAGTTGAGAGGTTGTTGCGACTGAAGAAGGCGGCGGTTATGGTGGTGGTGGTGGTGGTGGTGGTGGTAGCGGTGGAAGAGGGGGAAAGGAGGGATTGGATCCGAGGACCTGGAGTGATCGCCGCTGCCCTAGTAGCTTTGGTGCTAACAGGTCGACTCGAAGGACACGTAGCAAGGGGTAATACAGTGTTGGGTCTGGAAAGAGCGGATCTCGTCAATCGAAGACGTAGAAGTTGGGTGGGCGTGGAGGGCGGTGGGAGTCTCATTCCACTGGACTTCCTTGTTGGGGAGTATAAAGATTAGGAGAGGGCGGGGATGCAACCAGGATGGAATCGGGGATACAACAGGCTGGCTGACCGGATAGGTACCTAACACACGTGTGGTAGCGGTAGGGCGGCAAGGCGGTAGGGGAGCTGTAAGATTGGTAGGTAGGTACCGAGAAGGAAGGCGGCCACCAATTTGTGGTTAAGGTTGTGATGGGGGGCTGTGAAATGATATTGCTCCAATTAACAAAAGGCCGGACAAGGCTATCCCCGGGCGATCCGTGTCAGCCTATCCCCGGGCGATCCGTGTCAGTCTTTTTTTTTTTTTGGAGGTGCAATTTCTGGTTGTTGGGTGATGGTTTGGAAAGGTAGTCTCTGACGTATTATATAACAGAGGACAAATGTGTCCCAAGTACAGCAGTTAAAGAGATTCAGAAATTCGGAGGCGTGGGATGACAAGCCCGCTGTTACCAAAGCGTCGGCTTTGAAATCCGGAGTGTATTTCCTCAAAGTCAATTCAATATCCAAGGCCGAAAGGTACAAATGTCAGTGCTGAAATGGACAAGGCAAAAGACGGTGTCTTTTCATCCACATGGACAATTCACCAATCCTGATGTAAGTGGGGCAAGGTTTGGCAGCTGGAAGCATTGAATATCACAGTGCACTTTGAAGAGCATAAAAATGATTGAAGGCTGGAACCTGGAAGAAAAAGAAGAGAAAAACGAGAGAATCCTAGGATTACCTCGTCCGTCGAATGGTCGATTATAATCGGGGTCTTGATCTTGTCCGTTTAGAAAAGCACCATGGAGACTCCCAGAGATGATACACAAGTGAAATCTCCATATGTAGCCGTCCATGCGAATTGCGACCTGTCTTTGTCCCGGCTGACCCGCAACCCGAGATGCAAATCCCAGAAGCCGTGCGTTGTGTAACAAAGGGGTTCAATTTAAAAAGATGATCCGTCAACTGGAACATGGAAAGTTGGAAGGAAGCGAAAACGAGAACCCCTCCATGGACAATCTGAAAGAGACAAATGATGGTCACCAATTGCAGCGCTGCTCCTTAGAAGGTTGGCGCACGTCTCTTTGAATGGGCTTCTACTTGGCGGTGACAAAGTTGCATCCGCAGAGGGGACCTCGAAACCCACATGTAATGGTGGGGTCAATCAACCACCATCGCGTCTCACTGCTTGGTGATCGCGTCTCCCCTTGTCAATACCATGTCAACACCATCTTCGCTATCACCACTTGTGAACAACCACACCGGCGCAAACCCCATCAATTCAGACATCGGATGTTATAGTCACCAAAAATTAAATCACCGATAATAATGCCCGAATCCCAAACCCCCGCCCACCAACGCTCCACCTCCCGCCCACGCACCCCCAACCGACCAACAACCCCCCTCCGGCCCTCCTCGCGCTCCTCCCTGCGCGAATCCGCCCGCAAATCCATCCATGGCCCCAGCGCTTCTTTCCCGCTCAACGCCTTTGAGCCCGCCTTCGCCGAGCTGGCCGATGCCATGGCCGATCTCGAAGCCAACATGATGCACTTCCAGCTGATGCACGAAAGCCTGGCGCGGTTCAGCGAGGACTTTGCCAGTTTTCTGTACGGGTTGAACATGAACGCTTTTTGTGTGGATTTCCCCGAGGGGCCGTTGACGGAGAGCTTCAAGAGGATGAGGGAGAAGGAGGAGAGGGAGGGTGTTGCTGCGAATGGTGGTGGTGGGATGGGGCAGGGGCAGCAAGGGCAACACGGGCAGAATATGGGGGGGGCAATAACGACAGTCAAGACTGAGAGGGAGGGCTTTGATGGGGAGACTACTTTCATGTTCGTTTCCCTCTGTCTATCTGTCTGCACATACTACCGTATGACCACCGTTGCTGACATCTGCTTCTCTTGCGCAACTACAGGACCACCGATTCTTCCTTCGTCGATAACCCGACTTCAAACATCTCCGGTCCTACACCGCGAAAACCATCAGTCGCACCGAAGACGCCCGCTCCAAGGCAGTCAAGAGTCCCTGCGCCGTCGGGAACGACAAGAGGCACGAGCGGACGAGGTGTTGGCCGTGGTGTTACGCCCAGTTCCCGAACGACGAGCCGCGGCGCGATTACTAGGAGTACATCGTACGGGCGAGCTGGTGGAAGGGGTGTGAAATGAACTTTTTGAACGAGGATACGATCCACACAGTAACGCATGTTATGAGTAATGAGGATATGACGATATGACGACTATAAGAGGTCGGGCAAAAGGGGATATGGATAGGGTATCAATATCCGACTTCAAGGAAGCATGCCGAGGGATGCGCGTAAATGGTCGCGTATTATTACGGGTTGAACAGACGACACTCGAGAGCTTTGGAGTACCCTTCACTCCACCATATCGCGCGGGTACATCAGAAACAATGTCGACGACCACTGTACGATCATCCAGATGGCGCTGCCGCTAGGTGTCTTAACACAACATCACGGCTCCGTCGCCTTGGTCAGATACGCCTTCACCCTTTCAAGACACTCCTCCTCCTCCCCGCCGTTACCACCAAGCCACGACCCAGGAGCAGCAACAGCAATGGTCTTGGCCCTAGACTTGAGGCCCTGAGTTATCTCGAGGTTGGACTTGGGGATATTGAGAGCCTCATGTATAGTTAGGTACAGTCCAGGAGCGGGAGCCGCGACGGGTCTCATGATGGAAACACATAACAAGTAGGCAAAACAGGGACCAACGGCAACGAAGTACTACGCTTTAACCATAGAGGTAGGTATAAGGTAGTGCAGGTTAGTTAACTCACCTCACTCAAAACCTTGACAACAGATTTATTCGCCTCTCCCTCCTTCGCCTGCGCAGCCACACATATCTCGACTGCTTCGTCAGTTATGCAAGTGACACCCTCTCGCTGTTTGCTGGCACCAGGTTTGACGTGGCAGTGGATGTAGATGGTACCGCCTTGTTGTGGTGAAGTCTTTTTGGTGGCTTTGGCTTTGGCTTTGCTGGCGACGAACCAGAGGGCTCTTTGGGTGGACATGACTGACAGTGTTCGGAAGGAAGATGCTTTTGGTGACAGAGGTGAATGGAAGTTCAGTGCATTTCCCCGCTGCCAACTGGTGTCGATGAAAATAACCCTAACCCTTCTCTGGTAATAAGTAAACCGTTCTCAGTTTTGTTCGACAGCGTTGAGCTACCATTCAAGAAAACGGAAGTGAAATGTGAGTGAAGAACCATTAGCAATACCTTTAGCAAGCTCTGCCTCACTGCCCGCCTGACTTCAAGAAACATAGGTTGGAAGTATCGTTATGAATGTGGTTGGTTCTGTTTCAAAACCAACCGCTCGCTGCCTAACACTACTTGGGGTGACTCCCCGCCGACATTGTTAGTATCCCCGTCTAAGAGAAGCTCTTGGCCTGTCACACAGCCCCGGAGAGCACCCCGCCATTGCCTGACAGCCAGGCAGTGCCATCCCACCTAACGACATCATCCTGCCTCGAGACCCTGTCAGCCCAAGTACGAAGTAGAAGTGGTGTGTCGCAAAACCACCACCACCACACAACCACCATCTCAGCCTGATAAAGATCAAACTTGCGACAAAGTTAAATACCCTTCCGAATCTCCGCCACCTTCCCAGCGATATCTATCCAACACCAAGCAGCAAGTTCTCTAGAAATTAACACCATGACAAGCTACAAATCAACCCCTCTCTTCGGCGGCGCCATTGTCTGCGACCTCCCCGAACACTTTGCCGACGTCTCCCGTCTGCGCCAAGTCCCCGACAACCAAGAGGTCTACATCGACAAGGACGGCTTCACCTCCATCATCGTCGACATCACGGAGCGCGTGGGACCCAGCGGCCCGACTTCGCTAGAAGAGGACGGGCGCGCGCTGACCACCCATCTCGAAGAGCTGGTCGGGGACGACGTCGATAGCGTCAAGGTGTGGAATACCACCGAGACGCAGTTTACCAAGCTTGAGTATGTCTCCCCTTTTCTACTTCCGTCCCATTCCCTCGTTCATTATCAACTCTTGCAGACAGGTAACTAACCTCTTCCCCCCCCCCCCCCCCAAAAAAACCAGCTCCTCAATCCCCGCCTACACCCTCATCGCCACACAAACTCCCAAATCATCCGACTCCGACTCCTCCCGAAGGGGGCAAGCACCCGACTTCACGGCGCTCATCCTCACGCTCGTCAGACTGGAGCGCGAAAAGACGGATATCCTGGTGACCATCAACGTGCCGCACATCAAGGGCGAGTACGACGAGGAGGAGGTAGATCTGGCGCTGGGCAAGCAGGGCGCGCTTCTGGGTAGCGCCGTGGAGTATGCGGCGAAGATTTGGGAGAGTTTTGAGGTGAAGGATTGGGGTTTGTTTAAGGAGGTTTAAGGGTCGGGTGGGAAGATTTGGATTTGCGCTCCCGTAGGCAAACAGGGAATGAGTTGAATTGGATTGGGTTGGATTGGATGAAGCGAAGCGAAGCGCTTGGTTGGTTGAACAAAGGGATATTTTGTGAGGAAAGGAGATGGAAGAGGATGACGGAAGGATACCACGAGAATCAAAGGGACATTTGATATCGAGACGACGACGACGACGACGGGTCGGTTATGGGGGGGAGGTGGAATGAACAGCGACGATGTATCAGGTCTTCAACTGAGCAACGCCCGCTTGTTGAGCTGAGCTACGACATACCTTGATGAGACATGTCCCTTTTCTTATTTTCCTCTTTTAGATAGTATTTACACTTCATTTAGTTAGCGAACTGAATGTTTCCTCCTTTTGTATACGAGGGGGTATCGATATTAGTTCATGATCATACAAGTACAAATGACCTACAAAGCTCCCGTCTGTTCCGTCATGGACTAGACTACCCGGTATTGCCAATTGCCCTCTCCGCTCAGTCATCCGCGGTCAAATCAACCACATCCATCATCGGTTCGTCCTCGAACATACCGGGACTGTTGTCCTCGTCATGGTCGTCTTCATCAGCGATAACCTCCTCCAGAAGTGTTGAAAACTTCCCAAGCACTTCAGTAGGTAGCGTGGCCTTCTTCTCCTTCGTCTCCTTCTCCCTCTCCCTCCTCGCCTTCTCAACTTTCCACCGTTCCGCAACCTCCTTCATAACCTCCCCAAACGCCAATCCCGGTTTCTGAGCTTTAACCACCTTCATCTGCTCCTTGACAAAGATTTGGTACTCGGATTGCTTAGCCTTCTCCTTAATCTTGTTCGTGCCCATGCCCATTCCTCCTTGGGTGCCAGGTTGCTCCCCATCGGCAGAGGAAATGTTCCCACCACTACCTTGTTGACCCTGACCCCCTCGGGGCGCAGGTTTAACCTGCCTCAAAACCCCTTTGCAGACTCCACACCGATGTCTCGAGGGGTCAACGCTTTTGGAATGGCGTTTATACTCTGTTCCACACCCTCCTCCGTTTTCTTTCTCTCCCCCTTTCCCTACCCCAGAGCCACCAGCAGGTCCTTGACCAGAAGAAGCAGAAGCAAGAGGTCCATCACAAACCCACACATACCTAAACTCAATCTCATACCCATGTCTCGTCGTGACCTCCACCGCGTAACCACCTTCCCACTTCCCCTTACTCTCCCCTTCTTCCAAGATCATGCTGCCCAGCGGTCCACGATGTCTCCCAAACTCTGACTCATTAACTTTCCTCGCCCAGCACTTAAACTCCCCCCCGTGCGGCCTCGTAGTGACCCCGTCGATCATGAACACCGCCAAGTGGCAGAACTCGTGGGCCAAGGTATTAAACAATCTTTCCGGGGTACTCAACACCTTTGTAGCGAGCTCAATAGAGGCATGGTGCTTGACTTCTTTCTTTTCTTCCTCTGGCGGTACCTTGTCCTTGTCCTTGTTCATCATCATCTCCTGCTGTTTTTTTCGACGACGGCGGCAGCCGAGTGGTAATACTCTCCTTCTTCCAATTCGCTCTTCCGGCCGTCGTGTTCAGCGTCTTGCTCCAGACCAGCTTGATTCCGCCTGTGCTGGCGGTTAGGCATGATAAGCGACCGGAGGTTAGGCGGGTGTCGAGTAATGACAAAAAGGTGCTGGCGAGGGAGTGCTTGTGCGTGTCGAAGGCTTGCCGCAGGAGGCGGGATTCGCGGGCTTGAGCGGCGGCGAGCTTTTGCGGGCTGCGAGGAGGCGCTCGTGTCCTTTTCTTGGGGGAGGAGGAGTTAGTAGTATTATCCGAGGTGGGTTTGGTGGTCGAAGAAGGGAAGAGCTCCTTCTTGACGGGGGAGTGCTCGTCGTTCCAGTCGTCGACGAATTCGCGGGACCAGAAGAGGTCGGATGAAGGGCGGTGAGGGGTGGAGGGGATCCGTGGAAGCTTTTTGGGAGATGGTGGTGGTAATAGTGGTTGTGCTGCCGCTGTCTTCGGTTTGAGCTTCGGTATTAGTTTGGGAGATGAAGGACTGGGCATTCGTGTCCGCTTTCTCGTAGCAGCTGTTGGTGGTGGACGAGATCGCCTTTGTTCGGTTTCGGTTTCTGAGCTTTCTTCGGAGGAGGAGGAAGAGGAGGAGGATTCCAACTGAAGACAGGAAAAGTCCTGCGTTACATCCTCCTCACCACAGGTATCTTCTTCGTCGCTAGAAGCAACTGTCCGTCTTGTTGGCCTAGCTGGTCGTTGTCGTTGGACACTCTCTTCCTCTTCCTCCTCATCGAATAAAGTCCGGCTCTTCTGGCTCTGTCTTTCCCCTGTCAAGGTCGCATCCATGTCCATTCGCTTGCCTCTGGAGTTCTTCGTCTCCCGAGGCTTTGTCGGCGAAAGATGACTTTCTCTGACAATTGGGATCTTGGGCTTGCTGCTCAACCTCGTGAAGAAATCGTCCAGGTCTTCGTCTGAGTCATCTTCTTTCGAGTTGGATGTCGCCGCCGCCGTGTTGGCATTCTGTCCCTTTCTAGCAGCCGTGGTCTTCAACGTACGTCCATCTTCTGACTCGGAAGTCTCCATGGAGCACGCGGTATGGAATGACGCCTCCGCATAATCTTCGAGGTCCTCGAATATGTCCAAGTCCCGATCCTCCTCATCAATTTCCATTATGTCGTTGTTCTTGCTGGTGACTTGTTCCGTTAGCTGAACAAGACTTGCCGAAGGCTTTTCCTCATTTTCCTCCTTCTCCTCCTTCACCTTATCCTTTGCCATTTTCTTGTCTTTTGCCTCCCCATGCTCTTTCGACACAGAAAACCGACCTCCGAAAAGACCTTCTCCGGTCATCCTGCCCACCTCCGCCTTGGCAATAACCGTACTTGTACTCTCCCCTTGTCCCACCCTCTTCACCTCTTTGACCTTCATGTTCTCTCGACGGCGAACCACCGGATTCTCAAACTCAGAGTCATTGGCCTCGCCCCCCTCCTCATTGCGCATCCCTAGAGCTAACCGACCAAGTCCAAACGGGTTATTATTGGCGGTGGTAAGAACCCTCTTCTTCTTCCTCCTCGCCGGCAGCCCCGCATCCTCCTCGGTTGGCGTCCACTTTTGAAACAGGACATTATCCGAAAACGTTGCGCCCAGAAGCAGCTTTCGCCTCTTGGCGCCGCCGGTTACTGATGATGAGGCTGCGTTTGGTGAGGTTGCGGATTCGACGACTGTCTGCCCTTGGTTACTGGTGGTAGAGGCTGTGTACGTAGGTGGAAAGGCTCTCTTTCTAGTAGCTGTTTTCCTCTTGGGACTTGGTGATAGAGCGGCGATGTCAGGAAACTCGGAGTCTGAATCCGAGTTGGAGCCGTTGTCGGAGCCAGATTCGGAGGATGATGACAATATCGTTTTCCTGGTCCGGGAAGATGGCGGCGGAGCCCGCGATAATCTTGCCATCGTGTTTTGATGTTTGCGGTCCTTGCTGTCCTGGCCAGTTCCAGGGATAAATATAAGCGGAGACTGTGGCCGTTCGCCTGGAGTCGTCGATGCTGTGAGAAGCGTAGCGAAGTGGCCTCGAACGCTAGTTGAAAGTGTGGTGACCACTACTGTCTGTCGGAAAAATCAATGCGAATAACTCCTGTTTGCGATGAATATCTCGAGCGCTGCTCTGGCCAATTTCAGGAAAGCTTGATCATTTGGCTTGGCTGTGCGCCATTTAAGAACCAAAGGAATGCAATGTTGCTATGTTCAAAACCTTGATGAAAACCGAAATGTTGACGATGTTTTTGTTTGGTTATACTCATCAAAAGAAAGCAATTGGTTGCCATGGGTGATCTGTTACTAGCGTGCAGCTAGCGTCAGGAACGCCAAGCCCCCTGCCGCCCCGGCGTAGATAAATGGGTCCCCGGCCTCCTAGCACCGCCATGCCGGCCGGTGAGGCGCCTGAACGACGTCTCTTTGATTTGACCTCCAGAACCTTTCCACTTCTCCGACACAGAGATCACGGTGAGGTTTTGTCTTGGACTTCCGTCATCTCATTCCATGGAGGTGAAGCGAGTGACCAGCAATGCATCTCGAATCTATAGATTGGATGATACTGTCCTGCTCTCTCACGTTCTCGTCTCGTTTACACCCGAAATGCACACATGCCGCGTGCGTATCTGTCGCTTGGTGCAGATCACAAATTATAAAAGCAAGCAACGAAAAGTCCGAATTGTTGCGTTTCTCCCGTTTTCGTCCCCTGTCGCTGATCACCATCTATCTGCTATGTAAGCATCTGTTGTGCTACGATACTTCAGGATTGGCTGCCTTTCACAAATTATCGCGACACTATCCGAGTCTTCTCAATCTCTCGGTTTTGCGGTGGCTCGTATGTGATCTTTGTTTGCCTGTAGCTGCATTTTGCTGGGCCATGTGAGATGATGGGAGGTGCCTCTGATAGAGAAAACGCACGTGGCCAGCATCAGTATTGCGGGCAGACATGGCGGACGCCGGATGGGAGAGAGATGAGATGAAGCTTTGATCTTTGACGGTTTGACATCAGGAAACTTCGGTTGCTCCCGAGCCATAGAGTTATATGACGAACCCTTTCTCAAAAGAAACCATCTCGTCCAATGTCCAATAATCAGACTGGAGGGTTGCCTGGACCACGGTTGGTGGCGATTGGTTCATCCGGTTGTGATGTTGACGTTGACAAGGCCTCTTTCCGTCTTTTGTTGCAGGCGATAGTAGGTATTTCTGCCCGGCTATGTGCCCGACCTTCAAGATCAACTCTACCGAATTCAACTTAACCCAATATCCCGATAACGACAATGTGTCCCGCAGGATGCAAAGGAAACACTCACATTCACACCGCATTGGCAGACCGCGCGGCTGCGTAGACATTAAGCAACGTTCGTTGTCGAGTTGTGCATTACTCCCAATCTCTCGCACTTTTGATACGCAGAAGCCATATTGATAAATTAGCTTGATAACTCTACGAAAAACAACCACCATCATACGAAACACCCGTTCTGCCGCTCATCCTATGATTGTCCTGTCGTATCGTGTCTCAAAGCCACGCCACCCACTTATGTAGAAAGCAAGCAGGGCAAGCCACCCTTCGTTTTGTTTCGTCACCCATCGCGGCACTCAAAACCATTGCCACACATGCCATACATGCCACGACATGCATCCTCCCGCCTTTCTTTCTTTTGTATCACCCACCTAATACTGATACGGCTGTGTGACGTGACATGATATTACCTTTTCGTGGGTTGTGTGTATCTTGCATCTCTGTGGCGTACATAGGTACTAGTCACTATAAGTACATACTGACTGACCATATCGTCTCGTGAGTGGTAGCTGTTAACTGTTGACTGATGACACTCGGGCAACGGAACGGAACGGGGAACGTGAACGGCATAATCAGTATATACGCAGTAGAGAGAGGCGGACGGGCAAGAATAGAAAAGTTAGACGAGACATGATTGACCGAGTTTAGAATCGCTGAATAGTAGTAAGAGGTAAGAGTGTCTGCTCTACCTACTAAATCTCTTGTTGTTTGTACCCGTGTACCAGACATTTGAGCGTTTTCCATGAAATCGATTTTCTTCGCGCGCGGTTGTTTTTGTCTGACTTGTCAGACGGTTTTTTGAAGTTCTCTGTGAACCCGTGAATCTGTGAGCCGGTGGATTGTGAACTGTGGACTGATTGTTTCGAGAATCAAGATTCTAGAACTGATGTACTACCTATACTCCCTGCCAACCAAAACATTCTGTGCTCAAACTGCCACGCCTTCTTCTTCCTTGTGACATGCTCCGGCAGTGAGAGAGACAAAAATAGTTCCGGGAACGGAAGGGAGGGAGACAAGACCACCTCACAGAGCCGGATTACCGGAGCAGCCCGAGAGGTTGCTGATTACAAAGTGCACCGGTCCACCGGTCCACACCGGGGAAGTCTCCCGGCGATTGGACCCACCGGGCCCGAGAATGGAGCGGGGGTCCGGTCCGGGTCGGTCAAAATATCCGCCATTCCTCCACTTACGTGACCCTTTTCAGGGTATGAAGGAAAGGAACGGCCTCTTCGGATGCGGCTGATCAGTCAATCAGTTGGAAAATCCAATGCGAGGCATGCGAAGACCGGCATAATACGATTTCCGTTGCGTACAGGTACCTTGCAGTCCTTTCAGGCGTGCTGTGGACAAGGAGACAAGGCACGTCGGTGGCAAAACTCGGGAGGATCGCCAATGTTGCATGGAGCGAAGTGTCCGGCGATTGCGTACCTGCGTCTGATCGTGCAGAGTGGTGGATGATGATGGAGAAGGCAGTGCCTGGGAGCTCTGGGAGCCTGGCAGTTCATCACTAATTTCTTTTCGAAGACCAGACCTTCACTTCACTTCACGACAACGTACGCAGTAACCGCGTATAGGACTTGCGACTTGCAAGCGTATAGTGTAGGCTGTAGTGAGCACTAACTCTTGTGTGATTGCTACCGCAATTTCACCCCCTTGATTGGTCACCCTCTTAACACAGCCTCGATTTAGTCGCCAGATCTGGTCTGACATACTTTCATATAGTGTAGATATCCTTTTTCTTTGGGGCGGGATCGTATAAAGTGAGATTGCAACCTCCTCGTCCGTCATCAATAGTTTTCTGGGCGTTGCTTGTTGGTTGCGTATTCGGTCATACTTGTCAGCATCAATGGAACGTCGCGGATGGATTATTGTGTGAAGTTCTGTGAACGGCTTGGGATGAATGGGGTAGTTTTGGGGAGTTGGAACTCTGCTTGCTGCTGGTCCACCAACTCCATCTTCATCTCCATATGATCCTTCTCGACTCCCGCCCGCTCCCCCGTTCGGGTTCCTGAATCCTGAATGTCGAATTCTTGCCTGTCAGGTACAGAGGCATGAACCGCATGCAGGACGGTTGTGCGGGCGAGGCGGGTTCCTGACATAGGTAGGCTGCTTATCGAAGAGGGATGATTCCTTACACCTTACACCCGTCATGTACTTCCTTCTAACCGCGTTGGACCCTGAGCACATCATCAGCGCACCGATTATACATAATTCTTTTCATCGTGATCGCAAAAACAACCATGCCAGCGCCAACAATCGCAAAAAGTCCGAACGGGGAGCCGGAGCGAACTCGTCTGCTTGTTCGAAGCTGGAAAAGAAAGAGAGAAAATGGGTGGAGGTTAATCTCCAAGTGGATCCCACCCGTGCCTTGAAAGGAACAAATTTAGCTTCGTTTTTTCTCTCTCGAGCGCCCGGTCGCCGCTTTTTCGGTTGACCACCGTGGGTGAGTGAGCTGGAAATAGAAAAGAAAAGATACCCGGTCTGCGACCAAAAGAGCTGACAAAGTGGAAGTGGTGGAGTCACACGGACCACCCGATGCGCGACGTGCCATTGCCCCTGGCGAGCGCAGAGCGACGATCCCGCGGTCGTGACATGGAGCGTTGAGACTGCGGATCCACCCAGAGGCCGTTCCTGGGGAATTTATGATTGGTCAGAGGTAATTGACAGATGAAGTGTCGCGAGCGTTGACAGGTGGTATCGGGCCACCCACACACACCGAAGTTTCAATCATCTGTTGGAAAGGGAAGGCCGGTCTGCCAGCACTGTGTTCGGAACAATCGGTTTCAAAGTGTCAGGCCTGTTCGGTTCTTTGCTTGACGGGCTTACCATCCAGGCATCCACGGACAACAAGGGGCGATTTCGAGAACACTGCCTCTTTCTGCTGGCTGGCTGTGACGGACAAGGGGCGGTCGCGATCACCTAAACCTCAACAATGCCCAGCATTCGGGACGGAACATCGCCGGCGGAATGGTTTTGATTTCTGCGCTCCTGATGGTGAATACCTATGGGTGCTAGGATGGATGGACATTGAATGCTGATGATGGACAACCCAGAGAGGGCCTCTCGCTGTTCGGTACCACGGTAAAACCAGTTTCAAGTGCTGGAGTCCGGAGCCTGAACAACGAGACCCTCTGGACCGTTAAGTTGGGACTGTTTGCTTAGCGTGTCGTGGTGTTTATCAGTAGTACCAGTATCTCCGATCTCGCCAATTGTGAGTGTGTGCGTGCGTGCGTATGTGTGAGGTGATGAATGTTTATTATGTATTGGCAAAGAATTGTGATCGTTTGTGTTCATCATCAACATGGCCAGACTTACCGTCCGGACGTCCGCTGGGACAGATATCCCGCAACAGCTTCGTTACCATAATAGTGTAGTGTGGTTTTAAAGCTGTCGAATCTCGATCTCAGCGTGCCAGCATGCCCAGGTGGAGGATCACCGGTGGAGGAGCCCGGTCGCATCGCGGAAATCTGGAACGATAGAACGGTGAACCTCGGAGCTGGCGAACTATATACAGTACCGATATCAAGAGCGCTAGAATGTCTATGCTTTGGGACTCTCGATGCCTGGCGGGCTGGGAGTGGGAGCCGGGTTCGTTTGCCGCGTTGCTATCAATATTTGCACATCGCACATCGCGCATCGCACATCGCACATGGAATATCGAGCATGGCATCCCGTCGCCTTGTCGCCCTATCGCTACAGTATCGCTTTGTCGCCTGGTCTTCGAGTATCGCGCTCTGAGGGTAAATCCCGTCAATCTGCCTATCAAAACTTTTGCCGTCTTGCCTTGTCTATCGGCCCTGTATGTACATAAGACTACTACAGTACCGTGGCAGGCCATGCCATGATTAATGCCTCCCCCCCGCCATGGCATTCCCATCCCAACCCTTCCCGTCGGTTGTTCGGCCGGTCGGGCTGCCATGTCGAGTAAAAGACTTGATGATTTCCAATACACTACAGACGGTCCAAAGAGAGGTTGGTAGCTATGTGGAATCCATGCTGGAGCCTGAATTTGCCTGCTTGTCGACGGTCGATAGCGAGGGTAGCGAGTGTGTGGTGTTGAGAAGCCAAAATGTGTACCAAGTTTCCAGCTTTCTGCAGCAATCGTCGTCATATCACCGCGAAACCAAGCTTTCTATACAGTCGCGCAGGACGCCAAATGGGCACCGAATGGACACCAGATGGACACCAGATAAGGCCAGATACCTCAACGCTACCGGCAAAATACTTTTTTGCAATTGCAATAAGGGGAACATGTACAAGAGTGTGGCGGAGCGTAGCGGCACAAATGTGGTGTAATTTCAATTTCATTGGTTGTCCGAGCGCGTTTGAGAATACGGCGGGTACGGCACACCCCACAAACACCGGTCATCCCTTTTCATTGGACGAAAGTAACAAGTAGCCCAAGTCGTGGCGAGATCTCCTACAGAGTTGCGAAAGGTACCTTTGGTGTACTCCGTACGAGGCAAATGGAAATTGCCAAGATAGAAAAGGACCAACCGAACGGCATCTCCTAGAGGCGGTCGAGATTGGGAGCATGGTTGAGATTCTCATAAGAGAGCAATGATACTATCTGGCAATGTGCAACGTGGAATGAGTTCAAACGACTCTTTCCACACAAAGATGGGATGAATCACACAGCAGCGTGACACCTGCGACAGCCAACGGAGAACAGTGAGAGCAAGCACGGGCAAGTAAGGCACCTACACTACAGTACACTTGTACCTTAAGGACGAGAACGGAAGCGGGAGACGTCGGGCCAAGTGGAAGCAGTGCCGACCTGCCATATGTACATATAAGTGAATACGAGATGATGGCGAGTACCTATAGCGGGCAGCACTACCTTATTGAGCGGCATACTTACTGAGGCTCAGAGGCTTCGGCTCACTTTGTCGAGAAACCAACGAAATTTCCAGGGCGCTGGTACGGTTCCTCCTTCGTTCTCTCGCGTCTTGGAGCTTGTTCCGTTCTTTTTCGAACACTCATTGAAACCACACCCTACAGGCAGCACTGCACTGCACGGGCTGGCAATCTACAGGTATGATTTTACTGTAGAAGCTAGAAAATGGAAGAAAGAATGCACAGTGAAAGTTGACAGAGACACACACGGTCTTCCCCTGCCCCCTTGCCGGGTCCCACTTTTCCCATTTTCCACGATCCCTGCCAAACAGTGCTCTCCCCCTGACAACGTCGATGAAGCGAGCGATGCAGCGACCACTCAGAGACGCCGATGTCCTTTCGTCCAGTCCACCTGTTGCCCACCGCGAACCACTGAGCAGAGGCCTCTGTCCACCCTGTCAGGGCGGTCAGGTCCTGCCGTGACTGACGAACCGCTTTGGACATTGGCCCTGGACGGGACCGGATGGGCCATTGAGGTGCAATTGCCTGGAAACTCCTAGCAGCCAGAGGTAGCAGAAACACCCACAACGCCAGCACCTGGATCGCATCCTGTTCCAGCGCAGCGCAGTCCCAGTCCC